AGAGAGAGAGAGAATTAGGAAGGCTCACCCTCCCAGAGAACAGCAAACCACAGTTCACATCTAGCCAACTGTCTGCCTTTGTAAATGAAGTTTTTGTGAGACACAAAGAAGCACACTGAGCTACACACTGTAGCCTCTTTAACAATAAGTTACAGAATGAAGTAATTGTGGTGGTGTGGGTACAGTCTATGGAGCTAAACCGTTTCCTATCTGACTCTTACGCAAGGACCACCATCTAATTTTGTGTTGAGTATGTGCTAGAACTACCTAAAGTGATTGTGAGCACAGACTGCTGAACCCTGCCCCCAGAGCTCCTGATTAACCCTAAGCAGAACTTCTGAGTTGGGAGCAGAGTTAGTAATGCCTTTCCTTTCCTTGTTGGTGGGAATTGAATCCAGGATATCTTATGTGTGCGAAGCAGGTGTTCTATCACTATGCTGCGTTCCAGTCTCTTAAACATTCATTTCTAGCAAGGTCCCAGGTGATGCTGCTGAGGCTGTGGTACACACACTGCTTTAACTTTACGTTATGTCTCACGAATGGGGCTCTGAGTAAGGATTTTTGTATAGTAGGAAAGGAAAAGAAAACCTGATCTTTCCGGTCAGTAACCATAGATGGATGGACTGACATCACTACACAAAATGTGTGCTGTTAAAACTCTTAGATCTGAATCTTTTTTTTTTGTCATTCCAGTTTTACTGGATTTGACTTAGCTTTGATTCATTTCTAAAGTTGTCCCATAGTTGAGATTGATTTAACACCCCCAAGACAACTTTGAGATGCGTTGAAGTTATAATGGTATCGTGTCAGTAATGTGGACTTTATCCATTTTAAGGAAATAATTCTCCTTCCCATGGTTGGTCACTCACTATCATGGTTGATCATTCACTATCTTAGCCCAGTGCTACCAGGAGACTGAGCCACTGGTGACTTGGCATTTCCAATACTGCCCTCCTTCTCCACTTCCAGCCTTGGTTAGGAACAGATTTGCCTTCCCAATGATAGCTTATCTCCCAATGATAGACTTAGGCGTTTTTCTGAATGTGTAGTCTTTGGGAACTTTGATGCCAAGAGTTCTATCCTGGCTGAGACCCTGAGATCTGAGTTTACCTGTCAGTTTGCTGTGGTTTGATTTGCATAGTCATGGCCTTCCTCTATTTGTTTCCTTTTAAGCCTGATCTCTGGTTGAGGACAGGGTCATTAAACTGTTAGGATAAACTATGCATGCAGTCCAGAAGTTTTGTGAAAGATAGGGAGCTATTTCTTTTTCCTTTACCCTGGCATTTAGGGATATAAAAGGAAACATTATTTTAGAATCTGAACACTACAGAGACAGCTTCAGAGTAGAATAAGTTCAAGTTAAAATTAGCTACTCTTTAGAACTTGTGGCTGTTTGTTGATGCGTGGCTCTGAGGAGTTACTTCCTTGAACAGATAACCGAGATAGGTGGAAGACAGAAAAATCCATTTCCCTTTCACGAGAAAGAAGCAAGAGTTTAATTCTACTTGATTCTTATTTGTTAGCTTTAGCGAGGTTCCATGTTCTGTGAAAAGTTGGTATGTAAGAAATTATGACTGTGAAGTGAGGACGAGAGGCAAAATGCATTCTGCACGCCTAGCACAGTACGCAGAACTCAGGAGGTACTTGGGACAGCAGTAATGCTGCTCCTGCAACAGCCCCTCTCCACCTTGGTGAGTGCACAGACCTTAGTTCAAAGATGAAGGCCAAGCATGTACTGCAGGCAACACACACCCTGTGAGACACTTGGGCTAACGGGAACCAATTCTTCATTTGCATGGTTCCACTATGACAGCTTAAATATCACTTATGAAAAGTCTAGGCACAGGGTTGTCATCTTTACTTTTGATAATATGGGAACTTATTTTTAAAGAAAGCCTGTGATAAGCTTTCCTATAAAGTTGATTCAATCTTTTTATGACATTGAAGACTGCTGTGAGTTTATACTCTTTGGAATTCTTCTCAAACAAATTTGCAAGTTAAAATCAGCTCCAGGAAAGGTAAATTTGTATGCAAAGCATCCTTCTCCCCACAGCATCTTTCCCCATTGTCCCCTCTTCAGTTTGGAGGATGACTTTTGTGTACTTTTGCTGATCATAGTAGCACTGTACCTTTCAACCACCCTATCGCACTGGTGAGTGATACAGAGAGATGGAGCCTGCTGGTCATGTTTCTACTACCGTTCATTTATTTCCTCTTGTAAAATTTACTGTATTTTACGTGCATGGGTGTTATGTCTATATGCATAAGTCTGTGTACCACATGAACAGTGCCCATGGAGGCTAAAAGAGGGCAGTGAATGCCATGTACGTGGGGTTTCATACACTTGAGAATCTCAATATGGGTGCTGGTAATTGCTCACAGGTCCTCTGGAAGAGCATCCAGTGCTCTTAACCACTGAACCATCTCTCCAGTCACTAATACCCCCTTCAAATCAGTTCTTATGTGTGCTTTACATAGCGTGGAAACACACCCATTGGCAGAATCATACCTCTGGGATCTATGTAAGAAGATAACCATTAATGGTGAACTTGCACTATAGATGTATGAAGGTCTTGCATGAAGTTCACTGAGGCAGAAGTTCAACATAAAGGGAGTGGTGAGAAAGACTAAGAGCCAACTTAATTGTTCCTTTGTAGCTGGTTCCCTGAGGAGGACACAGATGGGAATTGTCAGTTCACTTTAGTTTACACTTGGGTTTGGTAGAAGGAATCTTTCCTGTGTCAGCAACTGGGCATGCTTACATAGTGCTAATGGGTAGTTGGGTGGGCTTAAGTGCTCTCAAAGCTCTTTTGAGTTTCAAAGCTTTCAAAACTACCGGTATTATTTTTAAAAACCGTTGGTATTTGTTTCTGCATTATTTCTTTATGTGTACTACAATAAACAATTACCAACTGAGTTGCTTAAAAATAATAAAAATGTAGTACTTTACAGAAGTCAGAAGTCCAGAATGGAATCTCAGCATGCTCAAGATCAAGATGTGAACAGGCTTTCATGTCTCTCTGTCTGTTTGTGGGAGAATTGGCTTTCTGGCCTTTTCTAACTTTTATAGGCAGCTCACTACTAGACTCTTCATCTTCAAGGTCAACAGCACAGCTTCTCCAAAAATCTTTCCTACCATCTGGCTTTTCTTCTGACCAACTTTTCTTTGTCCCCTTCAGTTGTTTCCAGTTTTTCTCCCTCTGGTCTGTCTTTAAGTCATTTTTTTATTTTAAATTTTTTATTCATTTTATATACCAACCACAGTTTCCCTTCTCTCCCCTCCTCCCTCTCTGCTCTCCCCACCTCCTCCACAACCCTCCCCATTCACTCCTCAGAAAGGGTGAGGCCTCCCATGGGGATTCAACAAGCCTGGCACGTTCAGCTGAGTCAGGACCAAGTCCTTCCCTACTGCATCAGGGTTGAGTAAGGCATCCCATCATAAGGAGTGTCATTTAAATCATATTTCCACACATCACCTTCTTATAGTAATGTACAGCCATGATGAGCTCACCATGAAGTTTGTTCCTTCCTCTTTAAAATGAAAACAGGCTTGCACTGACACCCCTTTAAAACAGATTCATGAGGAAATTAAGGTTTTGTTTTCCAGTCTCCAGTTTGGAATTTCCCTTACAGTTATAAAATCTGTCTTTTTTTGAAGTTCATTGTCTCCTGCCTTTTCCCCCAGGAAGAATCTAGCATTTTAATATCAAGCCTAACTATGAAAGGACTTGCATTCTACAGCTGGCCAACTGCCTTGCCAACACGCACATTTTATAAAGCAGTTGTTAAAACCAACCCATCAACATTTCAGCTCATGGCTAATTTGGGGGGGGAGTCTGCATATTCATTCATGTCACTTTTTGTTTATGTTACTTTACAGAGGACAGGTTTCATTATGACATTTCTTACCATCTGCAGAGTTGATTGCATCTGTATTCATTTGATTACAAAACTGGACTTATGTATTGTGGGAAAGCTAATATTCAGTCAGAAAGAGGAAAGAAATTCACATGAGATGTATCACACAAACTTAAAGTGCCGAAATTTTTTTCCAATAAGTAAATGATTATGTATTTTAAAAGACTTTGTATATTGTTTGTGCTGCTCTAAAGCATACAGTTTTCTTATTTGTCCCCTCTGGAATACATTATAAACTTTCCCTATATGATTTGTTATGCTTAATGGTTGATCTTTTTTCATATGGATATACAGATTTATTTTAAACCACTCTAACACTTCTTCTTCTCCTCCTTCTCCTCCTCCTTCTCCTTCTCCTTCTCCTTCTCCTTCTCCTTCTCCTTCTTCTTCTTCTTCTTCTTTTGGTTTTTTCCAGACAGGGTTTCTCTGTGTAACAGCTCTGATTGTCCTGGAACTCGCTCTGTAGGTCAGGCTGGCCTTGAACTCACAGAAATCCTCCTGCTTCTGCCTCTTGAGTGCTGGGATTAAAGGCGTGGGTCACTGTCGCCCAGCACATGTTCTTGAAGCTACCTTCAAGTATTATTTTAGAGGGGCTGGAGTGACTTAGGGTTAAAAACGCTTGCTGTCCTTTGAGAAGAGCTGAGTTGGGCTCCCAGGACCCACTAACCTTGGTGGCACACAATTGCCTGTCTCTTTGGCTCCTAATGCCCTCTTCTGGCTTATGTAGGTCCCTGCATCCATATGCACATACCTACACATGCAAGCACACTCATACACTAAAAATAATTGAACAGATGTTTTACAGAAAAGTGTTTCTTTAGAATGAACTCTAATTAGAACAGCCCATGGGACAACAAGCATTTGTAAGTCCTCTGATTCATTTTAGGACATCTAGAAAAAAATCAAGTTAAGTTAAAAACAACAACAATAACAAAAAACCCTCGAAGCCTGTGTTATTTGCTAATTTTGAGGCCACAGTCTTACCCCAAAGGCAATTTTTCCAAAATTCAGCTGTTACTATCCTTCTTTTCCTCCCAAGGAATATAGGTCATGGTGATGTCATTTTTATTTTTTAATTTCAGGTTACCTCGCACCTCGAAACCTGCCAAGTGCTGGATTCTTCCCATTCCTACAAACCCTCCTCTGTGACACAGACTCCAAATGCAAAGACACACCCTATGGGCCACGGGACCTGCTCCGTAGAAAGGGCATTGATGAGACGCTGTTTAAAGACAGGTATGGGGCTTCCTAAGCATGCTGAGTATTTCTGAAAGATCAATTTTCTTTTATTATGACATAACCAATGTATATGTCCTATAAATAAGTAGAAGTTTATCTCCTATATGAATGGATGCGAAGATGAAAGAGTAAAGTGAGTGTAAATTGCAGTCCTATCATTACAAAAGGTTGAGCACGATCTACTTACTTTGCATCAGTTACTCAAATTTTCCTTTTTAAGATGAATGGATGAGGCAGTTCTACTTTTCTGTCCTCAAAGATTATTTATCCTTCCGTGTCAGTGACACCTTGTCCTAAGATTCAATCACAGGTATAAGGCAAATAGCAGGAAACTCATCTCCAGGAAGAACACATGTTTATATTACCTTTTGTGGTCCTTTCAATTATAATGAAAACAAGGAAGTACAAACGAGAAAGCTGAAGATTTCAAAGTGCAAAGCAGTAATGTTGAAAGTACAGTAATTAAACAATAACCTTTAAATGGGGTTAATTCCTGTTCTGTTTTATGATGTGAGAAACAGCAGAATGAAGATAGACAATAGAAACCGTTTATAGAATTATCATTTCCAGCCTAAGGTTTTCTTCCTGGAAATCCAATCTTAAAGAGATGCCCAGGAGCCTGCCTGTCAATAGAACTGCAAAAATATTGTAATTTTGAATCAACTGTAAGATAACACTGTTACAGACTTAAAAAATGTTCACTGAAGAAAAGATTACAGATATTTGGTTCTCAGACTTGAGTATTAAATTCCTTGGCACACAGCACAATTTCTTCTTTAATGGTACGGCATGATTTTGGGCATCCTATAACATGACTGATAAATTCAGAAAGATCAACCTTTTTAGCATTAACTGTAAATATGTTGAGAGTTGTCATGAGGAACAACATGGGACATACCCAACATGCAACTGTTGTGCTGGGTAGGTAATTCTCACTGGTTTTATTGGTATAGAAAGTTAATGGGGTTCGGTACTTAGAACAACTCTATTCTCACTTGTTTATTAATTTATTCAACAAATAATGATGATGATACTTCCACTGGTGGGATACCATTTCAAGTGACGCATTCCTTGCATTCCAGTGCACAGGAGAAGTAAATGGTGGACAATTGAATAGCGACTGGAATCAACTTAAAAATAAGCATGTCAGCAAGGACATCAAGTAGGTAAAAGGGAGAAGTTGAGAGGTAGGAATTGACTCACATAGCAAAAGAAGGCCTCTGCTAGGAAGTGTCCCTTGGGTTGAGATCAACAAGTGCAAGGAGGAACAATACAGCTGTGAACATCTGGAAGGCAGTGTTTCAAGAGGCACAGCAAGTGATGCTGAGGTGGGGAAGGCAAGCCACTTAGAGGAGAAGAAAGTCAACCTGTAAGCTGGGGCACTGCGGGGGACGGTGAAAGGGTCGCGCGGCATACCAATTGGTCATGTCTGCTGTTTAAAATAGTATTCTGACCTCCAGGTCATTTATCTACTTCACTGCATATTGCTGTACACTTAGTATTTTCCTGAACTACCAATTAATTGGAGCTTAATTTAGGAAGTTATGTATAATAATAAAATTGTATTAATGATTTTTCTCAGCATGCCATTAACTTTTATGTTTTATACAGTCAAGCAATGAAACTGGCACCTGGTTACTGGGTAAACTCCTAAATTGCTTCCCTCTGGTGAAGGAAGACTCACTGGCAAAGCCTCATTAAAGCACCAAACAGTCTCACTCTTCTGTTCTCAGAGTGAGGAAAGAAATGACACCTTTGGTGCCATCAAAGGAGGCCTGCGATGTTGCCTTTAATAGATGCTCTTCTGAAAGCTATCATCACACTGCAGTCACTGCTGCCTGGCCAGTGGCCTAGTGTTTTGATGTGACTTTGATTTTGGCACTAGCCTTCTGCTATTAAATTCATACTCCTCCAGGCATTAGCTTCACAATGAAAGGAAACCGCCTCCCCTAACAACAATCCCAACAAAAACAACAACAATAAAAATACTGAACTTAGCATCAGCTGTAACAAGCTGTCAGGCAAAAGAGATGGTTGCATTTCTGGTTTTCTTGCTCTTTAGCATGATGGATAGCTTGACATCACAGATCTTTTCCTTGTACTTCCTCCCTGTGCAGCATCTAAAAATACATCGCACAGTGGGAACCCCTGACCCATGCCATTGCTCACACAGTCAGTGTGAAGGGCAGAGATCACCCCCTCAGAGCTCACAGGGTCATTATTTGGAGAAGTGATTCAGCATTCCTGGGGACCCTGGGGAAGGGAGATCTGCCTCTATAGATTCTACCACTGTTACAGATCATACTTTTCCATGACCCATGGTTTGTGAACTCTTGTCCTTGATCCTACTGGAAGGCTCCTGCAGAACTGGAAAAAAAGGCTAATGGAATTTATTCAAGTGTGTGTTAGAAATTATAAATGAGTTTTGAAATGAGTCTGAAGACACTGGATATGTTATATAAGGACATTAGAACACGTACTGGTCCCCATTTGACTGTTGAAAGGAGATAGGATGTACAGTTCTTATGTTGTTTTAATTTCAAACTGTGGAACCAGTGTTTAAAAAAAGGTTAAGATTCATTTCTCTAAGAACTAACTGTATGCATTAGATGTCACATAGGTCAGTTATTCATCCAGATTGAATGCATTGACAACACAAAATGTGCTCCAGACATTGTAAGTTGTAAGTCGCTGCAGATGCAGAAATGAATTATAACATTTCACGCTCAACAAGAATTTTGAACCTAGGAGGAAAGAGGCAGCGAGACAAAATAACAGTCAAATGATCACACATGGTGAATGTGATGAACATTTTTTTCTCATCTCTCACTATGCCCAGAACATTAGACATATAGGGCAACTATTCAGCTTCCTTAACACATTGTGCCTGAAGAATATGGATATTGCTGTTGAATGTATCATTAGAGTGGAAGTAGATTTGGGTAGGGAGATGCCAAGAGAGTTCTCTCAGGAACCTTTGAGGCTATATCATCAACAAGCACTGTGGATGCAGCTCAGATCTTACCTAGCATGTGCCAAGGCTCTTAGCTCTAGCTTGAGCCTCAATAACACACACACACACACACACACACACACACACACACACACACACACACACGATGGAGGCATGGGTTATCCATTACAGAGAGGTAGGAAAATGGCTTTACTTTTGACTGTAATTTTCATGAATTTCCTCACAGTGTTGCCAAATGAATCCATCTATTTTGTGTCTAGGTAGAACTATCTGGATGTTGTCATTGTAAAGACATTGATGCTATCTTTTCCTCTCTATTCCCCATGCTTCAACCCTTTTCTATCTCTAACGCATTTCCTCATCCACTCAACATAGGATCTTAAAAACTTTTAGGCATATACTTATTCTAGTGACGCATTATAAATACAAAGTCTTTCCAATGAGTATTCTAACCTAGGGTAGGTCAACATAATAACAAATTTATAACTGGCTGACCTAGAAAAGAAAGGTTTCAAAGTACAAGTAAGGATTACACCTGAAGTGTGAGTGACCCTTAAAGACTGACAATCAGAATGAAATCAGAGAAATAATTAAAACAATTAAAATTTTTCTGTGAATGACTTCTGCTCATGGATAGCCAGGAAGGGCTACTGCATCAAGTAACTATGAATGATTCCATGACTGTCTGAGTCCTTGTCTGTAGTTAAGTCAGTGATGAATGGCAGGTGCATTGGGGATCAGGTGCAGTCTGGCAGCACATTTTCTTTCCAGATGTCACTACATATTATTATGATTCTGAGGAAAAGATGAAAAATGCTTATAAAATTTTAACTAACCCTTAGAGATAAAAAAAGAAAGTTGGAATATTCTTCCGAGGAAGGGCCATATGTCTCTTCCTAGTAGGAGTGCTTTTTATAGACAGACTTCACCACGACACACAGACTTTACCTATCCAGGTAGTCGTTTCCTCTCCCAGGAAAGCACTGACATCCGGCGCAAGTGAAGACATCCTATTATGATGTCTCATACGTATGTGACATTTCCCAAACGTAGCTGTTGGTAGACATGTCTGAGAAGTCAAATCTATTCTAAGTTAAGTTTTCATCAAGACAGAGTGGAATTTTTAATACAAAATATCTCTCTTATTTAGCTCTGCTCTAAAGAGACCTTCATAAATGCCACAGCAGCAAAGTCCTCATCTCTGGCAAACAAGAAGAAAAATCCTCAACCAACACTGTGATATTTGTACACACAACTCAGACCAATGAAAAGTGCATTAAATAATGCGACAGACCACTCGCTAACGGGAATCAGACATTCTTGGCTCACTTCCAAGGGTTGATTTTCTCAAATCAGATGGCCCTATGTGTCAAATTCAGAGGTCGTCTACATTTTGCATAATGCTTTCATATACTCCCAGAGATATCCAATATGAGATAGATTTTAAACAAATTCATTACACCTATTCAGCGCTCCTGAACAGGAACTTTAAGTTTCCTAGGTTAGTTCTGGAGAGTGTAAATGAGGATGAGAAATCCATGAGTAATCACGCTCAGTTGTCACAGTATCCTGAAGCATCTCTCAGCTTTGGCACAGCTGATACTTGGGACAGATAATCCATTGTTGTGCTGTGTGTTGGAGGGTGTTAGCATCATTTCAAGCCTCTGCCTACTAAGCACCTAGTGTTTTCTGTCTGCAGCTGTGACAATTGGCTATTTCTCCCAGTCACTGTATTGTCAAATGCCCTCTGAGGGAGGCAAGGAAAGGCATTCTTAGATGAGAGCCAGTAGGGGTAGTGAAATACAGAAGGAAAAATCAGGTAACAAGGGCTGAGATTAAGGTTACTAATCTAAGGACTATGCTCTACAAACGTGGCCAATGATAGTTCCAATTTAGTGGCCCAATCATATTTTATTATCCCCTATGCAGGCCCTTACTTAGCTCCTCCCAGGAATGTATCAAGACTCTTGATTTTTTTCTATTTGACTTTCCCATTATGATTATCCAGAATGGAAATTTAATAAATATTGTTGATCTAATGATGAGCATGGCTAGGGAGGGGCGTGATTATGTGTCTGTGTCTGTGATGCCACTGCTCGTTATTTCCTTCTCCAACGATGCCTGCAGACTTGGATGCCTATGATGAGAGTTCCCACAGATACTCAAGTTAGTTCATGTTCCTAACATGCAGAGGAGGAAAACAATGTCTGAGATCTTTCAGGAAGAAACAGAATCAGGATTTTTAGAGTTTTCTCTAACGCCAATGCACTGTCTCTTTGTTTAATTAGCCACCAGATCAGATAGACCAGTGCTGGTGGACTGCCTTGGACCCTAGAATGTAAAGGTGAATGAGACATGGTGCTTTCTCCCAATTATCTAAGACGTCACGACCTGACATGCTAATCAAGCTCATTAGAAAGCTCAGAATTCCACCAGCTCGGGAAGACTGGCTTCATTTTTGGCCCCTTTAGTGGTTTGTTAGAGGAATAATGAAATTATCTTGTTTGACAGAAGTTATACTTTGACTTATAATCTCGATATGAAATAATATTGGGGAGATTTTTTTCCGGAGGATGAGTAGCAAGGTACATATGGTATTCCAACTCCACATTCCCACAGCACAGCTTCATCAAAGGAGGTGGGCAGGAGTGTCCCTTCCTGGTCTAGGGGAGATCCTCCTAGTACCGGAACCTCCACAGCTCCTGTCTGATGGCTGGGAAGGAAAGGAGCTGTCCTCTCGGCAGAAGTGGTGTCAGGGCTGTTAGCTGACAGGAGAAGGTGGGTAGCCTGGCTCTATGTGGCAGAAGCAGCCTTGCTCCCCCAAGACCATGATTTCTTAGCTTGCCGACCTCCTTCTCCTTTCCCTCTTACTTATCCAGCATATTGTTCCTTGCTTCTTCATTGCTATTTTGATCTCCCTCATCTCCTCAGATTCTTTCCACTGTCCCTGGTCCTTAAAATTTTTATGAAGGCATCTCTCTCTCTCTCTCTCTCTCTCTCTCTCTCTCTCTCTCTCTCTCTCTCTCTCTCTCTCTCTCTCAAAAGTGTGTTGATACTCAGTGATTTTCCTTGTAGAGTTACAAGCTGAACCGGAAAAAATTTCAGAGAAAAAAGTAAACCCAACTTTCTCCTACTTTCTAACACTTCTTTTTTTTTGAGAGAGAGAGAGAGAAGGAAAAGGTTCAGGTCAGTTCTTATTTTCATCTGAATGGCTTTTCCATCCAAATAGCATAAGGAATGTAAAAAGATTTAGGGGAATATAGGCATGGACATGAATAATTCAAATGTACATTAAGAATGCAGAACTTTTGGAGCAACCACTACATTTTAAGGAGAATATTGGAAAAACACTGGGGAATAGAAACAAATGTTACCTCCTCTCATCATTTTTATAAAAAGAAGCCACCAAAACAAGAACCACCACTGAACGAATGTTCCCAATTATGAATTGCTAAGAACTGCTTTATATAATAGGAGTCTGGCTGAAATACAGTTATAAGTGGAATTTCTTGCCATCTTTACACGTCTTAATTATGCTTTCCATAAACAACTACACAAAATTCACCAACTTCCAAGAATTCTGAAAATTATTTCAATCCAGGTATTCTGTTTGTGGAATAGACAAATCTATTTTAGGTGCTTATTTTAGTTGTATCTAGTTGTCAAGATAATACAATTATTTCCATCTTGGGGACTGGGAATATGGCTCATTGGCCAAATGATGGCCTGGTGTGCATTAACTCCTAAGTCCAATTCCTCAGTGAAAAGGTGGAAGAAAATATTTTTTTGTTGTTTATGCATCTTAGTACTAGTCATCAATGTAGGGAATGCATTTTTTAAATGATGGTTACTAAATTTGAGAAATTCAATAGTATTTTTCTTCCAAAGCTAGCATGAGATATATGGCATGGGAATCTCTGGCTCCAGAATGCTGCTGTCACTACGTTGTCACATTTGGTGGAATTAGAAGTATGGCTTAATGCTATCCTTTTATACCTGGTTCCATCTATAATGGCATCAATCACAGTATGTTCCTGATACCTAGTAGATCTTATTAAGTGGTTATTCTCTTCTTTTTCCTTGAATCTGGCTGTAAATACTATTCTCCTTTGAATCAAAATGTCATATTTAATTAAATTCAGAAATCTTTTTTTTAATTGCTGACAAACAAGCAGGCCTTGTTTTCCATCTTCAAAACAAAACTCCTGAAGTTAGCATCTGTCAGCTTTGAAAAAAAATGCTGTAAGTACTTTTAGTGTTTGCTTGCTAGGCTTTATTGAGTAAGTTCCTTTTATAAGATTACAACAATAAGGACTACTTTAAAATCTCATCTAGACCATTATCACTGAACGCAAGTTTACCTGATAGGAAACCTTATGTGTTCATTGGTGCATTGACTAGGTTGAATTCATCTTTTAATATCCGAGGAAATAGGTGAAAAATTTGTAAGTCCTTGGAGCTCCTGAACCTTTTGCATAATTCATTGCTTTAGTTAACTGAAATTAATGTGGACAAAGTGAGAGAGTTCTTGCTTTTTCTTCCTCTAGTGAAATTCTGAAAAAGTCATTCAACCCGGAGAGGGACAGCAATTTATCACTCCAGAGCACCCAAGTTCCAGGAAGAAGTCACACACCACTGGGTAAGGCAGCTCTCTCCTTCAAGGTTTAGAATAGACCTTTGGAGCTGTCAGCAAAGGACTAATCTTTAAAAGGTTTACACTTTGGATTTTCAAATAAAGATGGAATGCTTAGATTGCCCTAAGGGATCCCAGGACTTCCTATGGCTGCCTGGGTATGGTAGAGTAATTATGCAAACTTCTTCAGAGTGATTAGACATTAAGGTCTTACTGAGATGCTCTATAGGAAGAAAAGTCTGGATGTTGACAATTGCCCCACATACTAGAATTGAGTCTGGACTTCAGCTGTGAGATAAATGGAAACTGGGTGGACAGAATTTCCAGTAACAAAATTATTGGCAAGCACTTCAGAGATCTGGCTAAACTTTCCATTTGACAGGTGAAGATATGAAGCCCAGTGAGCTTAAGCAGAAGGTCATAAAGGAACAGGCATCTGACAACTGCTGGCCAGTGCTCTTTGTGCTTTTCTCTCCCCTTCAGGCCTGGCTTCAAAGTCTTTAGCTTGACCATGCTTCACACAAGTCCAGAACCATTCAAATCTTTATGTGTCTCAAACTCAAATTACTAAGTTTTTACATATGTGATGCTGGTGCCTTAAAGAAACAGTGATTAGAACCCTCAAACCAAAGGACTGTTTCACATTCATTTGACAAACATTGATTTAAGTGCACGCTGTTTTGAACCCAGTGACTTAGAGACTGAGCAAGTATTAAAGAACAGAACAAAGTTGCTTGCATGTTGGAATTTGATTGTTCCTTTGGGAAAAAGAAGAAGCATATTTACTTAAGTACTTAAACAATTTTGATTTATTTAAATTTAATAAATTTATATATAAAGAATTAAATGAAATTTAAATGTTTGAATATCTGAAACTATGATGGTGAGTAACATTGCAATACAAGTTGTTAAACCAAATGAAGAAGTGCAGGGTTGGTGTCATAGAAACATGCTGGACAGTGTTTTTAGGTGTTAATGTTATTATGAGCAATCCATCTGGTTGAGAAGGTGAAGGCACAGCAGAATTAAGTTCACAGTCTCACAGTCCAGTAAGCTCTGCTTTGCTCAGTAGCTACAGATTATACTTCTCCTCCTGATTAGTTATCTCATACATAGATTGCCTGAGTCTAGAGCAATAAGATGGTAAATTGTTCAGCCCTATAGGCATTAAAATAAAGCCCCTACTGAAATACATTACTGGTCTCTCTAAAGGCTGGGATTTTCTGTCATGAGGATACCAAATACTTGTGCCCAATATTTATAAAAATCGACATACTTGCTATGCATGGTATAGATAAGATCTATACTTCTAGTTACTTAATACTCAATATTCAGAAACCCACACTACATTATAAGTAGTTTTAGACAAGGCCACTTTGGGAACTTTTTAATTAGAAAATGCTGTAGTCTAAACTAATCACTTCATCCCATTTATTTGATCTAAAATATCATTCAGAAACCACTTTGGGGAGGAGGGATTTATGGTCCTAAGCAGATTTCCGCATCCCAGTTGGATAATTAAAAAGAAAGACCATTATCGCCAGATGTGTACTGACTGATCCCTAGGACAGGTGTTGGAGATGATGGATCAATGGAGCTGGTCAGGGCACCTCAATCCTCGAAGCCTGCACAGAAATGATTCTGTTTATTGGGCAGTAATACTGGTGATAAAATTTAATGGCAGAAACCGGAGTGAAAGCAAATGGCATCAAAATGATTGGGGGAAGAAAAATAAGAGCAGACTAAAGCCATGACAATTTTACATGGAAAGAAAATCCTACAAAATCTGCCATTTTGCCCCCATGAAAAGTTCATGGGATAGACATGCATATGCGCATTCTTGCTGTGGGCCACATGAGGTTACAGAGCACAGCTATGTGACTGTGCCTATTTGCAAGCACGTGTTTACGTGTTCTTTTAAAATTCTAATATGCTCTTTCTTCTGTCATAGCCACATTACCTCCTAGACCAAGCTCTGATTTGGAAGGAATGGGCCCAGAAATTTTCAATGGCAGCCAAGTGCTCACACGCATCCTTGATTTGGAAAAGGTAACTTCCTTTAGTTTTGCAATGGTCAGATAATGAAGAATTTGAACAAATATGTTTTACATTGATAGAAGGTTCCCCAAGGAAGGGGTTTGTAGCACTTTTCTAGTTTGAATACTATCTTAGGCAGGATCTATCTTGTGCACTTTTCAATCAGAGTTTCATTTTAAAACACTGCAAATTCCTTAAGGTCTTAGGCATTTATTTACTGCCCTGGTAAGTCCCTTAATTAAACTTATTGTCTTCACTTACTAAGAAATAATGTAGTATTTTATGTGATTTTTCAATTTTATGAAGCAAGGAAATGAAAGTGAAGCTATAACACTCTTTGCATTTGGTGCCTCATCCATACTAACACCTTTGGACAAATTAGAGCTATGAAAATCTCTCCCCTAAGTAGGAAAATCTTTTTCCTTAGCATGTTTTACAGAGCTTAACTATGGAGTTTTCTGTTCCCCAAAGATCATCTACTTTATGATTCTTCTGATCAAAAGATAATAAACACGATTTTATAAGAGATGTGAGCTAGTGGCCTGAAAGCACTCTCTCTCCTTTCTTTGTGCGTGTATGTATGCATGTGTGGAAATTATGTTTGAATAATTTAAAGAACAACAGTTACTCTGTAGTTCCTACACTCTCATAACTTGCTGTCTTTCAGCCACCCTAGTTCATATAGTCAAGCTATCATGCTTTAAATATGGCTGGCCTCCATCATCCTGCTTTTTCCTTCCCATCGTCTCCCTCCCTATCCCCACCTCTTTCACACATACTTTATCTAGGTAGAGGATATTTCTTCCATCTGAATCATAAGACATTCCTCTGGTATTTATTCCCATTCCAGTAAACCTAGTCACTACTGTATACTGTGAGCATATTACTGATCCTTGGGTTTCCATTGTGTGTAACATAGACATCTTATTAAACTGATCCAGGTCTTATTAAGGCAAGTCATATAAATAACAAAAGAGATGAACCAAAAATAGTTGCCATGAAAAGATACCAAAATCAACAAGACAGTGCTGACTCTGCCTGTGCTGTTGGTGATAGAACCCTTTCTTACTCTGTATAATGTAGAAATTGAAAGTTGATATTCTGTTACATTTGGGGTTTTCAGGAATCCCTTGGTCCTGGAAGTTCCTCAGCATTTCCAGTTAATTCCAGTTTAAGTCCTCCCCTCACAGGGTCTGTGTGCACACAAGGAAAACCTGTTCTAGTCCTCTCTACTTTCTTCTCGATTCCTGGAGAGAATTTGCATTGGATCAGACAATTCCTAGAATGCATAGACTACAAACACTTTTCTCAAAATTGCCACTTTACTGTATTGGAACTCCCAAAATCTCTTTCTCATGTAGAGTGGGATTTTAGAGTTTTGTAAGGCACCACAAAGTCACATAGTCTAGAGATATAAGCCCCAAGTGAATATTGTGTTTATGGATACATATTTTTTAGAGTAGGTGGAATGAGGCAGGGATCTAAGAATTAGGATGACACATTGATGCTTGTGCCAGAAGTCTTCCCGATTCCTTTCTTTCTCTCTACTGCTTTCTGCAACCCTTGCAGGAATGAGGAGGGAAATTACTCTGGAGTGAATTTATGTGTAACGTTAGATCAGAGCTGTGAACGAATGACCAGAATACCAGCATGTACAGTGTCTCCTAGAGAAGTGCATCTTGTCTTGTTCCATTACACTTAGAAGTCATGTTGCTGGAAAGCAGAGTGTAAATTTTGTGATGGGAACCTAAGGGGAGAATGGAGTTGACCTTTACCTCATAAAGTTATATGAGTTAGTGTCTGGAAGAAATCCCTTGTGCATTACAATTAAATGTAGTTAATGTCATAAATACACAAACTATTATGGTGACCAATATTATGATTGAAGGAGTGATTCATCTGCAATGCCTCTGTGCTATGCAATACATTGGCCATTTACAATGATTCCCTTATGAAAATTGTTTCCCATTACTGTTTGTTGCAATTATCTTGACTTATCTATTTAAAAAGCATTTTCATATTTTTCCTTTTTTATCTTTCTGTACTTGAGACTTAAAGGAAACAATCCATCTCTCCACTTTTGTAAACAAGCACAATTGGTCCTAAGAATAGAACCCCATTTTTTTTTGAGGTCTTCCAATGATTATGACCAATTTTACAAGAAACCACACAGAGTTAAGACATTTGAGCTTCTGCTACTCAAGGCCCAGGAAAAATGAATACAATTTTGATTCAGAAAGATTTTTGTCAGAAACCATTTGACACTTTTGGTCTTCTGGCCAGAGATAAGCCAGCTCTGTTATACAAATAAAATGTGAACCATTTACATCAAATCATTGACATGAATTTATGTCTTCATGTGCATTCTTCCTCCACAAATCCACATAGGTATATTTGCATACCTTATTGTTATTTTAAATATTGTTTTAAATACAGCTGTTGCAGAGATAAGCCAGTTACCTTGAAGATGAAAATCTCTTCCTATTTATATTTTCTAATACGACTTCTCTGTTCTCTCACATACTTGTAGCTGCTGAAGCAAAATTCAACTCCAGAGGAGATACGAAGAGAGCTGTGTGAAAGCTACCCAGGGTACACTGCAGAATATGCCTTCTCTTGGCTCACTCTAGGGAAAAATGTTTTTAACAAATTTTGCCTTTCGAACATGACACTTTTAGAGTCTTCTCTCCAGGAACTAAAATATCAGGTCTCTCAGGTGAGTGCAAATTAAATCTATAGATACAGATATATCTCCAAAATCTTATGCACAATTAGAGAGGTTAGGCTTCCATTTTGGGGTTCCCAAACTGGCTCGCTATGAATTATTAAGCAAGACTATAGCCCACTTGGACTGGGAAATATTGACTGGAATATCTGTAGACTCTTACCATAATTTCCTCCCACATAAACATTTACATATAGTGTTTAATGTTAAGTAGCAGTTATTTATCATTAAAATGTACAGGATTGAAATGATTTGATGCTGAACTTGAAATATTATATATGATTAATGTAGATATACCTCATTAAAAAAACAGCTTGGCTCTATGATGAATAAAGAGTGCTTTCCCTGAGACCTAGGAGTGTGATTACACAGAATAGAATGAAAGTTTAATAACTAAGGTATGAGAGTCATACTCTTGTCAGAAGTTGGAAAAATGAGTAATGTCTTTACTTTTCTCATGACATCAAACTTCATTTGCTGACTTTTGATGAAATCATTTATCCCTGTCCCTCAAATTTTACACATTGGAGAGAATGCTATCTCAATATTCTGTGTATGCTAGTCTTAAGTGATGAAGGAAAAATAGAAAACCAAGAGGCCAATATCTAAATTTAATGAAACCTACATGTAATGAAAAATTAAAATTTCAGAATTACCCACAAAAGCATGCTTACTTTAACATTTCCCCTTGATACTCTGAACTTTTAAATTTTAAAAATATATCTTTTGGTAATCTGGTTTCCAAAAGATCCAGATTAAGGCAGAATTATAATAGCTCAAATTACAATATGATGCTCTCACCATCCCCTTGAATTTGTACTATGGTTGGAGAGTGCTTGCCTCAAATCCCCAGTACTAGGGAAAACATCTTTCGCATATAAATTCTTCCATCAGGTAGAGTACCCCGAGTACCCAAAACTACACTGTTCAAAATCAATCAAATTAAGACAGATGGAAGGTTCATCTTGACTGGTATGAGTGGGGTTATGGAGAAACTTGCTCTGATGAGACCATAATGAACAAATGCTTCTGTAAGAACTATCTAGATTATGTGATTCAAAAGCCATAGTTTTGCTGGTTTGTTGGAAGCACAAGGTGTGGTCATCAGGTAGATTCCTTCATAGTTAACCATTCATGGTAACTAATGTTCAAGCTTTGGGACAGAATCTGGAAACACTACAGTATATCTATAATATATATCCATAATATATTTCATTTACTTTTCCACACATATTAACTTTAAAGGATCTCCACCAAAAATAGACATCCTAGTGAAAGATATAGGAGCAATATGCCTGTGTCTCCCAGGAAACATAATAAGGAAAACTAAAAAAAAAAAAGAATTACTCAGGGTCATCTGGACACAGAAGGGAAGCTGCACCTGTGAACTCACAGTGATTGTGGCAACATGCATGAGACTTGTGTAAGCTCAGGTCAGACCAAATCCCAGAATGGAAAGGAGAGGTGGATGAGAAGTCTCACCCCTAATCGAGGAGGTATTGAAAACTGATGAATGTTGGGAGAAGGAGAATGAGTTTTCTTTAAGAGTAAGGCTCCTGATAAGTTGATCACACGCCAGCGGAAGGTCACACATTTGAGGATATATGAGCAACACAAATTGGATTTAATGGATGAAAAAAGTCATAAAGCTGGGTGGACAGGAAAGGGGTAGCGGATGTGGGAGGTATTGATGAACATGATGAAAACACATTATATTAAATTCCCCAAACTAATAAAATAGCCCAAAATGAAAAGCATTCAGAAATTAAATTTGTTTTAGAAATTTAACTTTAATTTCTGAATATCTAACTTAAATATTTCATATCAACATAATTTTATCAATCAAGCTTTAATCATGCTAATTTCTGGAACTCTAAGGGGGCCAAAAAGCCAATGATGTTGAAAGATGTTTGCAGTTTTTCCCAGGGAGAGATGACTTCAAACTGAGTAAGGATTTAAACAACAACAGCAAAAAAATCTCAAAAACTGGATTTGAATGTGAAAAATATAGTTTAAAAAAGTCTTTTCAAAGACAGTAAACCACATGACTACAAATGTCAAAGTATCATTTTTTTCTCTCTACGGTTTGGCTTCTGAAGATGTCCAGTGATCCTGACAACCAGAAGAGAGTGTTTCAGGGGCTTGTCCAGGTGCTCTCCTTTTTCTCTCAAGTGCAGCAGCAAAGAGAAGTGTGGCAACTTCTGTCGAGTTTTCCAGATGTGTTTCAGAATGACACCTCACTGAGCGGTCTATTTGGTGTTCTTCAAAAGGCAAACAGGTAAGTTAATGGGATGTTACATGGAATGCAATTGTTCACAAAGAAGTCTTAAAAAAATAGTTCCTGTGAGTCTTACTGTCAGGTAGGTTATTTAAACATTGGGAAAGCAGTTCTTTGGCATCCTGCTGCAGATTTGGGCAATGGAGTTGGGTGTGTCAACTGAGCAAAATGAAAGACCCTTTGTGTTTGCTCATTGAAGTCATCAGGCATCCATGAGAAGTAAGAGGAGTTCTCTCCTCCGAACTACACATCATTTTGTGTCCTCGGGTTTCCAAGAATGATGCAGAGAGAAGAACCAACTCAGGATCATTTTGGGACGACCTAAGCCCTGTGCACATGTCTCTGTGGAGTTTGCTCTGTATCATCCTGTATAAAACAGCCCTGTGGCTTAAAGTTTGCTCTAGTCACCTAAATGGGATTGACTTCCCTCATAAATTGTCTTTCTAAGTCAACAGATGGTGTCATAGGGTTTCTATTGCTGCAGTGAAACACCATGACCAAAAGCAAGTTGGGGAGGAAAGATTTTATTCAACTTACACTTCTGTATCATTGTTCATCATCAAAGGAAGTCAGGACAGGAACTGAAATAGAGCAGGAACCTGGAGGCAGGAGCTGATGCATAGCACATGGAGGGTAGCTACTTACTGACTTGCTCTACATGACTTGCTCAGACTGCTTTCTTATAGAATGAGAACTGCCAGTTGGTACCACCCACAATGGATTGGGCCCTCTCCATCAATTACTAATTATGTAAATGCCCTACAAGCTTGTCCACAACCTGATCTCATGGATGCCCTTTCTTAACTAAGGCTCCCTTCTTTCTGATAACTCCAGTTAGCTCCAAGTTGACACACAAACAGCATCACACCTTCCAATGAAGAACAATGCTGGTTTTGCTCTTAGATAGTTTCTTAAGAAAACGAGAGCCTGTTTACATGATGCCATTTTCTCAATGTTTATTTGTAAGAACTAGAAGCTGAAGAAAACAAATATCTATACAAAGAATGAATGAGCAAAACAGCTATTGAAAGATTCGAAATCCAGTAAAAATAAATTCTAGAATCACACAGAGTCGTGAAAAAAGTTCAGTATTACACTGTCAAGAGAATCTAGACTTAAAAAGCACCACTTGAGAAGCTGAAGTAGGAGAGTGGTGAGTTCAAGATCAGCCCATGCTACATAAAGAGGGTTTATCTTGTATTTCAATGATCATTTACACTACTTCCCATGGGGTAAATATAGACTCAGAAGAGGGATTGTTCCATCATATGGTAGTTCTGTGATTAGTATTTTCAGAAGTCTCCCCAGCATTTTCTATAGAACTTGCTGCACCATTTTGTGCTCTAACAAACTGTGTGACCAGGCTTTGTTTTCCCTATGTCCTCACCAACACTTCTTGCCTTTCATTTATTCATTAAACATCTGGCCATTTGTCTGTTCTCTTGAGAGGAATTCCTTTTCAAATCCCTGGCCATTTTTAACTTTCAATACTTCACAGTAGGAATTACTCATACACTTTGGAGGTAAATCTTTCACCAGATACATGGTTTGTAAGTTTTTCCTCCCACTCTGTTTATTGTTTTCACAAGAGAGTGGCATGTGACTTTTACCCAATTAAACAACATAGTTTCCTTAGTAATCTAGTAAATTTCTATAGATTTATGTATTTGTTATTCCTAGTATGATATCATTATCACTGTGAGTTTCTGAATACTTGGCACATGCAAAGGTGACCAAGGATCTGACAGCTCAGCCTTAATTGAAGAATTTAAAATTCGTGCTTAATTTAGTCATTAGAAAACTTTTAAGTAAGTTGGGTACATCTTGAATGTGTGATTTTGCTTTTTCAAAATTCTGTAAGTTTATTGAAATTTAAGCATAATGTAAAGCATCTCAATTAAGAATACTGATAGCTTGGGGCTACAGGTACAGCTCAGAGGGTAAGAGTACATACTGCTCTTACAGAGGACCTGAGTTTGGTTCCCAGGGCCCTATCAAGTGGTTCACAATCACCTACAGCTCCAGTACCAGAGAATCAACACCTTCCTCTGATCTCCAGGGACATCTTTGCTAATACCCTCTCACACACATAATTAAAAATAAATCTTAAAAAGGGTATACCAATATTTTAAGTTTCAACAGCTCCAGGTGGCCAGTGGGTAGCGTATAAAATCTGATCACTCTTTAATTGCATTAGAAAACTTTTAATTTGTCCCTTCACTAAATTATTCTCTTAAAAATAGTTGTTTTCAAGTACATAGAGATGGCTCAGTGGGGAAGAACACTTGCTACACAAGAATAAAGACCTGAGTTTCAATCTCTAACGTAAATATCTTGACTGTTGCATACCTGTGATCCCATCACTGGGGGATAAGACAGAGGATTCTGGGAGTCAGCCTGACTGAGTTCAGTTTGCTTAGAGATCTTGTTTCAGTACAATAAGGCAGAGACGATGAGGAAGACATCCTAACACCCTCTTCTGGTCCCCAGCTCTACGTACTTGGACAAGTGCAATTGCAAACATGGGTCCCCTCATGTTGTCTCTTTCACACATACCACTACATACACAATCATCTGTACAGAAGCCTTCTAAGAACAATGTTTGGACTTCCTGATTGTACAAAATAGACACTTCCACTTAAAAATGGAAAGAATATGGTGCAAAGATTTATGCTACTAGTGAATCAGCACTGACCGCGGTTCTCTGTTGGTGTAAAACACATGTGAAGGCTGAAGATGTAGTACAATAAAAGATTTCAAAGGTTTTATTAATTTCTATATTGAATACTAAATGCCAAGTGATGAAATTTTATGTTTTCAGTTAAATAGAAGTCTGTATTAAAATTAATTTGGTTTCTCCTAGCTTTTTGAAAGGTGATTATTAGAAAATTTAAAACTAAATATATATATTTTTATTGGAATACCATTTCAAAGAAAAATCTCTATTATTACTATTATTATTACTAAATTGGCAATTTAATTAAAAGCCACAATTTCCTCAAAATTTTCATCACCAAATTATTGTCTCATTACCTTATTTTATTCTTTGTTTCACAAATTAAAGGAACAAGTGGCCCTGTAGATAGTTCATTTCCTTTTTTAACCTCTTTTTTTTGTTGTAATCTGTATACTGATAATCTTCAAAATTAGATTAAGCTTTTTTGTTTGTTTTTTTTTGAGAAAGCATTTCTCTTTGTAACAGTTCTGGCTGTCCTGGAACTCATTCTGAGGACCAGGCTGGCCTCGAACTCACAGAGATCCTCTTGCCTCTGCCACTGAGTGATGGGATTAAAGGCATGCGCCATCCTGCCCCTCAGATTAGTCTGTTAATATTACAAGAATGAGCAGTCTCAGAATGGTATATGAAAGGCCATGCATGATTCCAAGCTTTTATGAGGAAAAGGTTACATTGGAATATGAGTCGCAAAACTTTTAGAAAAAAATTTCTTATGTAGAAAGTGACTTGTTTTGAATAATTTCGATTTTATATGATAAATAATGTGACAAATCTATAAAATAAAGTAAATATATCTTGATCTGTGTGTCACAATATTCCAGACAGGATGAGAGGCGGCATCACAGGTGTTTGAATTTGCTAGAATAAAATTTAGTCTTCTCACCAATAAGTTGTTTACTAATAATATGACTAACAATGATGCTGGTTGTCATGATATCAACAAACATTAATTCTTTCAGTTTGCAACAGTAGATCAGGTGTGTTAGGTCAACGAGCCAGATTAGATGAAAATTAGCTGAAATCTATAACATGAAACCCACTCATCCGGTGACCATGGTTACAAGACTCCAGAGATAACTCAAAGATTAAGAACCAGGAGATTCTTGGCAGACTAGAACTATACTACTGAACCACCAATGGAAGCAGTAAGTTCTTGGAGCAAGCAAAAAACTGCCCAAATATTGACTGTTATACAGAGAAGGCAAACGAAGACACAATATAGCTGTACTCCTGGGTTAACACGTCTAAGCACACCTGGGTTAATACACTGGCAGTGACCGTGGTTCTGTGCATGAATTCTTTTATCTCCCTCCTCCCTTCTGTGTTGACGTAGTTTCTATGCTAGAGATCTCATAGAGACTTTGAAATCAGCCAGGCCAGCTTTGCTTACTACTGGCCAGATAGATAACTTGGGTGAGCTATTGAACTTTTGAGATTGTACCCATATACAAAGTAAGGCATATCAAATGAACTTCATGGAAGCGTTGGAAAACAAAATTTAAAATTACATGAACACGTAAGTTATCCATATCTAGAAATCGCCGAAGAGACACAATTTAGCTGTCATTCATATCCAAGGGACTAAGATTAAACTGATCTCAGTTAAAAAAGTTGAAGATTCCAAAAATATTGTCAAAATCTCTGGACATCTGTATTCACACACTGGTTCAAGTGCTGGAGAAAGTGGTCAGCTTACTGATGAGGTATATGATAAAGAGAATTGTAGTGGCATCTTGCCTTGCCAGTGAACTTGTGGTGGTTTCAGGTTCAGACATGACCCATTATAAGGTAGAGGAGGGACTGGTTCGCACTCTCTTGGGCTGTGGGCAGCATGAGGTGGGGGATGTCCTTCTGTATATATGTTTCTCTCATTGGTTGATGAATAAAACACTGATTGGCTAGTAGCCAGGCAGGAAATATAGGCAGGGTTACCAGATGAGGAGAATTCTGGGGAGAGCAGCCACCAGGGAGATGCCATGCTGAAGGAGTAACAGGTCCAGGCATTCTCTGGTAAGATAAGACTATGAAGAAATACATATATTAATAGTTATGAATTAATAATTAAGAGAGAGCTAGCCAGTAAGAAGCCTAAGTCATTGGCCAAACAGTTGACGTTTAATATAAGCCTCAGTGTGTTTGTTTGGGACTGAAGGATGGCAGGACTAGCAGAACAGAAACTCCGTCTGCAAAGAAACTAGTAGCTAGTTTGTGCTGTACCAATCCTTCAATGGCAAATAATTAGTACTCGAAGCACTGGGGACAAGCAAGATGGCTTAAGGGTAAAGGCAAGACACTTGCTGCTCAAGTTTAAATGCTGACTCAGCTCTGATTGTTGCTCTAAAATCACATTTGTGAGACTCAGACATCCTCATGCAACTACCACATCTCTTTTTGAAATGAATTAATGACCATAAAGGGATGAAAGGAAATTTCTTGAATAGTAAGTGAATTGCTGATTTTCTGTGCCCAGTGTGACTGGCTGTATTATTGGTTACATAACTCATAGAAAGCCAGTGTTGGGTGTTTTGAGATGAATTTTGAGCTGTGTTTGGAGTAGTGCCTGTGGTCCACTTAAGGGACAGAACACAATCTTAATTAGCCCAAGTTCTGCTTTTTAAAAAACATTATCATTTCTTTAGCAAAATATTCATATATGTGACATTATTATGCAATAATTACTTCTCAAACTAGATCTAGGCTTGACTTTTAACAAAAAACAGTTTCTAGCATTTAATTTTTTCCTTTAATTAAAAAAAAGGTTTCAGTTCAGTGTGGGTTGCTTTTTCCTAGTCATTTGTTTATAATTCTTAACAGGAAAAAACAGAAACCAATCACCTGACAAGACCTTTGCTCCCTCACTGCAAGGTCCTTGAGTACAAGTCTTTACAATTCTGGAAACATAAAGTTCTCTGTTCTGGTTCAAGAACAATGTTGGGGGATTTTGTGCATGAATAGACAATGAAGTAATTAAATTACAAAAGCAGCATCTTGTCTTTTATGGGAATCATTTTCTATACTGTAGCCATTTTCTCCTTGGATAACCTTTTGTTTCTTTCTGTAAGCCATGCAACACAATCTGTTTTAATTTGTTTCTCTACTAATTAGGGTGCTGCTGGTAGTGCAGAAGCTTTACCCACGTGTTCACACCGACGAAGGATTCAACACCCTCCAGAAGTCTGTTAAACATCTGCTGAATACTCTGGACTCCCCAGCACAAGGTACTGTGTTTTCATCTCAGTGGATTAAATGCAGCGTCACAAAGTCCATCAGAAAACTGAAGCAGAGTACAACTGAGGCAATCATGTATACACAGTGTTATTCCTAGATGAGGATTTATGCTACCTATAATTCTATGCCTCAAATTGAAATGCGAAAGGAAACCATTGCCTTGAAAAGGATGAGTTCCCAGAAAATTTCTTTATGTAAAAATGAGCCCCTTTACCTTGCAAACTTATTTTCATGCTTGGGATAGAAAATGAATATCAGATAATAAGCATTAACAAATAGATTTCTAGCCGGGAAGTGGTGGCGCATGCCTTTAATCCCAGCACTCGGGAGGCAGAGGCAGGCGGATCTCTGTGAGTTCAAGGCTAGGCTGGTCCAACAGCCTCCAAAACAATACAGAGAAACCCTGTCTCATAAAAACCAAAAAAAACAAAAAACAAAAAACAAAACAAAACAAATAGATTTCTATCAACACTCTTTGGAACAAATGCCCAAACTGAATTATAGATTTGTGATCTTTATTTATTTTTTTTGAGACAAGGTGTCACTATCTAGCTGTCCTGGAAATCACTAAATAGACTAAGTTGGCCTTGAACTGACAGAGATCTGCCTCCCTCTGGCATCCAAGTGCTAGGATTTAAGTCATTGGCCACCACTCCCGGCATGTGACCTCATTTCTGAACTTGAATTAAAAAAATCAGACAGAATGTTTCAATGATAAAAGTGTACTCATCCAACCTCTTGAAATAAATATGGTAGATATCAGAGCATAATCTGTCAGTAAAAGTCACTCACACCAGTATAACAAAATCTAGCATGTTGCAACAGAGTTAGAAAATGTCACCTTGAATATATAGAATGTTATTACCTAGGAATCACATGGAGGCAGTTGGGTGGACACACACAGGCACACACAAAGGTTTAAAGCTATGAGGAACAAATCCCCACTGGGCAAGCAAATGCAGGTTAATATTTACCTCTTCTGAATGAATTCAGAAGTACGCTTTCTTGTCTGCATTTGCTAGTTTTTAAACAAGTAGACTTCTGCTTTCAGATTCTAAAGTAAGCACCCCGCAAGCATCAAATGAAAAGCTGGTGTTCCTTACATTATCTTTGGTGCCTTATGAAAACTAGGCTTTAGAAGCCTGTGATGAATTCTTAGTGCGGAGTCTGACATGCTTAGATACCAGTCTGTTGGTAAAGAGACATTTTCTATCTACAGCTACAGAACTAATGGCTATCTTTCTTGGTTGATTGTTTTCTGATGTTAATGTTTTTATGAACACTAGAAGAGATTTACTCTTTTAAGAGTCTAGATTGGAGAACCAAGCAGTGTGATAATTATTTTCTTTTAGTACTTTCATTTTAAAGACTTAAGAACTTCACATTTCTCTGATAGTTCTCTTTTTTCATCTTTGGACTTATACCTTATAATTAATAATAATAATATAAATCAAAATGGTGCACTAAAGATTTCCTTTCCCAAAGGCAAAAACTTATCCATGTATTAGAAGCCAGAGATAAACAATACCCCTTACTAATGGGACAACAAAACCCTTTCCTGATGTAATTTAGTTTCTGGTATTTCCATATTTAACAAGATTTATGCCTATGGCTGTGCTAATGACCTTAGAAAGTATTAAAGCATGCCATTGGATGGTCAAGGTGACTAGAAAATGCAAACAGAAGAGGTATTTTTATGTGCAAAATTGGATTGTTGAACTCCTCTTTGTTATTAAATGTATGCACTTGTGAGGTCATCAGTCTGGGGTAGCAGTGTGGATGCATTCAAGTCTATTTCCCTAGCCATTAATTCCAGGCACCTATCTGCTTGAAGAGAAATTTCATGGCCTTTGAAGGTTTCCCACAGGTATTTCTAGGAATTCTTCAGGAAACTCAAATTCAAACCAGTGAGGCTAATTCATCTACATGAGAGTCTCTGACCACAGTGTAGACACTTGCCACCTCTGCCAGGTCACCACATCTGTAGTCTTTGTGCTTTCCAGCTGTGCATTTGAAGGGTATGCACTTGTTACCTAGACTTTGCTTTCACTTGAATAGACAGAGTGACTCACAGTGGAGTTGGTTGGCTCCTGCAGCTCTCACAGTAGCACTCTTTCAAATGAAGAAAATAATTGTACTGTCTGTGTCAACACTAAATAATTTTATTATCAAAACAATTCTGAGATATTATCCAATTTCACAGCCAAGGACACTGACTTTATATGTGTCACTCCACCAGTAATAGGCCAGTCGGTGAGTGGACCCAGGGTCTATCTATTCCCAAATCCAGGTCCCATCTGCTTTTTTATAGATGGCCTCACTCATTTTTCCTTTCAGTATGTGCTGTCCTCAGAGCACAGAACTGCTCTTATCTTCTGCCACTGAAGGGGTGTGACATGCCATGACATCTTCCTCCCACAGGACACATCTCATGGCTTCCTCCAAGCAGTCTACACATCCCTATACCTCACTTTCTGCTTGCTATGACTTGCCTCTCATCTATCCTGGATTAGAAGCACACTTAGGGCATCTTTAGAAGCCTCCACATCAGTCACAAAAACACGGAGATGGTCTTGTCTTCTCCTCTCTTTGTTTTAAGGGGTCTAATTCTGTACTCTGCCCAATCTGGGGTTCCTAGACCCTGGATACTAAGCTCTAGTAGTTACTTGTGTAAAGAGTGAGTTTCAGGAGCAGAGGTCACTTCTGTGAATCACAGGCATGTGCTTTTTTGCAAAGTCATAGATCCAGTGGAACAATATTTTAATATAGAAAACAGGGTGGGCAAGATTGCTTCAGGGGAAGCACTTGCTTTGAAAGCCTGATGGTTTCCCCGTGTGTGTTATGGCACATACACACATATACTGTACACATATGCAAAGATAAATAAGAAACCAAAAGTCAACTATTAAAGCAAAGTAATCCTCCCTGGATTCTAGCTAGCCCAGTACAGATATTTTTGCACATCATTGTTTATTCATATTATTCATAATACCTAGGATATGAAAATAAGCCTTATGTATGTCAATACAAGAATGGGTAGAGGAAATAAGGCACACATAACAAGGAAGCATTACGTTAAATTAAATAAGCCAGGCTCAGAAAGACAAATATCGTGGTTACCATTATATATGGAACCTATATTTAAGTAGATAAATAGGTCATAGATAGATAGATGATAGATAGAAAATTATAAAGGAGGTATGAAAAAGGAGATAGACTCTAAAGAGAGTAGAAAATAAGAGAGGTGGTGGGCTGTGTATCATGGAAGCAGAAGGGTGCTATTTGGAAGGATGGAAGGGTTCAGCAAGCAGGAGAAGAGTGAAGTAAAGCAGTGGGCAGTAAATAGGTACAAAGTATAATTATATATATATATATGTAAGCATATATACACACACCTATTGTATATATATATGTATATGTGTGTACTCACACATGCAAGCATGCACTCACACACACACACACACACACACACACACACACATACAGACATGAAAAATGTCACAATGAAGGGCCAGCAGCATGGCTCAATGGGTACTTACTGACCAGAATGATGACATGACCCACAAGTAGTAGAAATCCAACTCTCAATGTTGACTTCTGCTCTTAACACTCATAATGTATTATACACTAGAAATATAAATAAATGAGAAAAGTAGAAAATATTACAACAAAACACATTTCTTTGTATGCCACCCCATAGGTAATAATAATTACAAAATCTTTACTGGTGCAAAAGAGTTACCTAGATGTATGAGGGCACCATTTTGCACATGCCTGATTCTACAAAAGCCATATAAATAAAATCTTGTTTTTAATGTTTCCCATTCATTTTGGTATGTTTAGTGTACTGATAAGAGTATTTCTTCCACTGTACTTTATAGCCCTTAGTTGATGGAGGGAAATATTTCCATTTAAGTTTGGGGTTAAGGCTCACTGATAACACGAAGCTAATTTCTATTAGTTATTCACTTTAATAGCTTGATGAAAAAGAGCAACCCCATAACCAGAGAATGTACAAATGTCAACAAAGCTCCTGAGAGCCTCACACTGAAGTTCAAAATGAGCAAGAATAGACCTTGGGAAATGGTTTTACGTACCTTTCCATTGGGAAAAACCATAAATCTCAATAGCTTTCTGTCCTTAATTTTTCAATATATAGATATATAAGTAAAAATATCACCATTACTGATTGGGTTATTTATTCTGGGTGTCTCTGTTGCTGGTCTTTTAACTGGATGATACATATTCTACAGGTAGGACAATAATATTCAATTGCCCTTTGGATAAATTTCAGAAAAATTCACTCCACTGAACAGAAAAACTGAAAAGGCCATTCTGACAGATACTAGAGGCCAAGCTAACTTAGACACAAAGAGACGGGGGGTGTTAAATTCTGGGATATTCTTTTATGTATACATTTATTTAACTAAAACAGAAAACATCAAACAATTATGGTGTCTGCAGAGTTTTGCACAAGAACATTTTCTCAAGATTGTAGGACACAGGGCCTGGAAACAATAGGAGAACCAGTAAATCTGCTAATTTAAAGTCTTATTGAAAACAGTGCTGTAAAAATGACAGTGTCCAAGCACGCTGGCCCATTGTGAGCAGCATCTGAGGATGAGGCTTAGATAGCCTTCCTAAGTGAGGTAGCTTAAGCCCTGGATTTAATGTTTTCATTTTGCCATGACTGCTTAAAGAATTTTCCATTTCCAGTTTTTTTTGTGTGTTGTTTCTACACCTGCTTCGTCTTTACAATCCAACTTACACAACAAGCAGAGTCAGTGACTTTTTTAATGTTGAGGGAGACAGGAACTCTCTTCACATATGGCTTCATTACATCGAGCTTTAGTAGTTTCCCTCCACCCTCTGAACCTTCTTGTTTGCAATAACTACACAATCCTATATCCATTGGCTGATGTTCCTCTGTAACTGGGCCCAGTAATCACTGCCTGCTTTCTGAAAGAAAGCACATATTAGTGATGGCAACCATTTTCTAGGTCTATATCTGAAGTGTCCAATTAAGGGGGCTGGAGGAGGCATAGAAAAAAAACCAACCCAACGACACATTAGAGTGCAAATGGTTTCCTTTGATTAACAAATTGCTTGGTTCACAGTCTTCATTATGGTGTCTGAAAGTCACCCATGAAAAGAGGTCTCAAGACAAAATACTGTGGTGTTCTGATGTGTGAATGACAAAAGTTGTTAGAAATCTGCTAGTAGCTGTTAAAATTCCATAAGCTGGGTAAATGTTCCCAACAAAAGTAACATGAATATCATTGGCAAAATTTTGCATTTTCACTATTACTCTGACTAGAGATGATTGGGGGAAGATGAGGAGTTATCTCTAAACAAAAGCATTCTATGTTTACCTATGTATCATTGTTTCAGGTGACAATTCAACACACGCGTGGAGTGATGATGACGAACAGACACTGTCTCCAAGCAGTCTGGCTGCACAGTAAGTTGTGTTTTCAAATTGGGGGTAACTGGATGAATAAACAAAATCGTTAATAAACCCCACTATCTTATCAGCATGGAAAACCAAGCAACAGTAGAGTCACAGGACATTATCAAGCTGTAGTGAAGTTGAAACCAATTTGGGTGTAGTATTTAATATTCTTTGGATGACACAGCATGAAGAACTCTTCTTGTTCTAAGGCTGTATGACTGATGTAACCTGCCATGTCTGGAAGGGTTACTCAGTGCCTGTGAGTAGAGTCTTGTAGGAACTTGTTTCCAGATTCAGAAGGCCTTTGTCTCTAAAAAATATATAAGCATCTATCTTAGCCTGTTCAGTTCCTGTAGCAAAATGTCATAGATAGGACAGCTTACAAATGATCGATCGAGGCTTAGTTTTTACTTTTCTGGGTAAGGCCAGCATCATGAAGAGAGCAGATTTGGTGTCAGAGAAGAGCCTACATCCTGGATCATGAAGGACACCTTTCCAAGGCTGCTTTTTTTGACCACCAATCCCATTCACAAGAGCTGTGCCCTCAAAAATGGCACCTTCTAGGCTCATCATCATCCTGGCAATTAGAATAGCAGCATGCAGCATTCGATATCATAGCAACATCCAGATTTTTTTACATTGCCAATTCTTTTCAGTTTTATAGAGTCAAAATACTTTAAAGCCTAATCAAGATAATGCAAAATTTGTTTGCTTTCAGTAATGTTCACATAAGAAAAAAATTGCAAGTCATTTACTTTTGAATTTCCCAGGAAATGATGGTGGTGACCATGGTATCTAACAATCACAAATGTGAACAGATTTCAAAGGAACTAATAATTAGGATAGGGAATGGAAGCAGTTCCCTGCAATATCAGGGTTAGGTGAATACATGTAGCTCGAGGTAAATTTAGAGACTAATTGGTCTTATAGGTAAAGGTTGTTTTAGCTTGATAAATCATGCTGTTACAGTTCTCAGAACTTAGTCACCCCAAATACTAGTAACATCTAGGAGTAAAAAGGCAAGGAGATGCCACTCAATGGTCCTAAAACATGGTTAGAGAAGCACTCTGAAGTTCCATAGTGTTTGGTGTATACTAACTAGATATAGCTACTAGATACAGCAGTGATACAGCTGCACATTTCAAAGAGAGGAAGGAGGACTAGAAAGATGGCTCAGCAGTGAAGAACACTGGGTGCTCTATCAGACGACCGAATTTGCATTCCCAGCACCCATATGGCAACTGACAGCCATCTGCAATACCAGTCCCAGGGAATCCAATGTGCTCTTCTGTTTGTCACAAGAACTGTGCCACATAGTGAACCAGCATACAAGCCAGCAGAGCACCCATACACACAAAGTTTACAAAAATGAGACACCTCTTACTCTGTATCCATGCCTGGCCAGTAGCTCCCTATTTAGACCAGGCTGGCCTTGAACTCACAGAGATTGGCCTGCCTCTATCTCCAGAGTGCTGGGGCTAAAGGGATACACTATCACACCCAGAATAAATAAAATAAAAATAGTTTTGGAAGCTAGAAGGACGTATTTTTGAATGCTTTTGCTGTGAAGGAATGATAAATGGCAAGACAGACATACTTAAAAAGCATTTAAACATTATACAATGTGTACATATTGAAACACTGCATTGTAGTTCATAACTGTGCATAATTTTTGCTCTTACATCCCACTTAAAATAAACTAAATTAGCATCAAAAACACTTATTTCAACCATTTTTTCTAAGATAAAATTTAATAGAACGGTCTCTAACCAAGGGTAAATTCTGGAAAAGCACACTTCCTGTTTCTTCTGCCATCTCTTTTCTTCTCTGTGCCAACTGAAGTAGGTGCTTCTCTCACAGAATTCCTGGGCTGCCTCACTTTAGCTCAGCTGTCATGTTTCAGATATCTAGGCCTTTTGATATACTTCCAGATAGCCATCATATATAATACTATTTTTAAAACCTTTAAGTTGACACTGTAGATGCATATTGCTGATGCTAGATATCCCTACCAGAGCCTGGAGACATGCATCACATTGACAACACTCAGCACCTCTGTCTGGCAAATTCCTCAGCAGTTGCTGTCAGTTTATTAGAAGGAATTCAATACCTGCAAGATGGCTCTTTTCATGATTGATGAAATCAAGGAGTTTCTTTGAACTATCCATTTCCATTTTAAAATAATTACACCACTGCAATGATGGAACAAGATGAGAAGGCTTTTGGTTTAGCTTTTTCTAATAACAGCTACTCAATATTATTCTTCTCATATTTCTCCATCACTATTCGTGTTCTAATGTCTTTTAAAGTTTACGGGTATGTGCACATTTGTGCGTGTGTGCACACAAAGTTATGTGTGTGTCCATAGCCTACCTTTTATTGTAAACACAATAAAGGAAGGATTTTGTATAAAGGATCTGAAATAAGTGGTCTAAAGGACTCACGGGGTGTTTATGACAAGACCGTGGCATGTGCATGTAGTGTGAATTCTTGAATATATTAAATTAATTTAAAAAGTTGGCACTAATGCCTTCTAAAAACATAAGGGAGAGGCTTATGTGATACTTCTAGTTCACTTAAAATTCAACTGTTGTCTTTTCTGAGTTTGAGGACACTGGGAGTCTCTTGTTCTACTCCACCTGGAAAGTTAGGTCAACATTTTGCTACTGAACATTGCTGCCGGGGAAGCTGTCTCTACAGTGTTGTGCCTCCAGCAGTGGGAAACATAGGGAGGGAAGGTGCAGAAAGGTTAGAACCATAGAACCTTCCCACTGAGCCATCCAGAGAGGCCTCATTGGCAGACAGGTTTAATTACTACTGTCTCTGCAGCTCCCTACATCTCTTTCACAGATGAATGATTCTACTCAGTGATGCACAGAAATATAAATGTTGTTTAATCTGTGGTGTAGAGACTATCAGGATCAGCAAAGAGTGGAGTTACAACATTAAATGGCTCATTCCTTCAAGGTGTACACAAGAGACACATTTATCTTGAAGCCTGTACTTGCTACTACAAAGGAATGAAATAAATGCATTATTTAGCACCTCCACCAAATAATAGACACACGATTTTAATAAATATTTCATAATTTTGTTTGTCTTTTGTTTGACACTTTGTGTCTCTAAACCTTATCTTTTAGTTTATCCTTAGCATCTTCTAATACAGCTTCCCATTTCTATTAATGCTGCCGTGAAGTCCAAAACAATGGCGCACGTATATATTCATTCCAAAATAATGACTCAGAATCCTTTCTTCCCCTAGCCTCTCTATCTCTCCTTCCTTCCTTCCTTCTTTCCTTCCTTCCTTCCTTCTTTCCTTCCTTTCTTCCTTCCTTCCTTCCTTCCTTTCCATTCATATTTCTATCTTTCTGCACTGATCTTATGCCTTTGACTGGCTCATACCATGGATTGAGTGACAGAACATTGAACTTACTACAGGCATGACTTGGTATTCTATGGCTAACCTGTACAGCGAAGTAGATATTGTTAGCCATCCTCCTCCTGTTGGGTTATTATTAGTTATAAGGTGATTTGATTTGGAAATCTACCTAACATATGGTTCCTTTTATTTAAGACATACAAGTTAATCTAAGCCTATACTCTTCTGTCCTTTATTTGTGAATTGGTAAATGATGAAGCAAACCATCTAAAGCTTAAATATCTGAGGCACCCAAACATGACATTTTCCACAGTCTCTAGTCAAGGAAATACTTAAACAAGAGCTTTCACAAAACCTTGTGATCCAGCAGAATGACTCAGTGGATAAAGGCCTGGTTGCACAACCTGATGACCTGAGTCTCATCCCTGTGACCTAGATGGTGGAAAGAGAGAACCAACTCCAGCAAATTTTCTTCCTATGTTCTGTAGACTGCACCTCTTCTCCCACCCCCCACAATAAATAAATACATTTTAAAGAGTCTGGACAAGTAACTTAGTGGTAGAGCCCTTGCCTGCTATACAAGATGCCCTGGATTCAATATCCATTGCCAGGCAAAATAAAATTAAAAAGAAAAATCTGTGTATGATATGAGCTACAATTAAATGACAGCCAGCCATATGACCAATAAAGTGTGCTCTTGCTGCCAAGTTGGAGACATTTTGTAGCATTAGCTTATTTCTTTTTAATATTCCTTCAGGACCCAGTGTTGTTAGCCACATTTAAAATCCAGAGATTTCATTAATATTCTATAATATCACTGTGTTAGGAGAAGTTGCACCCACTAGAATTTTGATAAAATACAGGTGTTAACTTTCATCTTTTCTTTGTTACTTAAAATGTAACATTAGATAGTAGTGGAAGAAGTCACAGAATAGAGAATCAGCCTTATGGCAGAGGTGGTAGACACACACACACACACACACACACACACACACCTGAGCACACACTCAGAGGTTTGTTGCCTTTATACATCAGATTTTGGTGAAAGAGGGGACCTAGTTTCATAGGGGTTTCTGTACTCAAGCCAAAAAATTGTAGCTTAAATAAATGACTTTGCTTAGTTATATATTCTCTTCTAATTTACAGACTCCTGATCCTGGAAAACTTTGAAGATGCCATCTTGAACATATCATCAAATAGTCCATATTCTCCTTACCTGGCATGTATAAGAAATATGACTGATCACTTGGCCAGGGGATCACCAGGTGATATTCTGAACTCTGCTTATGGTTTCCTTCTGTTCTAAAGGTTTAAGACACTAGCCTATTAAAGGAAGAGTTCTTAAAACATCTTTTCCTATTTATACTTGAGTTTTAGTTAAGACTTCATGTTAAAATAAAATTTCTAATATCATTATGCTATCCTCTTGCTGCTACTTAAACCCCGTGGTCTTCTGAACCAGTTTTAGTAGAATGATCTCATACTAGACAATGTGATAAAAGTTACCCTGATTAACTTCCCAAGATTCCAGAATCATTAGGAGCTCATGCAACCCTTCATGACATTGTCTGTGTCTTTGTGTTGTGAAGTTGTTGAAAGATTGAGACCAACACTTATACGTAAACAAAGACTTCCATGTGGCAGACTATCCTCTGCCTCCACACACTTAATCTTTATTTAAAGACTGCCGTCAAGTCAAATGTTTCTCACTCTTCTTACACACGTTATTTTTCCTACACCCAAATAGTTTATGAAACACAGTATCAAGCAAACATTACAATACATAGCTAAGCCTGGAATTTGTTTTCCAGATATTAGTCAATTATGGCTGAAAGTATATACTTGGATGCCGTGATTATACAGTTTATTTCCCCTCCACATATTCCAACACAGTGCACCCAAGAGTCAGAAATAAAAAATTATTTAATTCACAAAGAGCCAAAGCTGTACAGTACCTGTACTAGAAATATTTTTTATCTCTAAGCAGCCTATCTGTGAATATTTTAAAAATAATGAACTCTGTAGTCCCCATGGTTCAAGGAAAGGTTAATTTTCACTCATTTTATATTTATATTGAGCTGCAATATTATCCTAAAAAATCCTTACTGATAAGTCAGGATAAAAGTCTATTGCAGATGTTCTCCCCAAGTAACCTTGTGAGTCTCACAAATAATTCTCCCTCCCTCCCCTGAAGATAATCTAAGACTCCTGCAGTCCACGATTCGCTTCAGAAGATCTACTCTTCAAAATGGCTCCTATGAAGATGACTTCCCTATGTTTCCTGAAGTCCTGAAATTCAAGGTAAGCCATGGAAGGAAATAATAAATAAATGAATAGCACCTCTCTGTGACATGCTAGGAAAATTAAAGTAAAATATCTGATTATTGCAGATGACTTTGCTTCACTTGCAGCCCCATCTCGGCCAAACAGTGACAAAGATGTTTGACTTTATGCAACGGTTCTCAATATCACCTCAGTGTAAGGTGATCCATAAGAGCCCAGTCACAGTGCTCATAAGCATCCATGAACATGTCAAAATATGATTATCTTATTAAACGTTCTAATTAGGGAATTTGTCTTATCATTTGTTATTTTGCCCCATCCTTAGCTTTTAAATCTACAAAAGTAAATTATAAAAGCTAATATCTTGACTTCTTGGTATGCCAAAGTCACAAAAGTTAACTTATCGTTTTCCTTGTCATTAGATTAGAAACTAATAAGTCATGCTAAAATGCGTGAACTTGAAAAGGAAAAAGGGAACCAAAAATGTAGATCTCTTAAGCTCGAGTCAGTTCATGCTCCTTTGTCTCTTCACATGGTGTACAGATTATCAAAAAATTCATTTCTAAAGCAACTCTATTGAGTTTTGAAAACAGTTTTCCTAGTACGAACTGTAGTTTAATTGGATTTATGTAGCCTGGGATAAAGTTAAATTAGAAGTGGTTTATTTAGGGCAAGCAAGTGATTTGCTGTGTGGTAAACAAGCTGTAATTAAGCAGGCATGCAAAACATTATGTCCATGTATATTACTGATAAATGTGCTCATTAGACTGCCTACCTTTTAGCCCCAGCATTCTACATGAATCAAATTTTCTAATGTACTTAATTTAGCATTATCTTAATTTATGCAAATGAAAAAGAAATCATACATTCACCCAGAAAGCTCTTATTCATCTTTCAAGAATCAGTGTAAATGTCACTCTTGCAACATTAGATTATTACCTTTCCCTTGTTTGCCAGACATCTGTGCTTCCTTCTTTCATTTTATATTTATATTGCACTACGATATCATCCTTCCTGATAAGTCAGGATAAAAGTCTCTTTCAGATATGCTCAACAAGCAACCTTGTGATCCACACAGAGTACTTATTCCCTGTTTTGCAGACAATGGAAGACTTCTGCAGTCCACCATTTGCCTTAGAAAACCTTCTCTTCTTTTTCTCTGAAATGGTTCCTCTGAGGACAACTTCCTCCTTGAGTTATAAGACATATCTTTATCCCCAAAATTCTTATAATCCAGCCAGGGGAGGAGGTAGGAAGGTGGAGTCCCAATTGCCGCACAGTGACATAAGTGATGTGGCATGCAGACGGGCAGGGTTCTGTGTGTAAAGCCGGGCTATCTAACTCAGATTATGGGGCATAGAAGTGGAAGGAAGAAACTTGGCTAAGAATATAATACTTACTCTGAGTCTTGAAGGCTGTGTAGGAGTAGGTCACACTCACATTCCAGACACAGAAACTAGGGTTCCTAAGAAGCCAGAGGCATGAGCCTCAAAGCAGGCAGAGGTTACTTGGAGTCATAGGAGGGTGAAGGTAGCTATGGGGAAGGCAGGGTAGGTGCTTTGCGGGAGGCCATGACCGGGTCCTAAAGACTGCTCTGTTAGTCAAGGAGTTTGAATTTGGTCTTGAACACGTCAAATATGAAGAGGGTAAATTTTGCATTTTAGAAAGTGATTAGATTGAAAGAAATTTAAGGGGGGGGCATGTTTGAAATAATCTAAACAAATAAACCAGAAAAACAAAAAGAAAGAAAGCACTGCCTGTGTAGAGTCAGTGGGGAGAGCAGATATGAGACAGTTTCAAGTTCAGCTCAGGAGGTCAACACGAGGAGAGGCAGATGGAGGCAGGAGCCCTTGGGACTGAGACTCCTGGCCTTGGGAACCCCTCATGTAGAATTGTAGCTTGTTGTATGCATGAGATAGCGTTCTTTAGACTAGAAACTCTGACAAAATCAAGTCTTCTTCATCTCCCAGACCACACATCTCTAAAACTAAGAGTTTGCTTCATGGGTGCATAAATGAGGTCATTAAGGCAGAATGCCAACAATAGTGCCGTGTTCTCTGAGCTGTTTCTCCACACATGTCCATGAAAGAACGAGGCCGGGATCCTATAGCTTCATAAGTGGGAAGGCTATTACTTCCTGCTGCCGCCAATGTGGCATGCATTTGCAGTCCATAGGCCCAGGATTTTATTCACAGCATTCTTTTCAGCAGGGCAGATCCTCCTAAACAACAAATGTCTGCCCATTAGCAACATTCCCTTCTGTTTGCAAGTATTCTGCTCTCGCCTACACATTCAGTTCGTTCCTCTCCTCATTGTTTTTAATCTCTTCTTCTCAGGTCCCTTTGGTGGAAAGGGGAACTTCCTGTGCACAAAATAACGTTTCTTATACTGGGCAGGAATGCAGATAAAGCTTTTAAAATTTGAAACAGGTCTCCCTCCACCTCTATTTACCAACCAAGGGCTCAAGAGTATTGTGAATTCATCACTTTATTTCCATGGTATTATAGAGTCTTCCTGATTATGTTAATCAAAATCTTCATTCAGAGGCATTTGGGAGCTACTGGGCAATGGAGAAACCCATCGTAACTGGACATGGAGCTAGTTATGGAGTGTTTTCCAATTATAGGCCTGAACCTCTGTCTCAGATGAAGGAAACAGAACCTCTACCTGGGGCTTTGGAAAATCGGTAGTCTAAAGTTAGTATATGCTTTCCTTAAGACAACATCTCACTGTATAGTCCTGGATGGTCTGAACTTCCCGTGTAGCCCATATTGAACTTAAACTCACAACCCTCCTGCCTCTGCTTCCTGTGTGCTGGGATTACAAGTATGCATCACCACATCTGGTGTTACTAGCAAATCCTGTGTGTGTGTGTGTGTGTGTGTGTGTGTGTGTGTGTGTGTGTATTGAAGACATGTGAATTTATGTCCTCATGCACTAATGTGCACACACGCAGAAGCCATAACAGGCCTTCTGGTTTCTTCCTCTATTGCCCTCTTCCTTGCTGCTTTCCATCAGGGTCTCTCACTGAGCTAGAAACAAGCTCTTGGGACCATCCCTTCCATTATTGGGCCTGCAGGCACGAGTAGCCAGTAGCCAATCTCAGATCCTAATGCTTACAGAGCAAGTAATTTTATCCACTGAGCCATCTCCATAGAAGCACTAACAAATCCTTTAAAAGAGAATTATAATCACTGGGTTTATGCTTATTGCTAATGCCCCACAAAACTTCTGAAAGTGCAAAGCCCGGATTGCTCCTAGAATAAAGCAGTGGGTTATGATACTTGTGAAAATCGTGAGACTCCTTGGTGACTGGATGCTTCTCAGTGCCTCCCCCATGTATTATTCACTCTGACCTACATTCTTGCTTCAGAGAACCAAACCAACTTCTTCAATGTAACTAAACATCAGATTTCTCTCTACATAACCTTTATTTCATCCACCACGACTACACTATATGGGCTTTTATTGGTTTTCCATACATGGATGCTGACCTCCCAGTCACAAAACTGTCTTCCTACTTAGATAGTCACTGAAACTTGCTGCCTCTCAAAACTCAGTTAAGAATGTATTGACCCAACATTATTTATCCTTTTTTAAAAGTAAGCCTCAGAAAGAGGCCATATAAATTCAAACCGCAGCACCCACACAGTGACTCACAATCCTCCAGTTCCATCATATTTGGCACCCTCTTCTGGTCTTTGAGGGTACCAGGCACACATATAATGCACACACACACACACACACACACACACACACGAGCGTGCGCGCGCAGGCTATTGGCGTGTACGAGTGCGTGTGCATGTGTGTGTGTGATGCCAATACAGATAAATAATTTTCAGTTAACAAACAAAATAAAATTTAGATTTTGAGAAATAATCAAAGGACAGGCAGTAGCAATAGTGTGTAGGCATCTGGCTCCCCCCATAAGAGGTTTAACCATATCCAGTATTTGGAGACTCAAAGTCAAGAATAGTGTGTCAAACATGTAGCTACAGGGTATAAAATGTTTATTCCAGAATAGAAAATTTCTTATAGCAATAAGGCCAGTAAATAGAATTTGCATATATTGTGAAGTCATATCAGAATTTTCAAAGCCACAAGTCAGTTACGTTATTCGACACTGGAAAATGAGTCAATGATACTGGGTCTTCAGGATGGTCACATGATTAACTTTGGTGACCTTCCTGTGCTTACTGTAAACCTCTTGCTAAAGACACATCAATCTTTTCTCCTCAGTGATATATGAAGAAAAATGCTGGCAAAGCTATGCTCTTATTGGGGAACAGTTCATTTCTGTTAAAATGTAACTTCTGCCTGGAAACTGAACTACAGTCACTGACACTGACAGTTGCTTCTTTGGACTTTTTCTTCTTCTTAAAAGAGATAGCTCTAGGGTACCTTCCATACACAGCTGATCTGGAGTTCCCAGAGGCAAAATTTTTTTCTCCCTCAGGATATATTAATTGGGAACATATCCTGAGGACACATGGAGCATAGTGAATGAAGTTCAGGAATATACTGGAGATATCAGATCGTTAGAGTGTCAGCATCTTTTATTGTTCTGGGCTTGGGAGTTGAAGTCCACATTTCCACAGGACAAAAATGCTTAGTTTTTAAAAATAGATGAGAAGGCAGAAAACCGCATGAATAATAGGACAGACACCTGAAAACCATTTCTATTGCCATGGGGTTGCTAATATATGCCACAGCTTAAAGAGTTAAAAAAGTTGATTAAATTTTAATTGTCATACCATACCATAACATTTAGAACATAACCATTTTTAGCTGTAGGGTTCAGTCAGGTTAATTACATTCACATTGTTCAGTAACCAATCTCCAGGATCCCTTTCATCATGTAAAATTGAAACCGTTTCTATTAACAAACTCATTTCTCCCTCCTCCAAGCCTCTGCAAGTACATAGTTCTTCTTTGACTTCCTATGTTTATGAACTGCAATTTGCTAGTCTCTCACATATTGAAATTATACAGTCTTTGCAAGTGCTGATTCCATTTAGCATAGTACCCTCAAGGTTCATCCATGCTGCCACTGCACATCCTTTCCTATATATACGTGTGTGTGTGTGTGTGTGTGTGTGTGTCCTTAGACATTGTTTCAGTTTTATGTATATTCTGGTTATCCATTCATCCCTTGAGTTGTTTCTATTTCTTGGCTATTATAAATAAGGTTTCTGCAAACACTGTATTCAATTACTCCCTCTACGTGCTATTTTCAATTCCCAGTAGCAGAGACCCAAAGTGGAATTTGGGCTCATACGCTGATTTTATTTTTGAGTTGTGAGGAAGTACAATACTATTTTCCATACAAGCTCCACCACCTCAAACACTTTCCAACAGTACACCAGGGTTATAATGCCTGTACACCTTCACCAACACCTGGTATTTTGTGGTTCTGGTTTGCTGTATATCATAGCCACCATGATAGATATGAGGAAGAAAAGGCTTTTTATAAAGGGTTCAAGACAAATGATATAAAATAAAAATATCTTATATTTTGTATTAAATATAAAATTTATTGAAATGATTTGAACTGTATCTCTAAAACCATTTTCCCTAAATTTTAAAGATTAGTTTTGGGTTTTTTTATTTATTTATTCTGTGTGAGGGAGGGCACATGCATGAGTGGACATATGTATCTCGTGCCTGCAACAGCCAATAGAGGGTCTGATATCTTGGAACAGGAGTTTATTGGACATCTGGCTTCTTGCACAGGTACCTAGATACGAACTGTAGCTTTCAATATTGTATAGCAAGTTTTCTAAATCACTGAGCCATTTCACTTGCCCCTTAATTTTTAAAACTGCACTTAAAAAAGCATGCACTGAGAAAAAAGAAGCCTAGTAGGACCCAAGGTTTTTACAAGATTCTTAGCAGGGAGCACTACACACAAACAGCAAATGGTACTGCTTTATTATAAAACTAAGCCCAATGCCAACTAACTAATGCATCAGCAGAGATATCTCTTTACAGAATCAAATTTGGTTACTTATTGCCAACTACTCACTAGGCAGAATAAGCATGACTAATCTCTTTTCTCCTCTTTTTGGGAAGTTGTCTCAGCTTCGAAACTTGACGGAACTTCTCTGTGAACCAGAAACTATCAGTTCAATAGAGAAATCCTGCCAGCTCTCTAACATGAGCTTCAGCAAGCTGTGTGAAGACCACACCTTTCATGTGCAACTAATAGAAGCCGCAGAGCTGGGCGCTGACATCGCCACTGGCTTACTGTACCACGACAATGTAGTATCTGCAAAGCTGAGGGGTTTGCTTACTGGCGATCCCAGCAAAATTAACCTAAATATGGACTGGTAAGTTTTCCCATCATCGTCTTCCTTGGTGAAATCCTGTCTGCAAAAACATTATGCCTACTTGAATTTATTCTTCTGTTTTGTTCCAGGCTCCTGGAACAGGCGTTGCAAATGAATTACTTGGAAAATATCACACAGTTAATACCAACTGTAGAGGCCATGCTGCACGTCAACAGCAGCACGGACGCTGCGGAGCAGACAGGTGTTTCCCCACCTGGATCCTAAAGGCTTATTAGGATGAGTGTGCTTGCCATGTTGCAGTTTAGGAAAGGCTTTCTCAAAGTTCCCAACCAAATCTGCTTTTCTGTCTGCCCTGACAGTGAGGGACCTGAAGCTTTCAAGTCTCCGGCTTGTCTAAGGCAGACCCCGGCCAGCTAGCCTAGCCTGTACTGAAACCTGAAACAATGTTATAGCAAGAAGAGTTCCAAGATGTAGCAAGTCAGAGCGTTTATACCTATTGTTTCTAGATATTGTAAAGTGCATTAGCGAGTTGGCTGTATGCAGGATGATGAAACATGTTTCCTTCTATGGGAATAATATGATTTAAAAAAATCTGAAACAGCTGTGTGCAAAAAAATCTCAGTTGAGAACCCTCTATTGGTATTCTAAGCATGTCATAGCATAATACCTAAATACTGAAGAGAAAGACATTCTGAATTTTAGGCAACAGTCAGGCACAAAATTAGAAAGACATTAAGCCTAAAAATAAAGAAGGTGTGTTGTATGAAGGTCACTTAGTATAAAAAAAATCAAGGCTAGGGAGATGGTTTAGAGGTTACACATATAGTGCTCATCCAGAGGACCAGGGACCAGGTTCCAGCATCTACATGGCATCTCACAGCCATTTGTAACTTAATTCCCAGAGTATCTGACACTCTTATGAACTGTGTGGTCACTATACTCACATGGCACACAGACACACATGAATGCAAAGTACATATACAATCAAATAAAATGAGTCTAAAAAAGTGAAAAACAAAAGCAAATTCTTCTAAAAGATATTGTTTACCATGTCTTAACTCACCCAAATGTGAAATAATTATAATTGCCATTCTTAAAGAGCTTAAAATTTCATATATTCAGTTTACAAGTAATGTAAGCTTATAAAAATCATTTATGAACTATCGTATTCTGGGCAAAATTAAAGACAAATGTCTTGTAGTCTATTTATCAAATCTATTCGCAAATTGACGTATTGTATGATCCTAGGTTAAAAAGTATTTTGAATTGATGTGATGGTTTAAATCAAATGGAGGCATAATTATTTAGTGGTTTATGTGATCAAAGTCTATGAGGAAGCTCTATTTTCCTTGGATCAACCTTGGGTTGCAGACACTGCAGGAAAATTTATAACCTAGAGCAATCTGTTAACTCAAGTTAATGGCATCATCATAAGAACAAGTCTAAACCAGACAGAGATAGATCTCAAAGATACAAAGCTTGCCAAACCCGGGAGACAACATCTGTTTCCAGTGAGGCATGTACGTTCAGTACATTTTAGTCTAGAAGTTATGTTACTGTACCTAAAAAGAGTGGTGTGACAACTGATGTGTGAATTGTGTGTGTGTGTGTTTTCCTTACAGGCCAATTAATAGAAATGTTTAAAAACACTGAAGAGCTGAAAGAAGAACTGAAGGCAACAGGGATGTCTAGCACGAGCATCGAGAAGATGCTGGCCATTCCCATCCCAGACAACAGAGCCGAGGTAAGAGTTCCTTTTGACATAAAGGCAGTTTGTAGAAGTTGATGCAGTGTACAGTATTTTAAGTACTGATCAATAAGACACCGGGAAGTTGCATATGAGTCGGATCAATTTTCCATACAAATGGTAAGAGAAGTATAAATCTCAAGTGAAGTTTGAAGAGATATTCTGTCTGTGTGTCTCTCTCTGTGTGTATGTGTGTGCATTCATATGTGTGTGCGTGTGCGTGTGCGTGTGCGTGTGTGTGTGTGTGTGTGTGTGTGTGTGTGTGATACTGGAGACTGGACCTACCACTAAGCTACAGTCCCAGCCTTAGAAGAGAAATTCTGAATCAATATTACTATGTTTCCCATTAATTGATTTCTCTTTATCCTTTGCCCCACTGTTTTGTTTCCCACTTTCCTTTTCTCCGCAGAATTCTTTCTTAAACCTGCAGTAATTATATCTACTTTTAGAATAACATCTGATATCCTACAGGGGTGTAAAGGTCAGACTTCAATAACCAGGTTAGGGCAAAGAATGGAGACATTCACTCTTTGTTGCAATGAAACTAATCACTTCTACTTTGTTAAAGCCCCAGGAAGGTTTAGCATACACAATAGATGCCATCAGTGGAATCATGGAAAAGTTTGTGGTCATAGCAAACTTTTTTGCTGTGACAATAAATAATGTTATTTTCTTCTTAGCAGATAATACAGTTTTCCACTCAAAATGTATCATCTTTCATCCTGCTTCCAAGTCCATTGTCTGGAAGTGTCACAGAAATTTTCCAAAAGAGCTGCACAGCTTAAGGCCTCATGTGACAGAGTGTGTCATTTCTAAGCACAGCCCGGTTACTAACCAAAACTAAAGTTCATGGAAGTTCCCTCTGACACACGTTAAAGTTGCTGGTGTCCTTGTGACTGGTTCCCTATACAAAACTTAAAACTGTCTTGCTTTGGCTTTTCTTCCTTCCCTGCTAGGAAGTAATACCCTCTCACCCTTCCTTTTGATCTTGCCTTCTGATCATTGGATTCAAAGCCGTCACCTTTTTAATCAGGGGCTTGGCTTTGGAGCCCATCTTAGTGAACCAAAGTATAAATGGAGTGCACACAATCTGACTGCTATTTTTAAGGATGGAGAAAATGTTCTGCAACTGCCATTGTCATGGGCTTTCCTCTTTTTTCAATTTGGTATCGATAGAGATGGCACCTTCCCACTGACATGCCTTCCCCTCTCCCACTCCAGTGTTATGCACTACTATGTAGGATCTGCAGTTCACGTAAGTTGGTGGTTCTGGGTTGCCACTTCCTCCTCCTCCTCCTCTATGCTCTCCATTTCCCCTTTGCTCCATAGCCTCACGAAACTTATGATTTAAGACCATAACTTTCAGTGATTATCAAAATGAATTGTAACTTGAATTAAGGAAGAGTAAATGGTTAAAGTAAGTGTGAGACATAAAGAAACCACCCTCCACCCAGACTGACTCCAAACCTTCCTACTGTTATTTTACACCTGATTGTTCAAGAACAATTCTGGGTTTCTTTATGAACTCCTACCTGCCTCTCTTCCCCATCACACTCCTTTTGCTTTCCGGTGAGCTATAGATTCTCTGTAGTTTTATTTTTTTATTTTTTTATTTTTTTATATTTTATTTTCCAGTTTAAATTTAGATAAGAAACGAGGTTGCTTCACAAGTCAGTTCCAGGTCCCTCTCCCATTCCCTCCCCTCCTCCCATGCCCTCCCCCCAACCACCCCCCCCCGTTATCCCCTCATTCCCCCAGGGAGGGTGAGGCCCTCCATGGGGGTGTCCATAGTCTGTCATTTCATATAGGGCAGGGCCTAGACCCTTCCCCAATCTCTGTAGTTTTATTAATAGCAATTGGTGCCTTACACTATTGAGGGGATGTATCAGTGAATAAGAATTTGTTGTGCAAAGTTGAGGCCTGGAGTTCGAATCGTCAGAACCACCTGAATCTATACATCCTTCCTGGAAGTCTAGCATCAAAAGATGGAGACCAGAGAGTCTCATAGCAAGCTGAGTAGCAAGAATAGCTATATTTGCCAATGAGGTCTGGTTTTGATTGAGAGACCTTGCCTTATTGAGCAAGGTGGAAGAAGGATGGAGGGTCATTCTTGGGCCCTGGGCCCCTACGTGCTTGGGCATCCATGTATCCCTACATACATACAAAGATACATGCACATAGGCATGCATATCACAAATAAACATGAAAATGGATAAAGGGGAACTATCATGATTGATGCTTTAAAAGATTTATTTCATTCCTGGGGACAGTTTGTCATATTTTGGAACATAGAACAAACAAAAGACTTCCTTGAGGTGAACTCAAATGATTCACAGCTAAAATGGTTTTCTTCCTCCAACTCACAGATAATTTCTCGTGTATTCTGGTTGCATTCATGTGATGCGAATGCCACCAACCCCAAATTGGAAGATGCCATGAAGGAATTCTGCAAGCTGCCCCTTCCAGAGCGATCACACCAGTCCTACCTCATCGGACTCACCCTTCTGCACTATTTAGACATCTACAATTTTACATACAAGGCAAGTTGCCACTGGTGAATGCGTTCATTTACTGTAAGGACAATGTATCCACGCATGCTTTTTAGTACCACAAGGGATAAGATTAATCTCTATAGCTTCTGGAATTTTCACATTATTTTGGAGCCAACAAAGATAAGGGAACTAAAGCCCCAGCTTTATTAATTTTTAGTTTTTGTATCTAAGAACAAAGATAAAAATATGTTATTTCCATAGCATTAAATAAATCCCCATTTTTATTTCTTGTAGTGAATAAGCATTAATCTAGTGCAATGAAAATAACAATTAAGGGTTGGAGAGATGGTTAAGTGGTTAAGAACAATAGCTGCCCTTTCAAAGGACATGGGTTCAATTCCCACCGCCTACATGGCAACCTCATGACCATCTGTAATTCTAGTCCATGGGGTCTGACGCCTTCTGGCTTCTGCAGGCACTGCACACAGATAACTAGACATACACACAGGCAAAACATCTGTATACATAAAAAATTAAAAATAAAGATTAGAAAAAAGGTTAAAATTTTGAGAAACATATAAAACCTTGCAATTTAAAAAAAGCACAGGCTTAAAGGAATTTTTAAATGTAGAAGTGTATAGGATTCTTTGTGATGTTCTCAAAATGATAATGTTTACATTCCCTTCATCAATTTAGTAAGAAACTACCATTATTTATGGTCATTGTTGGCATGGAGCAAAATGAATCCAAAGCCAGTGTCATGAGCAGATGCTCCAAGAGTTCCCTCAACACATAACTAACAGAAAGGCACAAACTGGAAAATTCAACACATTTGTCCAGTAAAGTCTATACTTGGGTCAAAATTATGTACATTTTCTTAACAGCAGAGAGAATTGCTTCCCCCCTCTTAAAAATTAGAAAATCCAGTGGCTGAGGGGATACAAATGTTTCACGGTTAGTCACGGTTACCCCTATTCTGAGTCCTCACGTCATCTTGTTGTTGCCCCTGCTACAGCCCCCAAAGAACTATCACATCCCATCTCAACACCCAGCTGGCAGCAAAGTGACCCTTTGAGAACCTGTCACATCAGGCCACCACTCTTCTTACAGGCTTCCAGTAGTTTCCACTTTTTTCTAGGAAAGTCCCCAATCCTATACCAGGGCCTCATGATCCGCATAGAGGCCCCATACGGACTCATCATCTACTTAAGCTGTCCTTAGGCCCATGGCTACCATGTGGAGGTGTGGTATTGCTTCAAGACATAGTTCACAGGAGGAACTAACTGAAGAGATGGCTGTTCACCCTGACCGTTCCCTTGTAGCTCCACCTCTTTCCTTGCTGTCTGTTTTTAGTTAAGCTCCAATCATTGTGCACATGTTATTGAATTTTTGCCTTTTGATTTATTGATTTTTTAATTTATAAATTAAGTAATTTATTAATTTTCTGTTTCCAGCATGTAGATCCCATTAGAGCCTCCTTGTTCACTGAAACATTTAGAATACCAAGAGCACTGCCTGGCACACATATATCTTCACTGCTGAGATCTTAGCAGAGAGACATGCACACACGGTCAGCTCTACAGCTGAATCGTGGGTATGCCATGGTGACATTTATGGTCTTGGACAGCCCAAAGAGCTTTTCATCCTCATAGTCCTCACACATCTTTTCATGTCTGCCTAGAACCTCCATATTCTTTCTATTCTTATATTATTTAATTAATCCACTTGTTACATTTATTAGGTAGTGTAGTGTAGTTAGGAACACTATCTGTTCTTAGAGTAATAGTATGCATGTATGCAAGGCACTGTGCAATAGGTAGTATTTACCTTTCTGACTTTGAAATAGTTTATTTGGAGACTGGAAGGATGGCTAAGCAGTTAAGACTGTGTACTACTCTCCTACAGGGTAACATTTTTATCTTCCTTCTAGGAGATTGTGTATCCATTTGCGGTTTGTGCAGACTAAATTATAACTTTGCCTTTTTTATAGATTGAATCCATTACACAGTATCTTGTCTGCATATCTGGCTTCTTTCACTTAGTATAGTATTTTCAAGTTTTGTTCATGGTGTAGCATGTATTGGCAATTTTTTGTATGTCTATGTTATATTGCATTTTAAAGATAAATTCTGTTAGGTGAATTGCCCCCCATCTTGCCTGTTGTAAGCAGATCCCCTATAGATGTTCACGCACTAATAGCCTTTGTGTGGATTCCCTTTGCTTGGGCGAATATCTAGGAATGGAAAGGCTGGTGTGGTAAATCTCCATTTAACTGTTCAGTAAACTTTCAGAAACATTTCACAAAGAGGCCATTCTGTTTTATAATCTTACAACCAACCATAAAGTTCCAGTACCTCCATATAAATCATTCTTTCTCATTCTCTTTCCATTAGGTGTTTTTCCCAAGGAAAGATCAAAAGCCAGTAGAAAGGATGATGGAGCTTTTCATAAAGCTGAAAACGATTCTCAATCAGTTGGCTTCCGGCGCACATCCCCTGCTAGACAAAATGAGATCTCTGAAACAAATGCATCTGCCCAGGAGTGTTCCATTAACACAGGTAGAAGAGTCACTCAGTAATGTTCTTCCTGAGACATTCTTCTTGTCATGCTGACTTTTATTTAAGATTGGCTACAATGAATTCAGCTACCAATCTAGCACCTCGAAGACAAAAACTCCTCGAAGACAAAAACTCCCTAGAAGAAAATTCCCACTTTATCGATGTTTGGCGCTTAAACCAGTGAGGTTTTTCATTCTGTATTTAGGTTTGCCATTCATGCTTTAAAGAAATTATGGAAACTCTGAGCCTTATCACTTTCTCTTTCTAGGTTGTCTTCTAGAGCACAGGTAGCTCAGGTGACATTAATAACTCTTGGACGTTGTCTCACAGGCCATGTACAGAAGCACCCGAATGAACACACCAGCAGGGTCTTTCAGAACCATCTCCCAAGCGCTCTGTTCCCAAGGGATTACCACTGAGTACTTGACCTCCATGCTGCCTTCTTCCCAGAAGCCAAAAGGCAACCACACCAAGGATTTCCTAACTTATAAGTTAACTAAAGAAGAGATTGCCTCAAAATATGGAATTCCGTTAAATGCTAGTGAGTGTACCTTAAAATAAGTATGATAATTATTCTTAATGACAAGAGCATCACGTTTTGTCACTAATTTTCATGGTAAATGAAGTATTAATTTTCTCTCAGAATTAAAAATAGAAAACACTTATGCAGCCCTTGCTGCGTGCCCTGATCATCATGGCAGCCTCATGAGCTAATGTCTACCCTGTTGCATCTCAATGAAGGGAAGTGAGGCATGAAGATGCTGAACAACCTGCTCAAAGTCACTGAACTTGGAGGTCTCGGGGCTATTGGGTTCTCCAAGCAACAGTGTACAGTCATAGATCACTTTAATAATATGCATGTGCAATGAAAAATGTGTCAATAAGTGACTCAGTCATTGTGGGGTCATAGACAAACTAGACAGTCAGCCATAACATCAGCAGGGGATGTTACCATATGGGACTCCATCATACATGCAGTCCATCACCGGTCACATTGGTGTTAGCCTGCACAGCTCTATAGTTAGCATCTGTGGGTCATAACTATGAATTCTTGCCAGTAGATAAAGCAAAATCTTTTTTTAAAAATTTTCTCAGGTCAATATTCTCCCGTAACTTTCTAGCATTACACGTTTATGTGGCACACGGCAGAGCTGTGTGCGTGTGCAGCCGAGCATGACTGTTTAGTGGTACATCAAAACCGTTTACCTGATCTATAAACTCTGAGATGCAAAATGTGATCTGAGGAACTCTTCCAGGTGATATATATGTGTGTTTAGTATAACAATTGGGTTGACTCATTCATTCATCTTTTTATTCATTCAGCAAAAAAGCTATGAATGACTCTTATGAAACTGGTTCCATCCCAAGAGTAGAGTTTTATGTATTTTTAGAAAATTAAGTGCTGGCAAAATGGATCTGTTAGAAGCAAGTCTGAAATATGGTTTGAAAATCTTTGTATTTCTTCTTGGCAAAATGCCACCATTTATTCTGGTCTTGCTTGTTAGTTTCAAATTTCTCACCTAAAAACACAGTTGTTACTCTGCTTCCTTACTTCAGTACCAGATGCCTCATATCTGTTACCAACACAAGGAGTGCAAAGACGTAAATTTTAGGCTATATGGTCTGGACCAGTTCTCCATAAATTGATCTGGAATGTACCTAGAAATTTGTTTTCTTCTAAATTATTAGGATTGATGCATAGTAAGTGTGCTATTAGTTGGCTGATATGCTACTTTGCTCTGCTTTTTACTTTCAGCACCATTTTGCTTCTCCCTTTACAAAGACATCATCAACATGCCTGCTGGACCTGTGATTTGGGCTTTCTTGAAACCAATGCTGTTGGGAAAGATCTTATATGCACCATATAATCCAGCTACAAAGGCCATTATGGAAAAGGTCTGACTATCAAACTCAGTGTTTCTATGTGGGGTACTGTTTTTGTTTTAAAGTAGTCAATTTTACATTTATTTTAGGTGATTATGTCTTCTCTGACATCATCATTGCCCTTGGTTTTTGGAAACTTTTGATAATACTTTCTCACTTGATAGGTGTGAATGGGGTGGAGTATAGGTTTTGACAAGTGGGAGCTCCTGGTGAAATAAACCATCTTGTTACTTGGGAATGAAATTAGATACAGCCAGCACTCAGACTTTTCAATTTATCTACTAAAACCAAAGAAAAGTTTTCAATTAGTGTCAAACGTTCAAAGTATATATAAAAATCATTTGAAAAACTGGGTGATTGTATAACTCATTCAAATAAAAATTGCTCTTAAAGTATAGATTCTTGACTTCATAACTGGTTGTGTGGTTTGATATTTTTTATTTATATCAAAGACACACGTTGAGTAAAACAATATCATCAGGACCTGTTGGGTTTAAGGGTGGGCATGGTGCTTCATCGTAGAGTCCTTGCCTGACATGTACAGGACCCTGAATTCAATGCACAGCACTGAAAAGAAATTGCAGCATCGGTACATTTGGCTTGAAGACAGACATGCAAAGCACACCTGTAACCCCAGTGCCTTGGAGGCTGAGGCAGGAGGTTTTGGAGATTGAGACATTCTCTCAAAAATAGCTTTAAAGATTTGAATTATACACCCACTCTTTTAAAAACTATACAGTGAGAGTGAAAAGAAAATCTGCTTTAATGTTACCTGGTCATTAAATTGCAGTTGGTGTGAGTCTAACATTATTTTTGAAGCTATGTAAAATGAACAGGAGGTCACCATTGAGTACTGTTACTTTGAATGTTTGTGGGGTAATACTTTATTCATCTTATGGGGTGCATACACTGCAGAGTTTTGTGTAAATGATGTCACTCTTACTGTCCGAGTGTAGATCCCCCCTTTTATGCTTGACTTTTGTCTCCACATTTTGATATGGTAAAAAAGTTTCTTCAACTCAATAGAGCTAGCTAAATTCTTTCCTTTTTAAATATGCTAGATAAATGTTTTGATAACATGAAATGCATTTATTTTATTCTCAGTTACTGGGGATTCATTTTACCTCTGGTGGATATTTTGGGGTTTGTGCTAATGTAAATACTATGGCCAACAAAACACATATGCATGCCTTTTGAAAAATTGGCATTTTATTCCAGTAAGATTAATGTCTGGGATTGGAGAACTTCAGGATATATTTTGTTGCTTTATTTTATTTTATTTTATCTTATTGAGGTAGGGTTTTGCTATGTAGCTCATGTTATCCTTGAGAGTTCAGGATCCTCCTGCCTCAGCCTCCCATGTGCTGGGATTGCAGGCGTACATCATCATGCTTGACGTTAACTGTATGTTATTTGAATAGCTCTTGTTAAATTGGTTCCCTAAAAGGCTGTGGAACCTGCTCCTAGGAGCAAGAATCAAGACCATGCCTTACTTTGCTTCCTAACTTAGAAAATTTAATTTAATAAGAATATTCTTCCTATGTCTGTGAAATGGGGTGCTCTTTAAAGTGAGGTTTAAAGTGGGTAAAAATGAATACTCGTGAGAACTCTTGGGAGGCTTCCATTTTGATTATATGTTCATGATGGGCATCAAGCAAGTCCTAAATTTCCCAGAGTTTTTATAAATGACTTTGATCCTTATACGATATATCACTTGAAGCTTTTGAACACATATAAAAGGTCTGACAATGGCTTTTTAAAAGCAACTTTACTTCATAATGCTGTTTTTAATATACCCCAAAGTTGCATGAAATGGATGAAAAATACTAATTGACCAGATCTCTCTTGTTTCTTTATTGTTAAGTCCAATGTAACTCTGAGACAGCTGGCGGAATTAAGAGAAAAATCTCAGGAGTGGATGGATAAGTCACCAATCTTCATGAATTCCTTCCACCTGCTAAACCAGACAATTCCAATGCTCCAGGTACTGGGTCATCTTCCCGACAGCTTACTAGGAATTATTGTTCTTCAATAATCAACTTTACTATGTGAAGATCATAACTTAGTATCCATATTCAATAGAGTAGAATAACCCTCCCCCCCAGAGACAGTGACTGGACAGAATAGCAGATTACTCACTCACATTTATAACTCTTCCCTTTCACCCAGATCCTTTTGTCTCTTTACTACCTTAAAGGGGAAAATCCCTACACACCTATGTAACTACAACCAGTGTTATAATACCTACTTAATTATTATAGTTAATATGACATTGACATGCTCAAGCTAGTTCTCTTTAAAGTTATTCTTTGGTATTTAATGGGTTTAGAATTTCTAAAATACTAATGCTCGAGAGAGCATTCAACGCCAGGAGTTCCTTAGCTGAGACACGTGGCATAGATTGCATACAGGTGTTGTCATGGAGGGAACTGTAAAGCCCATGTAAAGAAGCAAAGAGCACACCTAGGAGAAAAAGTTGTAATAAATTGGTGCCTTCCATATTCAGTCCTCACTCTGCCCTTCCTGATGCACATGCCGGATAGTTACAGGTTTGACATCACAGCTCTGTGCACATCCATTTGAAAAGTATGATTCATGATTCTTGTAAAAAAGATGCAGGTTTTTTTCTGAAAATGGTGTAGGAAAATGGTCCAATCGCAACAGAACTTTTGACGACTAAAGCAAGCAGCAGAGCTAGCCTGTTATGAGCTGGAGAAAAGAATAGTAATTGTGGTCCTCCTGAGATAGTAATTTGCATTGAAAAGAGATGACCCCAATAAAACCAATGTAGTTCACAAATATTCTTGGGCTACTATGTATATGTGTATATATGATGTATGTATATATGTATATGTATATATTATATAACACACACATATATATCTCCTGTCTTTATCACCATGCTGAGTAAATCAAATCCAGAATGAATGACTTGTTTTGTATAAGTTTTCAGGAAAATTGTACCTGGAAGCTGCTTTCTTCAATTTGTTTTGACTAAAAGTCAGTGCATAGTTAGTTACATTTATAGCATGAATTAGAAAATAAATATGAAAATCATCAATATGTTTAAGAACTATAAAATGAGGGGCATTTTCCATAGAACACCTTCCCTACAATGTACTGTTCGTTTTAACTATTCTAACTTAGAGCATGCTCACTTGTAGCGGCTCTTTTCTAGTGCGTCTCGGATAGCAAAGTTTCTTGAATAGAATTTTATTGCCCTATGTATTCTCCCAAGTGGAAGATTGCTCTTTTCTCCTTAAAAAACTTTATCTATGAAGAAGGAAAGAATAGTCCATACACATTATTTTATTAGGGAAATTTTTGTTGGCTAAAGTGCTGAATTACCAAAGGACATGAGTTGTCCATTATAGTTCTAAAGGGCAGAATTTATTAGAATCTCCATGGCCATCTTTACAGTGAGAATATCAGCTAACTGAAGCATCTTTATTCCAGAAAAGTGTAAATTGCTATTCTCAATTCTTGAGGAAGAATTAAATTTTGTAAATGCACATGGAGTTTGACATTTGAAGCATTAGCAGATGATATGGCATTGTGGTACAGTGCTTGCTCTATAGTACTGAGACTCTGGGCTCAATCATTGGCGTGTGTGCATGCGTACACACACACACACACACACACACACACACACATTCAAAAGATACAGGGAAGATGGTAATAGTAGTACTTACTTTGAGGTGTGGTAAAAATCTGCATAGTAGTGTCTAGCTTACAGTGAAAAGAGCTAATGATGACTACAGGGTAATAGCTATGTCTCTTAGATTGGAAAATAACAATAGAAGCCTTAATATTTTGAACAAACTATATTATAAATTATCAGTGTTTCAGTGGATTAGATGCTGGTTTTATGGATGTTTTCCCATAGCTATACAGTTGTTATTGTTCAATACAGAATGGTATTGTAATAGTGGACACTGACATTTCTGATGAGCCATTTGCCCCCCACTTCGTAGAAAGACAACTTGGAGCCAGGAAGGGGACACTTCACAGCTGGGGATGAGTATCTAGAATACCGAACAGTTGTGAGGTCAAATGGCATGAAGAACTTGTGAATGTCAGCGGTTGCTTTTATTTATCTGGGGAAAATAAAATACATCCTGAACCATATTATTTATAATGTATGCTTAAAAGAAAGGAATTTATTAGTGCTGAGAAAAATTCTATTCAATCGAATATTATTCTCTGATGTTAAAAATAATTATGGTCCCCTCAGGACACTTTTAGAAATCTGAGTAATTTGTGTGGAAGACAACTGCTCATTCTTTCAAATCATTGTGTGTGAGCCCACAAGCAGATACCTTAATAACACCCAGTGGTGACTGCTTCATTGTTCCAAGGTTGTGTTTAGAGTGATAATGATTAAACATGTTTTCTTCTCATATTGAAATTGGTTCTTATTATTAATTTCTAGAATACTCTAAGGAACCCCTTTGTGCAAGTTTTTGTGAAGTTCTCTGTGGGACTCGATGCTGTTGAACTCCTGAAGCAAATTGATGACCTTGGTGAGTCACTGTCACGTAGTATAGATTCATTCAGTCTGCACTTCAGAATTGGGGGAAGAAACCCAGTGCCCTGTGCCCATGAGAGAACTTCCCCTTTCTTCTGTATTTAGTATTTTATGAGTTATTGGAAGAAAAGTGAGACCATGTCTTCCCATGCTTTCTGTTACTTAGGGATAATGATATGTGAATACTTCCTAATCATGGTTAGTTTCAATGATTTTACAGCAAGGTACATAGTGTAAATGCAACTTTTATTTTAATCGTAGGAAGGCAGAAGTAAGACTGCACATTTTAGTTTTTTCCCTTCCATGATAACTCAATGAGAAGTCAGTCCTCAGAAGCATGGGAAGGGGAGATGACATCTGGCAGCATTTAACATTTGATCTCTGCTGGCCTCAGTATCACCAGGATGCAACTGGAAAAGGCTATAGAGTTAACAAAGGCAAATGTAGAGACTCAAAAGAAAATAAGCCTAAATCAGTATTCAAGGTCAGGTCTTCCACTCAGGGTCATTTAAAAGGAACAAGCTGCAGAGAATCAAAGGCAGCTGTCTGAACTTACATATTCTCTCTGCCAAGTCCCCACCTTCAACCTAAAGGATGCAAGACATCTAATTCAGGCTGTGTCTGATTCACTGTTGCTATGCAACCACAAGGATGAGGAAGGGATTGAGAGCATCAGAATTGGCAGCAGCAGAGCAAATACCCTCCTCCTCCCCAGCACTTCGGGGATACAAATGACTTAGATAGTAAGGCAGTGGGGAGGAATTATGTCTATATTTGTATGTAGCCATCTGATGTATAATTGCATGCATTTGATGATACTCAAACCCATTTGGTTAAAGAAAGGTATTAGGGGATTTATTTTCCAAAAGTAAATGGTAAGTCACCATTTGATAAAAATATCGGGGATAAACTATAAAGTTGTTAAATAAATTTTATCACCCCTAACTTTTAAAATAGGAGATGAGGCTTAGAATTTAAAACTAGAATAAAGTAAGTACAATAGTGAGCCTAGCACATTTGAAGGCCTGAGTTTGATGCTCAAAATTGATTACGCACACACACACACACACACACACACACACACGTACATACATATATATATATACATGTGCATATACATATATATGTTTGTCAATGATGCTTGTATTGTAATTACATCTGTAAGAGATGACACAGTTAGACCCTAGGGGTGTCGCTGCCTCTCCAAAGCATTTCCTTGAGTCATGTACAAACATGTCTAGAGGCTCCTTCCTTGTTATGTTGACTCCCAGTATCAGCTGAAGGCCTCAGCGTTCAACATGTAGCTCTCCCTCACCAAACTCTACATGAAGTAAAGGTTTTAACTTTAAAATGTACTGAGAAATGTATTTAGGGAGTTGCCCTTTGCAAGGAACAAGGACTTACTTTGGATAAGGTAAGGAACCTGTTCAGAAGGATTTATGATAGTCACAGCTCAGTCCTCATGATGAGCAAGTTAATAAAAACTTAATTGGTAAATGATTTGTTAACTTGTGATTTCATATTTACCCTTGGTCCCTGCTGCTTTCCTCACAAGGAGTCTTCCAACTGAAGAACAATTAAATTGTCTTTCTTCTGAAGTAATTACTTAAAATGAAATCCTGATCATTTTGTCTAGGTTAATTTAGACATTTATGGGGATGAGTCACGTAAGACCTTTTATTTTGTTTACCCTGGTGGTACCAGGAATCACATCGCACACCTCGTGCATTCGAGGAAAGTACTGTGCCACTGAGCTGTGCCCTTAACTTGTCTATTGATAATATAAGAAAATTCAAAGTATATAATATATACCTTCGGGTTTCTTTTCTTTTCTTTTTTGTTTGTTTTTTGAGGCAGAGTTTCTCTGTGTAGCTTTGGAACCTATCCTGGAACTAGCCGTTGTAGATCAGCCTGGTCTCAAATTCACAGAGACCCTGTGCCTCTGCCTCTGCCTCCCGAGTGCTGGAATAAAAGGCATATGCCACTACCACTTGGCTTTATCTTAAGGTTTCTTAAATGTTTCTGTATTGTGACTTTTGCTTTCAAGATTTTGCTTTGTTTTAAGTTATTTGGATATATGTACACCTTTGTGAGGGTATGTACAGGCACCCACACCCAGAGGGTGTCAGACCCCCTGGAGCTGTAGTGGCTGGTGACTGTGAACTACCTGATGTGGATCTGGAAGCTGAACTCTGGTTTGCAAGTACTTTTAACAGCTGAGCCACCTCTCCAGTCCTTCTGTTGTCCAGCTTATACTCTGCATAGACTTTCTTTGTTTAAAATTCTTAAACATTTTTTTGTCCAAAGGAAACATTTTTGTTTAGCTTATTTAAAACAATCATAGCTAGCTTGTGGTTTATTACCTACATGACATATTTATCTATTCGGTGTGTGCAGTATACATGTAACATGTTCATGTGTATGCATATGGAGAACGAAAATAGCTCTCTCTCTCTCTCCTCTCCATCCTTTTTTTTCTTTTTTGAGACGGGGTCTCTCACTGAACATGAAACTTGCCAATTAAGCTAAACTGACTGGCCAGCAGGCTTCAGGGATTTTTCTGTTTCTGCTTCCACCCCAACCCTTGTCAATATGAGCATTGTCATGCTTGGCTTTTACATGGCTGCTGAGCATCCAAACTCAGGGTTCCTCTGCTTGCCTGCTAAGTGCTTTGCCTATTGAACCATCTCCTCAGCCACTACATGCGTAATTTTAAGGATGTATTCATCCTTAGTCCTTTGTTATTTAAATTGTAGCAGAGTATACTTCTGCATTATCTTACATCTCTTTGAGCCTGGGTTGACTGTATTTGTAACTAACTTAACATTCTCCTAAAGGAATTTCTGTAGAACTGGCATGTAGAATAGTAGGTATTTTTCAAAGACAATTCTACTACCACCTTATTGTTATAATTTAGTTTAATGGGTACCATTTGCTAAAAATAATCAGTATTTGTTTTATTACTTTTGGAATAAAGATGATAACCGTCACCCCCTTTGCTTCTTTAGATGTTCTTAGACTGAAACTAGAGAACAACATTGACATCATTGATCAACTGAACACGCTGTCTTCCCTGACAGTGAACATTTCTTCCTGTGTACTGTATGACCGCATCCAGGCAGCAGACACTGTGGAGGAGATGGAGATGGTGGCTGAAAAGCTTTACAAAAGCAATGAACTCTTTGGAAGTAAGTGCCGTCCCGTTAGTATTAGAGTGTCTGTCTGTACTAAAATGAACCAAATTCCTTCCTTACCTCTTTCATCTGGAACTAAAAAAAAAAAAAAAAAAAAAAAAAAACGTAGTCTGTAGGTCAGTACCTTTTCTAATGTCAGTGTAAATGAAAAACCTTCATTTAGCCAATCAGCTACATTGTCAAAGTACAAATGTCTTATTTCATTGCAGAAAAATTAAGAATGGAAAACATTAGGTAGTTCAAGGGTGAAGCTAAGTCCAGACTCATTATCAGTCAAGATTACCTATTTGAAAGTTTGTGGGGGCGGGGTTGGTAATTTAAACAAGTGGCTTACAGTGATATGTTTAATCTTTCACTTACTTTGTGATTATATTCTTAACTCCAGCTTTGAATCCTTGAGGTTGACACCTCTTAGAAATCAACCTTCTAAAATAAGAGCCTGGATCCACTGTCCTCTTACTAACTCATTTGGCTGGCTGCTCCCTAAGTATGCCCTCTGACCTGTGAGTGATGGTGCCCATAAAATAACTTTTGTGCTGTTGTTGCTGTTTTATTTTTAGGTGTCATTTTTAAGCTTCCATCTAACAGAAGCTCACACAGAGGCTACGATTCTGAAAACGTCTCTCTTCCTCCTATCGTAAAATATACTATCCGCATGAGTCTGAAGACTGCTCAGACCACAAGGAGCATAAGAACCAAGATTTGGGCCCCGGGGCCACACAATTCTCCATCACACAACCAGATCTATGGCCGGGCTTTCATTTACTTGCAGGATAGTATTGAAAGAGCAATCATTGAATTACAAACAGGAAGGAACTCGCAGGAGGTGGCTGTCCAGGTTCAAGCAGTTCCCTATCCCTGCTTCATGAAAGATAAGTAAGTGAGTGGACCTACAGGCCTTGCGAGTGGTGAAACCCCCTTTGAGAAAGTCCCTTATGCCTTGACATATCAAATGGTGGGGAAGATATTCACTGAGTCTTTGCCCTATGTTTAGAACCTAAAATAGAGCATGCCTGGATGTTTCATTAAGGAATGGAAGCCCCAGCACATTGCATTCTTTGTGACAATAAGATCATAAAGTCTTATATGTAAATTTAGACTCTTTGTTACATCTGAAATCCTTTTCCATGTGTTATTTCATTTGTTTTACCATTGTCCCTTGTCAATTAAATGGAAGCAGTGTCATCATCCATAGTTTTCAGATAAAAATGAAATCCAGAGAGCCTGAGTCACTTGACCTAAGATATATGGCTGATCCTGCCCTGGGCTATCTGATAACAGTACCTGCATTTTCTAAGTACTGGACCAGACCTAAATCACACTCTTGGAAGGAGCTTTACAAGTGTGTTGTTATTAACAAATAGGAGCCCTTAACCTAATTCTACAGCTAGAAATTGTAACAAGAATGGACCAGGTCCAAGATAAAATTCACCAACAAATGTTCTATTATAAACATCTGCCCCAGGAAACAAATTATGTATGTCCTTTCCCCCTGAAAAGCATCCTTCTCAGTAGCAATACATTTCTGCACACTAAAGTGATCGGTAACAAGTGCTAGTGACCTCGTGGTCCATCGATATTTTGCATTTTCCTCAAGTGTCTAAGAATGGTCTTGGGACCTTTCTCTAAATGGAAGCTTTGGTCAGCCCAAGATGCAAAACAGATTAGCGCAGAACCTCACCAAGAACAGCCTTGCCTATTGAAGGGTTGTGAGCATCAGAACCGTGGCCTCCTGGGTACCACCACCACCAGCATCTGGGAAGATGTTCACAAGCACATTCCTGGTCTGTCCATATATAATAAATGAGCAGGCTTCAGTTTGAGACCAGGACTCTGTTTTTATGAAGTTGGAGGGTGCTTGTGCTATGCAGTCAACTTGGAGAAACGCCTAATAAGATCTTTCAGGCATTATGACTGGCCACTCATGAATTAATGTGGGGCTTTCGAAGGGCCCTCTACTTCAACATATTGTCCAAAAAAGACATTTCTGCATTTCTGAAATACCTTCAAAGAATTCAAGTTCTTTGTATTTTAAATCAAATGTTCTGGATTTCGTATTATCTAATTTAGGGAAATTTAGTTTAATAATCTTCACAAACCTCCTCAAAAGTTAACGTAGTCATTTTGGACACTGCCACTTTTAGATAAGCATGCCAGTCATCATCTGATTTTTGAATCTGCCATTCAGATAAGCAAAGTATTGAGTTTTGTACTTATAGCTGTATAATGATTTTCCCAACCAGGACATACTCAAATGCAATTTAAACAATATGGCAGTTTTCTCTAACCACCCAGAGCTGTGTTTTTACTCTTGCACTGCCACAGTAAGGAAAATGATAGCCCGCTGTTAAGTCAGCTTCCCTGGTCATAAACAGTGGCACCATATTAATAGTTATTCTGAGCTCCCTAATGGGAGTGTAATTTCCACATGCACAGGTGTGTACTTCTTGCACTCTGCAGTCTGCAGGGCCGCATTCATTCTGATGACTGAATCCTCTGTTTCCTCTCACAGCTTCCTCACCAGTGTCTCCTATTCCCTTCCGATCGTGCTCATGGTCGCCTGGGTTGTATTTATAGCTGCCTTTGTTAAAAAGCTTGTTTATGAGAAGGACCTTCGGCTCCATGAGGTACGTTGTTAATCTTTTCTTGTTGTGAATAGGTCCTAATCATAGATCAGCGAATTACTATGACTTGCATCACGCCTATTCAGCCTCAGCCAGAATAGTCCACATCTTTCAAATTAGAAAGACAAACATTTTACAGATCACAAAGGTAGTCTTTATTTTGTTTTCTCAAAAGTGACACGAAAGACATCTAATAAAGTACTTCTGAGAAGACAAAACCAGAGTAATATTGAATAAAATATTAATATAATCATGATCCTCACAATAATATTTTTCCAGAGTTATTACCTATAAGATGTAGGCTCTAACAAGATTTATCAGTTTATGTACTGATACTATCTAGGAACAAAGATGGCAGACATGGTAACCAAGTGAACTCCTTGTACGTATAGACTCAGACATGGATACTGACATGAGGTTTATTTTGTTTTGTTTTTCAAGAACAAATTCTCTTTCCATTATACTTTTTCTCTCGCAATCATCTTCCAGTTACAATTTGCTAAATGATTTAAGCCCCGCTGACTTCCCAACTGTATGCCATGGTTCCTAACGACAGTCTGAAAAGTTTGAATTCACACCTCAAACCCTAATTGGGTTGCACAGTCCTTTCTACCTTGTATGTCTCAGGTTCCTGGTCCTCAAAAGTGGGTCTTCAAAGATTAAAGGATGAATTTGAAGCAGAAAGCTGTGGTAGACACTGAGCTGTTTTATACTTCAAAACAGATCCCTGCCTCAAATATGTTACTCATGATAGAAACAACAAGCATACTTATGCATGGGTGTCTATATACTCATGTGCTTAAGTGCATACATATGCATGTTGCACACTCATCACTTTGTTTTGTCTTAGAACATAGTGCTGTTTGAATGCATCCATGTATGTAACCCAAAATACCAGAGCATAATGTGGTCCTTTTTCAGTAGAAGAGATGAAAGGCATACCTTTAACAGTGAACCATTTCTGTGTGCTAGCTCTACACCTTCACTTAGTAGACATCCACCTTCAAGTTTTAACCACATGACCACAGGGTCAAAGTCACACAGTGGAAAAAATCACTGAATTGGAATAGAACACGAGGCTTTGAGTCTTCTGTTTCTGCTAGTCATGTTTGCTTCAGCCTCATACCTAAACTCAGCATCTTTTTTTTTTTTGCTCTAGACATCATTTAGCACAATATTACAGTATGGAGATGTCTCATAACAGAGAAGGTGTTCGATTACCTATATTATCTTTCTCTAAGATATTGGCTCGTTTTTTTAGAAGCCTCTGAAATTAGGATGCAATTGACACAGTACCATGACTTACTCAGTAATAATTTTTCTTTCTTTGATGGCATGCAAATTAATGTCACATCTTAAAAACAATGGCATCCTAAACTCAAAGGGAAACAGCATAGCTGTGAAATGAATTTGTGGAGGACGTGGAATGAATGGAATGTCCCCAATGACTCCAGCTTGTCTCTCTACTGCCCTCAGTTCACAGCCACCTCCTTCTCAGAGATGAGATGGCTGTGTGTGCCTGGAAGTGAGAGTGAAGGTGAAGACTATGAATCTAGTTAATCACTATCATCAGGGGTGTCTTGACCTCCACCCAAACCTTTGCTAAACCATAGCTGCTTTCCTTCAGTAGTGCAGACTTTGAAGACATTTTGAGAATGATGACAGTCAATCTCTTTGGTTACCAGAAACTTGAAATTACTTTTTAATGCTGTCATTTTACATTCAGCTAACATGTGAAAAAGTTACATATCCTACTTCTTTTTCATTCAAATTAAAACACAAAGGGTTAAAAAATTTGCTTTTTTATAACATTTTTAAAATTGGGTCAAGAAAATATATTTGGCTGTATCTTGATGAAGTCATTAAAATTTGACCCTGTCGTAATATGCCTCCAAAAACTTTACCTTTGGAAGTAGCACACATATTAATAACCCATAAGTCTATTTTTGAAATTAAGCCTTAAAATACTTTAAAAACTTCCTTCACATGTTTTGTTCTACAGTCTGTGTTTTTAACAATTATAATATTACAGCTCTAAAATGCTGATATTTTATAAAAGAATAAATCTTATTTTCAAAATTTTTTTGTGTTTTATGAGCTAGTTGTGTCTAGTTGATCTAAGACTCCATTGTTGGGAGTTTATATTCAGCTAGAGACAGAATTTTGGAGTTTTTCTGTAAGTTCAGACATGCAACCAAAGATATTTATGAGTTATTACCAAGAAGAACACAAGAATCTTCAGTACCCTAGGGCTTCATATTTAAATACCTTCTATTTGCTTTTATAACACATATCATTCCTTACTAGCAGGGATTTGAAACACTCCTAATAACAACACAACATCCTTTTTAACTTACAAAACTTTTTAAGCATTAATATAATCTTTTGTTAAGAAAATTAACTTTTAAAAATGAAATTAAAGATGCCATTATCCCTGATGACTTAGTGCTTGGCCTACTGTTGAATTGGATGACATTGCTGACAAGGAAATATATGAATATTCGTGGTTTCTCTTCATGAGTCAGGGTTCACCTCTAAACAGAAGCCTCTTAGGGATGTTCCTACAAATTCCTCTGAAATCTCTTTCTTAGTGACGGCTGTGAACTGGGCCAGCTTTGACCACTGTGTACCAAGGCTTTTCCAGTTATCAGATATTGATGAATTGCACTGTCAGGTTAGGGAGACTTGGGACAAGTGACTCTTTGACTACAAAGCTGGCACCTGACGTCTGCCACTTTGAGAAGGAACCAATAGCACCAAGAAAGCACAACCAGTCATTCTCTGTGGTGCATCTTCCAACCACAGCTTTGGTCTTCTTTGTCACCACAAACTTGGCAGCAACTTGCAATGATTTATACATGACTTGTCTCTCAGAGCCCTTTCTCATTATGGATACAGCTGTCCTCGTGACACAAAATCCTAAAGCTCTGCACTGAACTTCCAAGAACAGCCCAGCAAAGCTGTATCAGTGAAAAGTGAAATGACCAGTCTCAATGTTTTATCAGCTCTTAACAGTAAGAATTACATCTTGAGTTTAAAAGTCTTCTAATTACTGTGATGAGCACCTTCACTGTTAGGTGTGAGGCTTGCCAAACTGTTGTTTAATAAGTCTATGAGTGGAGAATATTCTAGATGCATCAAGACTTTAAGTTGGGACTGCTGGTCACCAGGGGAGAAAAGCATGTTTAAACACATGATGTACACATTATTTTGTGGTCTAGATGTAGCCTAGATATGTTATCGTCACCTTAGAAAATATATTGACATTGTTTCTTACTCGCAAGCATTGCAATTGGAGGGAGTGTTGCTTTTTATAGGTCACAAAAGATTAAATAGTTTAGTGATGTGTGCATACCAGTTGGTTATGCTCAAGTATCCATAAGTAATTAAATTTTAAAATGCAAATAACATCCAGGGATGATAAAAAGAGCTTGTATGTCAGAATCACCCTGGGATTGATGAATATTTCTGAAGTGCAGTCATAAAAAATGACACAATAATTTTCTTTAGCTGGATGGGGAATATGGGAGGAATTTCTAGAGTAAAATCGTTGAATTTTTCTTCTTAAAAAATCAAAATATAATTTTGTTCTCAATAAAGACAAGCCTTGCAACTAGGGGAAACTTTACCCGGTGAATCATTGCTCAGTGCAGTTTCTTCCCTTTGACCCCTCCTCCTATTCCTATGGAAACATAGGTGAAGTCTTCATTGCAGAAGGCATGGGGCCAAGGAAGAGCACTAGAAAAAGGTGCAGAAGAGGACAAAGTTAAGAGGAAAAGTCACCGGTTTTTTTCTCAGTGGTTATTAGCATAAGGCCCACAGCTTAGATTGTTGGCAGGCAGGTAACTGTCTCCATGGTAACAAGAGCAAGCAGAGTTATCAAATGTGATAAACTTTTTTAAAATGCAGAAAACAAAATGTATTACATTTGGCTTGTGGAATAAAATGCCCAGTGCAATATTATTGTTGCTGTTGTTGTTTTTCTAGACAGGATTAAGAGAGAGAGACAAAAATTATTTATTCTTCAAAAATACTGGACTATAAAGCTGCTAGTGGAACATTTCTTTCATTATATTAAAAATGGGACATTAGCTGCATAAGTTTATTCTTAATCATTTATTAAGACTGGAAACTGAAATATCCAGGTTTCCTAAGTCTTCCATTTGTACCAAATTTAAGGCAATTGGAGTTGAAGGAAGGTTGTGGACATTAAACACATTTGCATTCTTGCACAAACAGACCTGATATTGTGATGAAATGTCTTGGCCCTGGAGATATCACTGAGTCAGAAAAGAATGTTATCTGAGAAACAGGTCTATAGCATCTAAGATGCTGTGGGTGTATGAATGCATCTTTGTAGGCAGGCTGACATAGACTATCCATTGATGTTAGTGATGAGGAGGTCACCACAAAAGGCAGAAGGTCATCCTCAGAACTGCGGTGTTTTGAATAATAAGAATCCACATCTATTCTGTTTCTCTCATGAAACAGGAGCAATAGTTATAGTGTTCATTAAGGCTTATTAAAAATAAATGAACTTTTATTATTTCAATATCTACATTGGGATTGAATTTAAACAATGTACAGCTTTTTCCCAGAGTGAAATATTTATACCTGAGCAAATGTCAAGTTCATGCTGTAAAAATCATAGAGGAGACACCATAAATATGGTCCCTGATTCTAGAACACTTTAATCTAGAGAAGTCAGCTAGATAGTGTCAAAATGAGTACTGTAATGTGCATATAGGTGTGTGTGTGTATGTGTGTGTGAGCATGTGTGTCTGTTTGTATATGTGGTGTGTGTGTGAGGTCTGTGAGTGTGAGTGTGTGTGAATTTGTGTGTATATGTGCATGTGGGAGTATATATGTATATGTGTGAGTACATACATGTATGTGTGTAGTGTGTGTATGTATGTGTGTGTATATGCATGTGTCTGAATGTGTATGTATGTGTGCATGTATGCATGTGAGTATGTATGTACAAGTGAGTGTGTGTATAAGTATGTGAGTATGTATGTGTGAGTGTGCATGTATGTATATACATGTGAGTGTGTGTATGTGTGTGAGTGTGTGTATGTGTGTGAGTGTGCAGGTGTGTGCGTATTGCTAGGGACTGAACTCAGGACCTCTGGCAGTTAAGCAGGTGCTCCATACTCAATTATTTATTTTCTGGATGTGTGTGTGTGTGTGTGTGTGTGTGTGTGTGTATAAGAGAGAGAGAGAGAGAGAGAGAGAGAGAGAAACAGAGATAGAGATGGAGAGAGACAGAGACAGAGAGACCAAGCAAGTTTACCATTGCGTATGTATTTGAAGTCAGAACGCAACTTTCAGGAGTCTGTTCTCCTTGTCACCTTCTAAGATCTGGTATCGAATCCAGGTCATCAGGTCTACAAGCAAGTGCCTCTACCCAGTGAGTTATCACACTGGTCCTAGGAATGTACATTTTTATTCACAAGAAAGGTCTTCTACAACAGAAGCATTGTCTGTGTTGGAGTGCCACTTTGGAAACTTAAATTCCAAGAGGAGCTGGCAAAAAGAGAGCTTAGCAATCAAAGAGAATTCACATAGAATGTTCAAACGTATACTTTCATATGAGGAAGCTCTTGGACATTTTGTCACGATGCAGAAGGAATTGTCACTTAGGGATTCATCAACCAAAGAAACACCTAACTCTCCCTTTTTCTTCTAGTACATGAAGATGATGGGTGTGAACTCCTGCAGCCATTTTTTCGCCTGGCTTATAGAAAGTGTTGGATTTTTACTGGTTACTATTGCAATTCTCATCGTTATACTCAAGTTTGGCAATATTCTTCCCAAAACAAATGGTTTCATTTTGTTCCTGTACTTTTCGGACTACAGTTTCTCAGTGATTGCCATGAGCTATCTCATCAGTGTTTTCTTCAACAATACCAACATTGCAGCTCTGATTGGAAGCCTCATCTACGTCATTGCCTTTTTTCCATTTATTGTTCTTGTTACAGTTGAGGATGAGTTGAGCTATGTTATAAAAGTATTCATGGTAAGTCAACTGTTGGAGTGTGCCATAGTGTGATATAAATGCCTCTCCCCCTTAGTTCATTGAAAGAGTCTCATGTTGAAAGTTCACATATATAATTAAAAATTAAGTGACAGCAAAATAAACTTAATTCTTCTAATGATAGTTCTTTGTAACTGCTGTCTTCTCTGAGAGGAAACATTTTTCCCACAGCTTCTAGAACCATTAATGATGCTGCTAAGTTATAGTTCTTGATCAGTTAAAATATTACCTGCCATATTTTAGAGATCACCAAGAATTCTGACTTCTCTGGTTCAAATCCTTAAACATTGCATGACCTTCTGTGTTAGAACCATTCTCATATATGAAAATTACTCATGGTTTTCATGAGTAACACATAGCCTGAAGGAATAGTGATGGGCACATTGACAGCATGTACTCAAATTTGAATTCTTTCCTTTGGCTTTTCTTAATTCAGAAGCACTAAATTGAAGAATAAGATGACTGAATTTAAGATTCAGAGAGCAGAGTCCTTCCCGTAATATTAAAGCTTTACTGTTCATAGACATAGATTTGATGAGTAACTTTAATTCGATACTGACTGCTCTAAGCTTAAACAAAACTTAAAATTATAATTTGTAGTGATTATCAATATTCAACCAATAATATTTTAGTGTATTCTCATTCATAATTCTATCACCTGAAATAAATTTAGAAACATTTTCTGGCCCTGATTTCATTTGATTTGTCTTCCTACTCTATTACTCTGCAATTTCCTGCCTTATAAATTTGTGAGCAACATTTAATAAGCTTAAACATATATTTTGGATTCTTAAAAAGCAGTCTCCAAGTTTATTTCATCTTTCTCTGTTTCTCCGCTCTCTCTAGTCTTTCTTTCATCTCTCTCTCTGTCTCTGTCTCTGTCTCTGTCTCCCTCTCTCTCTCTCTCTCTCTCATTGCAGTGTTTTTGGCAAGGGACTTCAGTATTTTAAAATAGACTTAGAGAGTGAGCATAAATTTCTCCTATATGACTAACACTTTAAGCGTTTTAAGACCGTCTAGGTGAAGTCGACTGGCACTATCACCACTGTTCATTTTCTTCTCAGAGCCTGCTGTCCCCAACAGCATTCAGCTATGCAAGCCAATATATTGCACGGTATGAAGAACAAGGTGTTGGTAGGTTCAATGTCTTTAAAACAGGATTTTATCTATAACTGTGATGTGTGCCAAAGAGGAATAAATAACTGTGTTCAATTTCTAGGTCTTCAATGGGAAAACATGTACAAGTCCCCTGTTCAAGATGATACCACCTCATTTGGATGGCTGTGCTGTCTAATTCTAGCAGACTCTTTCATTTACTTCTTTATTGCTTGGTACGTCAGGAATGTCTTCCCAGGTAGGAACCTGCATTCCATAGATACACGCTTCTTGTGGCTGTCTTCACTGTAAGTCAGCTAATACCAATAGTTGGCTTGCCATATGCAATCTCCAAAGCAGTATACTAAAACCCTAAATTCGCCCAAATCTTCAGATTAAATACGATGCAGTGTTCCTTTTGTGGTAGTTCTTTCAAAGACAGAGTAAATTCAAAACCATGCGATAGTATCAAGTCAACCCAGTCTCTTTCCAAATAGAAGCATGGTGCACTGTAAGACCTGGGTTTCTTAGTTTTATGAAGAATGAACTATATTCTAAAACAGAGATTGAATTCCCACTTTGGTTCTCAAGCATTTATCCTTTCTAACAGACTTAAGTGTTTTTTCACTAAGTGTTATTGATATGTTTGCATTTTTTGGTGGATGAGTGAGTAAAATTACATGCTTTTATTTGCACAAAATGGTTATAAGAGATGACTGTCTTGAGACAGAAAGCATTTCAGTGCTGGGACTTGGAGTAGGATCATGGAGTATACAAAGGAATCCTATGAGAATTCGGTGGAGTTACAGAAGTAGTCTTAACATCAGACTGTGGTGATGCTTGCTTTGTACATGAACAAAAATCATCCAACTGCACACTTAAGATGACTAAATTTGTAAAACAACTGTACTTACTGACATGTCTTTAAAAAGAGATGATCTTTTTGGCTTTGTTTTGTGAACTGAAATCACTCTTTTAGTTTGTGTAGTATCCTACAAAATGAAGCAATTTCCTGAACCATTTATAGTGTTTCATTTCATTTCATTCTTCTTCATGCATCCTCATTACAGGGACATATGGCATGGCAGCTCCGTGGTATTTTCCAGTACTTCCTTCTTATTGGAAAGAGCGATTTGGATGCGCAGAGGTGAAGCGTGAGAAAAGCAATGGCCTTATGTTTACCAATATCATGATGCAGAACACCAACCCTTCTGCCAATAAGACAAGTAAGTCAATAGCATGTATCATTATAAGAGAAATGACATAAAAATTACATGAGTAGTGGATTTAACTACATTTTTCTAAACGATAAAATTATCATCCTTTTAGTCATGCATGAGTATGACTACTCATCTGTGTTTACACTCTTACAGGGATTGAATTGTGCCTTCTCCTGGGCTCATTAGCTCAGTTGGTTAGCATATGCTGCTAATTAAACCAAGACTGTAGATCCCTTTGTGGTCCAGTTAGACTCACACAGAGAAAAATTTTGTTCCTTGCCCACAGCCTGCATCCCTTATTCTAGCCATCTGCTACCAGTCATAAGAGTAACCAAGGAACAAAAATGGGTAATGTAGCATAACCCACAGCTGATGTGAGAAAAACAGTGCAAAGTTCACACCTCACTGACATGGGGTGAGTGCTACTGTCTCTATGAAAAGATGCCCTGTGTATGTGGTGGGGTAGTGATGCCTAAAGAAGGAATGGATAGGAAAATTAGCTGGATTTGGTAAGCCACAGATCTGATAAAACTTTATTACTGTAAAACCACAACTTGAAAACATTTATTTCATAAAATGAGGCCATCTTTCCCAATCAGAAAACAAGCCTTCTGGGTTATCTATTGAATATTTAAGATCTGTTTAAAACAGGAAAGTCGTAAAATTACAATACTCTATTCAAGAACTGCTTTTTCCCAGAGAGAAGGCTAAAACACAAAGCCCTATGGGATGTGGCTTTGTACTCTTGCTCATTCTGCAGGCAGGTCAGAAGGAAGCCAGAGAATACAATAAATCAGTTGTTCTGACCTTTTTAAACTTAAAGATTATATTTATATAATCTCCAATTTTTAAAGGAAAGTCTAACCCAGGTCCATTAATTACTGATGAACTTCCAACTCTTCTCTTGGTTTCTTTCCAGGTCCTGACTGTGCATTCCCCTCCAACATTGAACCTGAACCTAAAGATCTCCAAATTGGAGTTGCCCTTCATGGGGTCACAAAGATGTATGGCTCAAAGACGGCTGTTCAAAACCTCAATCTGAACTTTTACGAAGGGCACATTACTTCACTGCTAGGGCCAAATGGAGCTGGAAAAACCACAACCATGTATGTTATTTTTCAACTACATGTCAAAGAAGGATATTATTAATGATAGCTTTTTATAAACTAAAGTCCCAAACTAAGAAGAAAGCAGATCTATTAAACCCTCCAGGTTCAACTTGTCCATGGTAGAATGAAATGTAAACCAGAGAGTCCAAACTATGAACTCTAAGACCCTTTAACACAGTTCCTCATGTTGTGGGGACTCCAACCGTAAAATTGTTTCCTTGCTATTTCATAACTGTAGTTTTGTTACCATTATAAATTGTAATGTAGGTATCTGATATGCAGCATATCTGATATATGATTCCCAAAGAGATGAGGACCCACAGGCAGAGACCCACTGTCTTAGGGGATAGAGCTTCCTGCAGCACAAGGTGTACATATTGAGATAGGAGCTGTTGGTGAACATTCAGTAGTGCTGTTCTGTTCAAAAGGAGTGTGCTCTCTGGTTAATTTCTGGTCTGGGGTTCATACTGATGTATCTGTCAGTCTGTCCGTTTGATTTGTATTTCTTTCCAGGCCAGGTATAAAGCTGAGTTTGTACATCCTAGCATGAACACACAGCCCCATCTTCTCTACTACAGGAAGCACTTACCTTGATTCACAAAAAAACAAAGAATTGCCAGCATCACACACAGGTCACGGTCAAGAGCTGCTTTCTCTCTACTGACTGTCCTGTGACAAGACAGAGGGAGGATCAGGTTCCCAGATTCCTAGATATTTTTATCGTTTGTGTGTTTGCTGTGATGCTTTGCCTCCAGTTCTCCACCTGTGCATACTCGCGTCAGTGCTAAGATATTGTTGGATCCCAGCCCTTGAGGAAATGTTTCCCTTGCTCTATGTTCTATTTTTAATCATCTTGAGTAAGTTCAGTGACTTCTCAAATGCTGGCATCAACACTTATCTCTAAGTGACTGGAGACAAGTGAAGGCCATGAGAAGAGTAAACATGCAGTCTCTTATTTGTATGACCTGTTAAAACCCAGGGGTGGCTTTCTAGAATACAACACTTACAAAGAACACTTATAAAGCACATTTACCCAATGGGAAATAAGAGGCTGCGGAGAAAAGAGATAGTGAATGTGCTTGAAAAGATTCTAATTTTGGCTGAGAATGCCATTTATTATTTATTTGTTTGTTTGTTTGTTTGTTGAGATAGGGTTTGTCTGTGTAACCAGCCCTAGACAGTTGAGAACTTCTCTAGACTTTCTGAGGATTGTGCTATAATGGAGGGAGGAGATGATTACTAAATAACTCCCCAACTGACTAAACACTTGCAAGGGTTTTCTAGGTAGAAATACTTTGGCCATAATACAGAGAATGAATGGGACTGAAGATGGCCTGTTGTTTCAGAAGCAGGCATGTGGTGATGACTTCTGCCCTCTGGTGGTAGCAGATGTTGGCAGTTAGGCAACCAAGAGACCAACAAGGTGTATACATGACTGCTGAAACACAGCCTTGTGCAAACAATATATGAATTCATCCCTCAATGAAGGAGGGAGAAAGATATGGTATCGTGGTTAAGACCATACTAAGTCTGAGGACCTTGTAAGGCAGTGGTTCTCAACCTTCCTAATGCTGAGACCCTTTAATACAGTTCCTTGAGTTGTGGTGACACCCAACCATAAAATTATTTTGTCGCTACTTCATAACCTTAATTTTGCTATTGTTATAAATCCTAATGTAAATATATGATATGTGACCCCTGTTATTCAATGCCCATAGACTTAGAACCATTGTTATAGGTACCTCATGATGATCTAGCATGGTCTGTTGGGTTCATAGGACAAGCCTGGGATTAAGTGATACAGTCTAGTTGGGATACATCAATTGGAGATTTGCCAGTCTATAAATAGGATTCCAAGGAAACACAGTAATGTTCAAGGAGAGAGTGTACTTTCAACTAAAAAGCACCCCCAGTTTGAACATTATTACCACTACCATCATCATGCAGTGTTTGCACAACACCCAAAAATAACTAAAAGCTTAAAAGTCATTTTTTATTTTTTCATTCCCACTTGATGCCTTTTTATTTCACAGCTTGCCTTCACTTAAAGAGATGCACTCCAACATTTTTTTCTAACCTATGAGATATATTTAGTTTTGCTATCTAGTTTGAGTGATTGGTCCATACCTAATTTATTGCATCTTCATTTACAGCTCCATGCTGACTGGACTGTTTGGTGCCTCAGCAGGTACTATTTTTGTATATGGGAAAGATATCAAGACAGACCTAAATACTGTTCGGAAAAACATGGGAGTCTGCATGCAGCATGACGTCTTGTTCAGTTACCTCACCACCAAGGAGCACCTTCTCCTGTACGGCTCCATCAAAGTCCCTCACTGGACCAAAAAGCAGCTCCATGAGGAGGTTAAAAGGTGAGTTAAGCCAGAAGCAAGGGTGCTGCTTGTTAGCCTTTCCCAAACACACACACACACACACACACACACACACACACACACACACACACACATATATATACATATGTTCTGGAAGTAAAAACAATAGGAAATATTCTCTCACAAACATGTTTGCTTCATTTTCTATTTTTCTGGTAACACACATAATTTATATTGCTATCTCCAGCTGGTTATACACATTGTTCAACTCTTCCTCGGTGCCTGATATGGTGCCCTGATCCTTTGTTTTTGTTCTGCATGCATACTGCACTCCAACGCCTTTTAACTAGACTTCCAGCTCTCCTGCCCCATCTTATCTATTCTTATTAAAGAGCTGTCAAAGTGAGCTTTGTCAACTGCAAATCAGACCACGATATTCCTGCATCACCTAAAGTGACTTTCGTCACACTTAGTAAACATTCCATAATGTCATTACCAAGGCCTACCAGACCCTACAAGACCTGTCCTCTGTCTCATATCAATTTTCTTTCACACTCTCTGTTCAGTCTGCTCTGTGAACTTAAGATACCCATACCCTTGACTACAAACAACTGACTCTCACAAGTCTTTCTCCTTGCTCTTCACAATTTACCCCATCCTTCCTGAGAGTCATTTGACCTCCTCTTGGCCAAATGATAATTTTTGGTCTTTTCTCATCTTACTTTTTCTGACAGTGACTACTATATATACAGACCTAAAACAATATGCACCAACCACTCTTTCTCTTTTATTTCCTATGATATTAATTGTGTGTTGATTACCACCTGGTATATTATAAACTCTCTTGACATTATGGCTATCTAATGGAGTTTCTTCACATTCTGAACACACTGCACACAATCTCTTTACGAGCATGTTTTTTGTCTGTTCATTGCTTTTCCCTAGGACCTATGACGTGATCTGGCACAAAAAAGTCCAATGTTCTAACCATTTGTCAAATGCACAGACTATATATTCTCTTGTGCTTTTTTTCTTAGTAATTATTTTTATGATAAGATGGTAAATGCATGTCATTAAAGACATACTCCTTGATTAGTGAACACAATAGCACCATTAATTATTTTGAAGGACTTTAAAAGACACTGGCCTGTATAACCATCGCCATAAAAGAGTTGGAACATTGTCTGGAGGAATGAAGAGGAAATTGTCCATATCCATAGCTCTCATTGGTGGATCAAGGGTAGTGATTCTTGATGAACCATCTACTGGAGTCGACCCGTGTTCTCGAAGAAGTATATGGGATGTCATATCCAAGAATAAAACTGGTATGAATGTTTTTTCATAACTTCTCCATGGGACAGTCATAAGTCTACACTCAGGGTTATGCAAAATTAAGTTGAAACTTTTTCTGCATATAATACAATACCCTCAAACTGTCTGAGGTGGACTCTTTCTTTTCCTAAGATTTCTCAGTGAGATGTATGTGTCAGTTAGTTAATACCTATCTAGTACTCACTGTGAGTTGAACTTAATGAGCATTTTGGGATTGTTTAGATCCAATGGCAGTTCCAAAGTCTGCATGGACTCTAATTGGAGATACCAAACATACACAAGTGAAAATAAACCAAAAAACAAACTAAATAAGTAGTAATCAAACAGGAGTGGATCAATCAAAGAGGAATATTTAAAAAAGTCTTTAAAATTACTGCTGTTTCATAGTAAAGGAAGGAAAGTGAGCAAGAGTGAGAGAGAGCAGGAGAGGGAGGGAGTGCACACTGAAACAATAGAAGCAAAACTCTGACGAATGAGAGTTACTGATGCACACAAATGATAGAAGGACATTAGCTGTAAAGCTTAGTAAGGACCCGCTTGCTGCCAAATTACATATAAGAAACCCTCCTGTATATCTAAGAGCACCCTTCTGAATTTCCCTGTGATACTTATAGAGGTTCACTCACCTCAGTCTAGTACCATTCTTGTCCACAGAAATCTCAGAACTTGCTCTTGCTAATTCTGTTCCATGGAGCCTGTATCCTCATTTTTCATTCTATGCTGTTATTGACTTTGTTTTTTAAGCCAGAACAATCATCCTGTCAACACACCACTTGGATGAGGCTGAGGTGTTGAGTGACCGCATTGCTTTCCTGGAACAAGGTGGGCTCCGATGTTGTGGCTCACCATTTTACCTCAAGGAAGCTTTTGGGGATGGCTACCATCTCACACTCACCAAGAAAAAGGTTTGTAAGAGGGGAAGTGCACTATCTCATGGGGTGATGGGTTAAGTGTTCCTATGAAGTGCAGATCAATTCTCTCCAACTTGACTCATTGCTAAAGCTCCTCAATATGCTCCTTTGTGTGGTTCTCAGCAAGTATATTGGGGGGAAAAGCAGATTTCTGCTCTTATCTCAAGAGTATCTAATGTTGTTAGCTTCCCCAGAATTTACTAAACTTCTGGTAATTTCCCAGGTACTATCAATATTGCTGGCACTGCACAAAATGATGCCTCTTTAAAGGTTACTGGTGGACTGCCAGCCCCCCACCCCTCCCCCTTCCCCCGCTAATATTTCAGAGAAATTTAAATTTTCTGGCTTAGAGAAAGAAAATAAAGAGCACACATGAAGTCATGTCTTTACTGGGCAAGTGTTAGACTGTACAGTGGAAACTATGACTCAATCATCTTTTGGATGACTCCCTATCTAAGTTATTTTGGCATGACTTTCAAAATATATGAAGTAATTCAGGCTGAGGGGGGCTCTTTCCTTAGCTTAACTCAACTGCTTCCACCTTATGAGTGCTGTGCCCTTTTTCATAAATAGTGTTTTTGCTAATTCTTGGAGAATTCCATATGATGTAGTTTGATCATATTCATTCCCAATCTCCTCCATGTTTCCCTTTCCTACCAACCCAACTTTAGTTTTCTTCTCCACACCCATCCAAATCAAGTCCAGTTTGTATTGCCCAACTACTTTTATGATCAGGGACCTGCCATAAGTGTGGTCAACCTACTAGTGGTCACATCATTAAACAAAACTGATTCTCCCACTCTCAGCAGGAAATACCAATAGCTTCCCAGCTAGTGGTGGGATTTCTTGCCCACCTGCCCAACTCCATGGTGGGGTTGTGTCCACCTAGAGCTAGAGCAGGTCTTATACCTTAATAAAAAATTCTTCCTTAATAAGCTACCTATTTCTACCCTATGCCTTATTAAGAGGGCACAAGTTCTTCTGTACCTCTTCTAGTGTCTGTTGGGATTTTCGTCTAATCTGTACTGTATTTTTTTAAACTCTAACAAAATTATCCTTGATCTTCAAAAACAAAAATACTAATTCATCATTATGTTTAGAAATTCGTATATTAAGGGATATTGTGCTGCATGATGAATGGAAACATTTTTCTCGGTACTGGGGCTGCATCAGTGAATTCATGATATGAAACTCTATATTCTGGCTTCATGAACTTTGTGTTTGATGGGATGTGAAAAATTCAGATGCTATACTCAATGTGTAAATTATTTAACACATTAGCAATTAGTAAATGATAAATTACATGGAATATTTATTTCTACAAATATAGACAGGAAAAAAGCCAGGAGTGGGAAAAGAAGTGTCAGTTAAACCACGAGCTGGAACTGGTGTGAGAATGGGACATGTTCGCTGTCTGGGTGCAGAGACCTGGAGGAAGGCATGCACCATGGCCTGACATATTACAGCAATAGATACAAAGAGTTGACACTGTGCTAAAGGGAGGGAGTGGAAGGTGGGTGGTGGGTGGAAGAATGCAGCTGAGGAGAGTGACTTGTACGTCCTCATGTGGGACAGGGGCTGTCTAGAAGGATGGTATGTGATCTGACTCAGAAGAGTTTGCTTGACTTTCCTTTTTGTCCCCAGAGTCCAAACCTAGACACAAATGCAATCTGTGACACAGTGGCCGTGACAGCAATGATCCAGTCACACCTCCCTGAAGCCTACCTCAAGGAGGATATTGGAGGAGAGCTTGTGTACGTGCTTCCTCCATTTAGCACTAAGGTCTCAGGTGCTTACCTGTCACTCCTGAGAGCGCTGGACAAGGGAATGGGTAATCTCAACATTGGCTGCTATGGCATTTCAGACACCACTGTTGAAGAGGTATGTGACCATCTCCTTACTGCTTGTTCCATTTCTTTCTTTCTTTTTTTTTTTTTTTTTTAGTATGAAGCTGTTGGCCATTTTCTTGGTTTCTTATTGGCTAGCTCTGATTTGATTATTAACCCATAATTAATAATATATATTTTACAAGAACTTATCTTTTTGAGGACACACTCCTGAGAGCCTGTTGCTCCCAGGAGATCACATGGTGAGAGCTCTCCTCACTACAATTCCCAGAATCCTCCTAGACTCCTAGTCCCAACTATCTTGTTTCCCTATTGGCCAACAGTGCTTTATTCAAACCAGTCAGACTCATATTTACAGAATGACATCTCCCAACATCTCCTCTTTTCTGTCTAAAATAAAAGAAAGGTTTTAACCTTAACATAGTCAAACTATATATAACAGAACAGTTAATCGAGAAAGAACTATAGTTACAATATTTTGTCCATTAACACGTAGTAAGATTCAAAGAAAATATCTTTGTGAGTGTAAAGTCTTGTATGTAACTTATCTTTTATCATATCTAAGGAAAACTATAATTATAACTATCTGTCTTCAACCCCATCAAAGACCACAGAAAGATAATACATAAACACTAGAATTGACAGAGACATCTCGCTACCTGGACAGTCACCCAAAGTTCCTCTGTAATGTTGGAGCATCTATCTTCAGCCCATAGGCCACAGTGTATCTGGCAGACTTCTCAGCAAAGCAGGAATTTTTTTTGTCTTTTTTTACAATTTAAATTAGAAACAGGGTTGCTTCACATGTTAATCCCAGCTCTCTCTCCCTTTCCCTCCCCTCCTCTCATGCCCTCCCACGAGCCCCCCCCCACTGTCCCTTTCCCCAATCCACACTCTTTTAACCAGAGAGAGTGAGGCCCTCCATGGGGGGTGTCCATAGTCTGTCATTTCATCCATGGCAGGGCCTAGGCCCTCCCCCAAGAGTCCAAGTTGAGAGAGCATCTCTCATTGTGGGATGGGCACGGAAAGCCTATTTTTACAGCAACAGTCAAACAGTCTAGGCAAGAGCAGTTTCTTGCCTAAATGGCTAATCTTGCCATGTTGAAAGCAAACTCCATAATGAGTTTCTTCAATGCCCATCTTCCTCTCAGATGTAATTGGTGTGCCAGGAGCAGACATTTCTCATTGTCAAGAAAAACCCTAAACCATTTTAAATGCTATTTTCTGAAGGTCTTCGAAAGGTTTAAAGACTATCTATCTATTTCAAATATATATCTGTATATCTAGAAAACCTAACTATAAATTCTATTGCACGTGACTATATACAATCTGTATTTAATTATACATTGCATTTTAAAAGATCAGTATAAACACAATACTTTAACAAGAGGAGAAATATACACATCACAAAATTGACCTTAAATTTGTATCAATAAATGAAAATCCATACCAATACAAAGAATTCATTACTATATCATATTCCCTTTTTTCACTTTAGAAAAAAGATTGACTGTGATCATTACCATTTATAAACAACCCTGTGTAAATGAAAACAAACATTTAAACAATATTTGGGAATTTGGATGTTGGTCATTCCAAACTGCTTCCTGCTGGATGGGGGTGCTGTCCATACCTTGGGGTTCATGGCTAAACACAGAAACCTGTATAAGTCCTTCTTTTTGTATTCTGTAAAGCTGTACCATCTCAGCTGTTTCAGGTGTTGGATCATCTGGGCCACTGCTTCTGGGGGTCTTGGTTCATTAAAACGTATAAATCTGGAAGGAATCCAGGACTTTTCATTTTGTGTGGAAACATAAGCAAAAACTCTTTTCCCAAGTAACATGTCTTCATATTTAAATTTAGAAGTCAAAGCATTTTCAAAAGTTATAGGTTGGATTAACTCAACAGCATTTATAATCAAGTGTATTTCAGCAGTTGTTGTTCCTTTCTTAGCAATTGAACAACTAAAAAGCACAATAGCATACAGCATCTGGGCACTCTGTGTATCTTTATGTGACTTTTTTATTACTCTATTTCTTTTACTTCTATTTATTTATTTTTTTCTCTGAGGCAGGGTATCTCTTTGGAAATCTGCCTGCCTCTGCCTCCCAAGTGCTGTGATTAAAGACGTGTGCCACCACACCCAGCTACTCTCTTTATTTTTATTTTTTCCAATATCTTATTTCTTTTACTCTCCCAAGTCTACCTATATTTTACTTTATCTGAATCTGACTTTACTGTAAAACTTTATGTTTTTCTGGCCACGTGTCTTTTTTTTTTTTTTTTTTTTTTTTTTTTTCCTTTAGAATTATTTTATTAAATCATAAATGTACAACAGCTTCTTAACTCTACACACGCACTTAAATTTTTAAAGGAAAAACGTTGTCTTATTACACCATGATCCTGGCTAATAGCTTTTCAAAACTTTTGAGAAAAATCTTAAAAAAGGTTTCACATGTCACCTGAAACTTACAAATTTAACATTATCAAAGAAGGAATGCTTCTACACTCTTACAAAGACCACTAGAAAGAAACAACAATTAAAAAGCTAAGAAACTGTCTCAAAGGCATTTTTTTACAATCCTTCCTCCACAGTAAGGTAATGTTATTAAATAATCCAATCCATTCACAAAATGGCTCTCTGCATCTGCTCTGGTGTCTTCTGCCATATCACTGCATATTTATGCATGACTGAGATAAGAGTTTCCTTAACATTGTTATTTCGATAACCTGAAGCTGTTCTGTTACCTCTGGGCTCTCATCCTCTCCTATTTATACAGTGAAGCCCATGGTAAGTAGGAAGAAGCTCAGTATCGGCTCCTTCCACCATAGCCACCACTTCCACCACTTCCTCCAGGACCATAGTTTCCTCCACCATATGGTCCTCCCATGTTCCTGCTACCACCAAAGTTTCCACTCTTCATTGGGCCATAGTTAGAAGGTTGCTGATTATAATTTCCAAAATCATTGTAATTTCCACTTCCATAATTTCCTCCTCCATAGTTGTCATAACCACCTCCGTAGCCCCCACCCTGGTTGCCATATCCAGGTCCTCCACCACCATATCCTCCTCTTCCTCCTCCATAACCAGGGCTACCTCCAAAATTGCCACCTCCAGGTCCTCCTCCATACCCATTATAGCCATCCCCAAATCCACGTCCACTTCCATATCCATCAGAACCTCCCCTGAAGTTGCTTCCGGGTCCTGGTCCAAAATTGCCACCACCACCACGAGAATCCCCAAAACCAAAGTTTCCTCCTCGTCCACTCCTAGAACTTTGGACTTCCTGCATTTCTTGTCTAGACAATGCCTTTCTAACTTCTGCATTGTGGCCATTGATGGTGTGGTATTTTTGCAATACAATTTTATCCACAGGATCATGGTCATCAAAAGTAACAAAGCCAAAGCTGGCCACGTGTCTTATATAGGCTAAAGAACATTGTTAAAATTAAAGTGGAAACAGCTGCTGGCTTTCCAACATGGCAGGCATAAGTCTGTAGTCAGCATTGGGAGCTGTGCTCACCGCCTTAGTCTATGCTGACATCCAGTGGCGTGGTACCAGCTTGGAGATGTGGCCACTGCCACTGCCAGCTGCTCATACACACCATTCAATTGTTAGCGGGGTCTTACAGTTTTTCCACTTATGCTGAGTCAGGAAGACTCCCTTAAGGTAGTCGTGTGAGTCTCTGCTTGTCCCTAGCAAAACAGAACTCATCTGAGAAAAATGCTGTTACCAAAAAGCCGTGCTTTTCTCTGTTCTTTTGTTTCTAAAATCCCTTTTAAGCTTTTGTCATTCTATGTGGAAATTCATATCCCACCATTGCCACCATATGTAACGTTTAGTCTTCCTGCCCGCTGCCTGGTTCCTGTTGATGCTTTCAGCCCCCCAAATAACACACAGGACACTATGATAATTATGAAGCTGTTGGCTGCTTGGTTTCTTATCGGCTAACTCTGATTTGATTATTAACCCATAATTACTAATACATATTTATAAGAACTTATCTTTTGAGGGTGCATTCCTGAGTGCCTGCTGCTCCCGAGAGATCACATGGCGAGAGCTGCATTTCTTTCTTTGTTTATTTGTTATTTGAAACTGAGTACTGTGAACACAGGCAGCTCTGCTGTACCTCTGCTCTTCATCTGTACCACATCCCTGTGTGTGTCCGTGTCTCTCCATGTGTATAGGTTCATGTAGGTTCAGGAGCTCACACGCACTCTTGTCTACATGCCTACAGTGGTCATGGGACATCATCTGGAGCTGTCCACCTGGCATTTTGAGACAAGGTCACTCATTGGCTGGACCTCAGCAAGTAAACTAGACTGGTTGGCCCTGTGAGCTCCAAGGGTTCATCAACGCTCACCTTCCCAGTGCTGAAATACAAGTGCACACTGTGACTCTGCCTTTTGTGGGCTCTAGAGTTGGAAGTCTAGTTCTAATTTACTGACTGAGCTCCCTCCCTACCCTCACTGCCACCACCATGACTTTATTTACTGGGGCTCATATGACTTTCTCTGTCCTTTGAGAAATATATGAAGGGATTTTTCTAATTAAATGGGAAAGTATTTTAAATTAATATGTCACAAAATCAGAAAAACTTAATATTCTTGATACCATTCTAACAGATTGATTTCTGAGAAGAAAAGAAATGTTTTTCAACATTTTACATCCAAAAGATGAGAACAACCATATTTTACATGTAAAAATATTCTCTTAATGTAGACTGGAAAATAGTTGTCTTCATAAATGTCATAATAATTCAAAATCAAAATTGAGATTCCCAAGAGATATGTACCCTTTATGTTAATGAAGTGATCTGGCTTCTTTTTCTAGGTTTTCCTGAACTTGACAAAAGATTCACAAAAAAGTGGTAATATGAGTCTTGAACACTTAACACAAAGGAAAGTTGGGAATCCCAGTGCCAATGGCACCTCCACACCTGATGACTTGTCTGTGAGCAGCAGCAACTTCACAGACAGAGACGGTACAAACCCAATGCATGTGCTCTGCGTACTTTCCATAGATGGCAGAATGGGGGGAATAGAGGCACGGATTTTGACTCTCCTTTGGAATTCAATTTAAAGTTTATTTTTTAATTAACAACCCTAACACGTAAAAAGCATCCTTTCAATACACAAAATATTCATTGTGGCGGATCAGTCTCCCTTTCAAAAGTGAGACGGCTATGAGAGTGAGATGAACATGGGAAATTCCTCTGACAGGTGATGAGGGGGTGCTCTCTGTTCATCAGAAATGATTTCTGGATGCAACTCTCTGTAATTTCAGAGGTGTGCTTCACAAGTTACCGTTCCTCTGGCAATCAGGACTGTGAAGGAATGAGCATGACTATCTTGTCAGGAAGTCTATCATTAGGTGCACACACATGGGAGCAAAGTCATCCAAAATAAAGTTGTTCAGTTTTGTTTTGTATTTTTAGATCACCTCTCACTGGGAAATTCATTTATTTCCCTCCAACTCTGATTCAATAAGGGGACAAGAAAATGCATTGTTTGGGGCAAAGTCTCTGACTTGGTTAAGTTAGACCTGAAGGTTAATATCTGTATTAAAATACTCCACCTTCAACTCTTCACCCAGGATATATTTGAAAAAACCATATTTTTGACACAACTTTGAGGTGTGAAGTTCCTTTAAAAGTAGCTTTTATTGTCACTTAGTCTCTTTCTGACAGTTAATTTATAGCCCAGAGACCTGATTTACTTTAGGAAGCATGCAGTAAAGTGATCTATGAATTATGGAGTAATCATTTCAACAGTTTGATTAAAGTGGGAGACATCTCCAGGAACAGAACTCTTCATTAAATGTTTGCCTGACTCTCAAAGTCAGGAAAGATCATCTCTGATGTTTGTACACTTCTGGAATTTGAGTCTTGTCTGTCCTCTGGTACACTTCTCACTCATTATCTGTTGAGTCTTGTCTGTCCTCTGGTACACTTCCCACTCATCATCTGTTGGGGAATATGACTGTGGAGTCTGAGAAAGTGAGGGCTTTGATTGGAAAGTGGTCATCTGCTTCTGTGTATTTTCCTCTGCCTTTTTCTCCTAATTTGAAATTATTCTTCATTCGGAATGTTCCCCTCATTGACATTATCTTTGAGGAAGCACGTTCACTCCATTTTGATACACCTGTAAGTCATCCACATGTAATTTCTCAAGAAACAGAAAAGAATACTAATTAACTCAAAATATTCAGCTCCTTGTACAATTCCCTTTTTGCAGAGATATGAGTTTGCATTTAAGCTCATTCGCTCTGCTTAATTGGAATTCATTTTAAATTAAGCAGCTTTGTATTTTTCCTTATCGGCTAAATGAAGATCATGATTTTTGTGCTGCATGATTTGTGATGGAGAATTTTAAGTGTACACAGAGTTGATGAACACCATTGTCGTATCAAATGAGAAAACGGGTGGTGTCAGCTCTATTCAAATCTACCTGTCAAGCTGATGAAATGGTTAGCCCTAAGAGCCCCAATGGAGCAGCTGTGGTCACTATGGCTTCCCTGGCTCTCAGTGGCAATGAAGATTATTCTCAGGTCTTAGAAAGCATTTCAGAGAGGGGTGCTAAGTAGATAGGTTCTCAATGATTCTTTTATTAAGGCTCTAGAGCTGAAGGTGGAGTGTTGAAAGGTCATAATCTTTCCAAATTTCTAATGAGAGTGTAATGAATATATGGATGAATGAGAAGTATATCTTAGAGAAGGTTTCCTTTTCCATTTAGAGTGAGTTCATTGGACTTCATGTCAGACACAGAAACAACAGAATTAATAGTCTCTACTACAGTAGGAATCAGCTCTTATACTAGGCTGATGTTTCATTTATACTATTTCAATTCAACCTTGATAAGACTATTTGCTGTATATTCAAAATTAGTAATTACATATTGCATATGCATTGAACTTTGGAGTGTGGAACAGAATTCATTTATACAATTCTGAATCTTTAGCTTTTCCATGTAAAACTACTACACATATGTATTACAACTGGTGATAGAAAGTCACAATTTTTTATAACACTCTTATATTCAGTTATACATGAGACAAATATTGTGGTCCCTGATTTAAAGCAATAATAGAAATGTATTGCTGAACCTTCAGTCTGAATATTGAAAACAGAATCTTCTCCCACCCTACATCATCATACCACTCGTCTGTGGTTTGGAAATATCACATTATGACTTGATTTATAGAGGTTACCTGAAACCATATCAAATCTCTCGTCCTTACTCAGACAAAGTCCTGACAAGCAGTGAGAAGCTGGATGGCTTTGGGCTGTTGCTGAAGAAGATAATGGCTATTCTCATCAAGCGGTTCCACCATACCCGCAGAAACTGGAAGGGTCTCATTGCTCAGGTCATCCTCCCCATCGTCTTTGTAGCCACTGCCATGGGCCTTGGCACACTGAGAGATTCCAGCAACAGTTATCCCGAGATCATGATCTCTCCATCCATTTATGGGACCTCAGAACAGACAGCCTTCTATGCGTGAGTTACTTTTCAACAAGATTGTTTCCATAGTGATTCCAGAGTCAGTGGGTGTAGAAAAACAAAGCACTTAATTCTGCTGAAGAAATGCACTACTTATAACAAATAAGTTCTTAAGAGGATTTACATGCATCTACAAATAAAATTAGAGTGTATGTTTACTTTCAATGGTTAGACTTTAATCATATGTGATTGCTAAATTCATGTCATAGGAGAACATCAGGGCAACAAAGCCTATTATCTTTCAAAAAATTTTGCACCTATAAGGTGGGTGTACCTAAGTTCTAAAACTCATGTCTAGCATGTGTGGAGGCCTTGAGTTCACACCCCAAGAGAAACAAAGGGGAGCAGAGTCGGGGAGATAGAGAAGTAGAAAGGGAGGGAGGGAATGGAAAAGCAGTCTTGTAGACAGCATAATTCATGTCTTAAAGTTATTAGTGAATGTGAGTTTAGTGACAGAGTCCATGTTGCTTAATACTGCAGGAATTTTGATCCAAGCACAAATGCCCTGGTCTCAGCATTGTGGAACTTCCCTGGAATTGACAACGTGTGTTTGAATACGAATGATTCGTAAGTTATTTTCCTTTCTTCTTTCCAGCATTCTAATTTGTGTGAGTGGGAGTGGGAATACATAACGTGCATGTGTGTGATTTTTCTGGAAAAGGATAATATCTTGATATAAAGTCTGTATCTAACAGATTTTATCTTTCTTTTCATTCATTCATTGGCAATACTATACCATAATAATAAACACTAGATTCCTTACATATTTCTCCCCTTGTATTTATAGTTACATTTTACAATTACAACATTATATTGTTACTCCCATTTTATTATTTGTAAAGGCTTACTTATTTTTCTTTTATGTGTATGTGTGAGTACCGGCATGTGTATCTGTGTACGATGCACACACCTTGTGCGCACAGAGGCCAGAAGAGGGTGTGGGATCCCTTGAAACTGGAGTTACAAGTGGCTATGAGCCACTCAATATAGATGCTGGGAACCAAACCTAGGTTATCTGCAAAAGCAACAAGTTATCTTAACCACTAAGTCATCTCCAGCCCCATTAATCTCCTTTTTAAAATGTTTATTTAAATTAGAAACAAACTTATTTTACATATCAATCCCAGTTCCCTCACCCTCCCATTCTCCCATGTTCCCCATTGACTCCCTGTCCCACTCCATTCACTTCCCAGAGAGAGTTAGGCCTTCCATGGAGGATCATCAAAATCTGTCACATCGTTTGGAGCAGGGCCTAGGCCCTCCCCCATGTATTTAGGCTGAGAGAGTATCCCTCCATGGGGGAATGGGCTCCCAAAGTCCATTCGTGCACTACAGATAAATACTGGTTCCACCACAAGAGGCCCCATAGACTGCCCAGTCTCTTTACAGATGAAGAAACTAGGGGTATAGGGACTTGTGTATTTGTCTAAGGAAGTCTAGATTATATGACACAAAGGTACTTTACTCTACTTCTGGCATTTTTACATATAAAGCATAGCGTATTTAAATGTTCAAGCTAGCACATAACAAATATTAACCTGACTTTAGTGCATCAGCAGAGAGGATGAGAATGACAAAATGAGAAGCACAAAATGAACAAAGGCAATACCAATTTTCCTTCCATAGTGAAAGAACACTGAGCTTTGATTCAGCTTTATTTAGTCAATTGATGCTGTCCTATAATTCTCACCCCCATTAATGCCAAATCAAAAACACAACTGCAATGCATAATCAACTTATTAAATATCAGTCAATCATACATAGGTCTACATACCTGAGTTCAACACTAGCTACTTATTTATATGCCCCCACACAAGCATGAGAACATGCATGTGTACACATATGCACACCTCACTTCGGTATCATTTTTATTTACAGGCAGTGTTTGAAAAAAGACAGTCTGGGAAAATGGAACACTAGTGGAGAAGCTATCGACAACTTTGGTGTTTGCTCCTGTTCAGACAATGTGCAGGTAAAAGAGAATTCAGTTTCAGTAAAGGGGGTGGGGTGGGAGAAGAGAATAAATAGCAAAACTTGAAAAATCTATCCAGGTTACCAAAGATCAGAATAATTTCATTTTATGGAAGCTAGTAGCTCCAAGATATAGGCCTATGAAGCTCAAAAAATATTGACTTTGAACTTCAGGTCACTGTTTAAAAATCTGACAGGAGACAAATTTCTAGAGGTAGATGGCAGTCTTTGTAGAAATCAACTGAGAATGAATCTCAGATCTCAAGTCCATTTCATCTAAGAAGCTGAGTTTCACAGCACAAAAAGTGACCATAACTGTCGTATTTGGAAACATAGTGGGCATGCCACCACAGCAGCCAGCTGGTCACCTGTCAGTCTAGAGAGGAATTCCACATGTTCACAAGCAACACCTGGAAAGGTTTTTGCATCAAAATTCCCTTCCTGGAAATTAAAAAATTCATCCCATATAATCACTTTATCTTTATTCTATGACTAGGGATCTTCATTTTCTAAGCTATCAGCTCACTAAACTCTCAGTAGAACAAAGCTAACTGGACAAGTTCCTTATTTCTGTTTGAATCACTACACCTGTATCACACACATACTGTGTATCAAAGCAAGCACTCTAGAGAAGAGAAGATGCAGTCAGGATTTAAATGAAATGCACACAACATTGAGCTAGTAAATTCACGTGATTGATATGCTCAATTACAAATGTTAAATAAAACTTTTATTGAAAAAAGTCTGTATTGGTTTCTAAGAATCACTGTATCACCAGCTTCTCTCATGCCAGAGGAGTTGCTTTTTTTCTCAATGATTTCTTCAAGTATAAGAAAGTTGTACCTTGACCTTACTACAACACCTTACAATGAAAATATTTCCAGTGAGCATAGCCCGTTTTGGTGTACCTATGCAAGATAGTTAATAACAGTAAGAACCATTTTTAGTAACTTTGGAATCTTTCAGTTTTAAATGTTAGTCTCACCTACCATTTAGAGTTTTCACTCCCTGTTTTAATTTAACAACAACAACAACAGCAGCAGCAAACCCATTATTTTGTGTGCTAGCTTAAAAATTAAGTGACTAAAACCTTATCTATGTTCTTTGAGGGATGGTAGCAATTTGCAGGGAGTGCGAGAAGGAGGTTTGTGAATTGGTGGGGTTCTGCCATCTGCCTTAGTTGCTAATTTTGTGGATGTGTTCCTTTGTCAAAACCCATCTTTGTAATATATGTGTTTCTTTACATGTATAATATAATTTGGTAAAAATCTTCAGACCTGTAAAGTCTACATGGAGACATCTTCCTCTGATTAACTGGGAAGCCAATGCCATTCTAAAGTTTGATCTTTGGGTAGATGCAACAGTGAAATCCAGTTTTGGCATTTCAGAAGAATCTTCAACTTTATATAGCTCCCATACACTGTGAGCCTCTGGTTCTGGGACTTGGTGTGAGTGAAGAAAGGCAAAACTGCATTGTGCTAGACTCTCTGCAGACTAAGTATCATGGCCACGAGACATCAGGAGCCAAATGAAAGCTAGGTTGCTATGAAATGTAGAAAGCCAAGTGTAAAAATAAGTGTGTAAACACAAGTTCCAAAACTGGGCAGAGTGATGCACACCTGTAATCTTTGTCCTTGGGAGGGAGAAGCAGGAGAATGGAATCTTCAGGTACAAAGTAAGTTTGAGGCCAGTCTGAGCTAGAAATTCTGTCTTTTCCTTTTTTAAGTTTTTTTTATTTAAATTAGAAACAAGCTTGTTTCACAAATCACTCCTAGCTCCCTCTCCCTCTCCTCCTCCCCTGCCTTCAGCAATCCCCCAACTCCCCACACCATCATCTCCCCTCCCCTCCCCTGTGAGTGTGAGACCTTCCATGGGGGTATCTGCAAAATCTGTCATATCATCCAGAGCAGGACCTAGACCCTCTCCCATGTGTCGAAGCTGAGAGAGTACCCCCTCCATGTGGAATGGGCTCCCCAAGTCCATTTGTATGCCAGGGATAAGTACTGATCTGTAGAGAAAAGCCTTCCCACCAGTCTCGTTCCAGAGCCCCATCAGTCCCAAATGAACACACAGGAGGCTATATTAATTATGAAGCTGTTGGTCGTTTGCTTGGTTTCTTACTGGCTATCCCTGACTTAAGTATTTACTCCATAATTGTTAATCTAAGTATTTATCTTAACAGAGTAAGGGTTCGGACTTCTTACCCCTATTACAGCTCTACATCGTGGCTCCCTGTGTTTCTCCTTCCCAGAGTCCTCCTCGACTCTTAGTCCCACCTATCTTGCTTCTCTATTGACTAACAGTGCTTTATTCAACAACCAATAAGAGACAGATTTCAGAATGACATCTCCCATCACTGATCTACTACCTGAGGCCCCATAGATTGCTAAGGCCCCTTCACTGGCACCCACATTCAGGGGGTCTGGATCAGTCCCATGCTGGCCTCTCAGCTATCAGTCTGGGGTCCATGAGCTCCCCATTGTTCAGGTCAGCTGTCTCTGTGGGTTTCACCATTCCAGTCTTGATCCCTTTGCTCATCACTCCTCCCAGTCTGCAACTGAGTTCCAGGAGTTCAATTCAGTGTTTAGCTGTGGGTGTCTGCCTGTGCTTCCATCAGCCACTGGATGAAGGCTCTAGTATGGCATATAAGTTAGTCGTCAAACTCATTATCAGAGAAGGGCATTTAAAGTAGCCTCTCCACTATTGCTTAAAATGCTATTTGGTGTCATCCTTATAGATCTCTGGAAATCTCACTGGTGCCAGATCTCACCTCAAACCATTATAATGGCTCCCTCTATTATGGTATCGCTCATCCTGCTCTCCTCTATTCTCCCCCCTCCACCCCAACTCAACCTTTCTGCTCCCCCATGTCCTCCTCTCCCCTCCTCTTCTCCCCCTCTCTTTCTCTCCACTCCCTCTCCCCTCCCCCCATGCTCCCAATCTACTCAGGAGATCCTGTCCCATTCCCCTTCTCCAGGGTACCATGCATATCTCTCTTAGGGTTCTCTCTGTTTCCCAGACTCTGTGGCACTGGGATTTTAGGCTGGCACTCCCCTGACTCATGTCTAAAATCCATATATGAGTGAGTACATACCATGTTTGTCTTTTTGTGGCTGGGTTACCTCACTAAGGATGATTTCTTCTAGTGCCATCCATTTACCTGGGAATTTCAAGATTCCATTGTGATGGGGAAGTCCTGTGTATATGTCAATAAAGCACTGTTGGCCAATAGGGAAACAAGATAGGTGGGACTAGGAGTTGAGGAGGATTCTCGGAAAGAGAGACACAGGCAGACATCATGTGGCCGCCATAGAAGTAAGAAGTCCAGACCCTTTCTCCGTAGGAGAAGTACTTAGATTAACAATTATGGGTTAAATACGTAAGTCAAAGATAGTCAGTAAAAAAACAAGCAAACAGCCAACAGCTTCATAATTAATACAGTGTCTTGTGTGTTATTTGGGAACTACAACTGTGGCAGGGCCCAGGCGACTGACAAGGAAAAATTACACTCTACAAATAGTGTCAGAAGTGAGATATGAATGTCCATGTAAAATAACAAAAGCTTAAAAGAAATTTTAGAAACAAAGGAACAGAGAGAAGCATGGCCTTTTGGTAGCAGCATTTTTCTCAGGTGGAGTTTGTTTTGCTGGAGACAAGCAGAGACTCACATGGCTCATTTAAGGGAGTCTTCCTGACTCAACATAAACAAGCAAACAAACAAAAAACCCAAAAAACAAAAATCTGGCTATTACAAATAATGCTGCGATGAACATAGTTGAACAGATGTCCTTATTGTATGAATGCACGTCTTTAGGGTATATGCCTAAGAGTAGAATTGCTGGATCTTGTGGTAGACTCATTCCAATTATCCTGAGGAATCTCCATACTGATTTCCAAAGTGACTTAGAAATCCTGTCTTAAAATCCCATATAAGTAAATAAATAAATAAAAATATGGTCTCTATGTTAAGATGTTCCTAGTGGTTCAAGGAGACACAATAACTACCATTGCTACATTTGTTACTTTTCTGTATGCCTAAAATTAGCCCTTAAATAATAAATACATGTATACAAAAACTAATGCATAAAATTTATATGTAAACCAATATATTTAATGACCTTTTAACTCTTAGGTTAAGTAGCTAAAACTAACCCATTGTAAACTCTCCATTCACTGCTGTCATTTTCAAGGGTTTCTTCTCATAATGCTATTTTTAAATTTGAGGCAGTGTCCTTTTTTATTCCCTGTAAATTCTTGATATAGTTGAGATATTTCTGTTTCCACATATTTGCTGTAGGTGAGTCCTAAACACACGCATATACTCTATATAAATAATAATTGTTCCAATTTTTTGGCAGTTCTTTTCCTAAGTTTTGGAATTCAAAGGGCAGTTGGATGATACCTTAACCTTTGCAGTAATGAACAAACCAGTAGACATTGGCATTGTCTCTTTAACTTACGCAGGACAAGAAGGAAGAACTTAATTTCATTTTATTTTCCAGGAATGCCCTAAATTTAACTATTCCCCACCTCACAGAAGAATTTATTCTTCCCAAGTTATTTATAACCTTACTGGAAACCACATGGAAAATTATCTTATATCAACTGCAAATCATTTTGTGCAGAAAAGGTAAAACAGTCTGTTTATATAACACAATTAATTGATTTCTGATCTTTATGATAACAGATTTTTGAGATAGTAGAGACAATAGTTGCAAATTATTTATATGGTTAAATTGATCATTGTTTTGATTTGATTCATCTGGTCATTGATGCAGTTTTTATGGTTCAGCATTTTATTTTGTATACATAGCTTTATGCATTGAAATTCAGGTAATGACTAAATTAAGATTAATTTGAGCAAAAATCACTGGCTTTTTAACATCTTAAAATGTATTGTTGAATCTGTACTTGTTTTTATCTCAAAGCTATGAAGGAGTTATTGACTGCCTTGTACATACTTGGAGTTTCAAAGCATGGCTTTTTGTGACGGTTGGCCTGAGTTTAATAAAATTTCTCAAAATGCAGATCAAGTCTGTGAGTAGACAAAGTGCCCTGTGTGTGCAAGGCCTTGTCCTCCAGTTCCCTGCACATTTTCCATGATGTAAAGCCCATTAACTTAGTCAAAACTTCCTCCTTTCCTCCATCTCCCCATCATTTCTCAATGTACATAAATTCTTCACATTCACTGGGAAATGTTGTTAAGTTAAAGATAAGCAAAAGAAGAGGGAAAAAACACTACTTTTATACCCATCTATAGCCACTATTAATAATTTCTTATTTTTCTCCCTGAAATTTCCACAGACATGAGTTTAGTTACAAACAAATATTTTCTATACTAGGGTATATTAAGTGTTTCATATAGTCAGATATTTTATAATAAAGTAAATTTATTTCAAAAGAGGATTCATTATGAAAAACTAGCCTAAAATTGCAAGTTATAGTATCATTTGCCTGTCAAAATTATATCTCTGTGAAATCACATCTAGGATGAGGTAGTGTAAATTGCAGTGCCCTATGTTTTAAGTTGAATCTAATTTTGTGAATATCTAAACTAGTCTATACTGAAAATTATTACTTGGATTTTAAAGTCAGTTTTTATGAAGACCATAAACTGACATGCCAAATTCACATTCAAGCATCTTAGAGGAAAAAATGTAGGAACAAACAATAATCTAAGACTAGAAATGAATTAATTTGAAAAAAGACAATAATTACATTGTCTAAAAGGAACATTTAAGTAATGTTGAGCTTTTAGATTAGATCATTTCTTCTCAGAATGCTCATTGATTATATGCAGTGGCTTAATGATCCGTTTCTTTTGGAATTTTTATTTAATCAGAATCTCATGTTGTAACTCAGGATGCCTTGGAACTCATAGCAGCTCTTTTTTCCTCAGTTTCCTGAGTGTTGAAACCACATGCATAAGTCACCACCCCAGAAAGATTACATTAATCTTTTACCTTTAGTTAGTTGTGATGTATACTTGAGTTAAAATATGATACGAAGAATCAATAGAAAATATTTATCATGTTGTATTTATTTCATTCTGTTTTGTGTTCTGGATGGAAAAGAAAATATAAGCTCCTACTTAAATATTTTAGATCAACTTCAGAAGATTTTTTTCCAGTAAAACAAATATAAATTTTGTTGCTCTATGTAGATATGGAGGTTGGAGTTTTGGGCTGAATTTGACTAACGACCTTCGTTTTGATATAACAGCAGTTCCTGTCAATAGAACTCTTGCTAAGGTAAAGTTGGGTCTTTCTCCTGGGAGGTCATATAAATAAGGAAGTGAAACTGATATATTAAGCATTTTTAAGTGAGAAACACGAACATATAAACCAGTTTTCAGTGGTGCATGCATGTACTCTAAGGAGGCACAAATACATGAGATCCATATGACAAGTAAACACAGTACTGTGCTTCTCACAAGAGCCCAAAACACAGCTCCAAACGCCTTCTGAAATGGAATAAACACATCAGTTCATATTCATTCACCATCCATCCATCCATCCATCCATCCATCCATTCATCCATCCAGTAGAACTTTCAATAATGAAAACAAAAGATGAAAGCACTCTGCTCTAGATATCAAGCAGGCTGAATCTCTTGTGGATCAGTGATAAGCAAAAAGAGACAGACAGAAGTGCATGGAACATGTTTGTCTTTCTATAAACTTACAGGGTAGAGAAAGCTCAACCACACTGTTTAAGGAATAATAATGGTCAGTTCTGTGATCTGGAAGGCTAGAGATCAGGGAGGGGCTCAGTATTCCAGTGATTGTTTCAGTGTGTGGCAGATTAATATGTGTGATCCTTAGACTTTTTTTTGTCTCACCATGCCTTTATGCTTCATGCACTTTTCTTTATGTATGTGTCACAGCCTTTTAGAGATTGGGAATGTGTGTATGTATAATTTAGCCTTGCTTCTCTCTGAACCTGGAATAATAACTAATTACTGGAGATAAATAACATCAATGCTTTTTTCTTCTCCCAGATAGCACTAGTGCTTTGAGACAAGCTAGTCACCAAGCCAAAGACATATGACTACCCAGATTTTATTTGTTTACTTATTTTTAGTCACAGAAAAATTTAATATCCTCTGAACATTTCTCGTTGAGTACTGAGAGACACATACAATTGAGGAGAAAGTGGAGCAATTAATGCTCATTTAGTTAGTGACTCTTCTATGCCAAGCGCCAGCATCTTCTTTTAGAAAAACCATTCCATTCTCACTACATCCTTATTCACCAGACACTGCTGGGGCAGACTGTCACAAAGCTGTGGAAAATAAGAATCCTGGGACTTCAGTGTCCTTTTCTTCCTCTCCTCTCTCCACACACTGAGTAAATGTCCTTTAATAATTCAGGGGGTTTCTAATATGAAATAACAACTCTGTAGGTCAGAATGCAATTTTAAATTAAGACCATTTAAACTGAAGCAGCCCAGTATGTTAAACACCTTAGTTTTGATATGGAAGGTAACATAACTCTCATCCTGTGAGTTACTATTCCCTAACTAGGCACAGAAAGAATTTTAAAACTATAATTTTTCATTATTAATTAATTAATTTTCCCCAGCCCAATCACATTTCCTCTCCCTCCCTAAAAACAACAGAAACAACAACAAAAAATATTTCAGTATATAAAAACACAAAATATTCATTGAAAGAAGCTTTGTTATATGCATATTAGTGTTTTTAAAAATCTTAGGGGAGTGCCTGGACCCTACCCAGAGTAAAATGACAGACTCTAGATATCCCCTATGTGGAAGGATTTGGCAATAGGGTGGGAGGGTGGGGGGGAAGGGGAGTGCGGGAGGAGGGGAGGGAGAGGGAACTGGGATTGACATGTAAAACAAGCTATTTAAAATTAAAATAAAAAATGATAAAAAAGTGTTTTAAGCCAAACCTTTAAGTTACTTATACTTAAAAAGTAGTTATAAGTTTAAGAAAAAGCTGTCAATTTGTAGTTAAGTTCCCAATACTTGCATACTTGTTAAAAATCCTTTCTCTGCTCTGTTGCTATTTGTTTTTCTTTATTACTGCTATTGAGAGCCTTCATTCTAGTCTCTTATATTTTTGGTTGTGAGCATAGCCTTTAATGGCTGAGTTATCCCTCCAGCCCTCTAGTCAATCATTATGGATCTGCTACAGAGATACAATGGCTCCTTAGTTCATTTCAGGCTTTTCCTGTAGAAGAATCTAGAGCAGTGGTTCCCAACCTTCCTAAAGGGCTGCTGCCCTTTAATACAGTTCTTCATGCTGTGGTGACCCCAACCATAAAATTATTTCATTGGTACTTCGTAGCTGAAATTTCGCTACTGTTGTGAATCATATTTTAAATATCTGACATTCAGGCTATCTAATATGCAATATGTGAAAGGGTTATTCAACCCCCAAAGGGATGGTAACTCACAGTTTAAGAACCACTGATCTAGAGCAACTGCTAAGTCGGTCCTGTTACTCAATACAGCCGACTCCCCACTCTCTGTCCATATATAAACTGAAAACTCACAGATCCATCTATGATCAGTACTCCAAGGGTACCTCATTATTTTCAGAGAGGGAATGAATCAAATTGATGCTCTTCTTTACGGCATCCTATCAGATGTTAAGAGTGCCTAATTTATTGGAATACAACCCTAATCTTGTCTTCTTTTGAAATTTGACAGGTGTGGTATGACCCAGAAGGCTACCACTCTCTCCCAGCTTACCTCAACAGCCTCAACAATTTCCTCCTCAGAGTGAACATGTCAGAGTACGATGCTGCTCGACACGGTAGGGTCACTGTTCAGAGCCATTGCTAATTATGGTCTTTTTCACAGCCTTCCATGTGAATATGCTCATTGTAGCTGCTCGCCCTTATTGTAGGTGGTTTGTGGCATCTGAATTGCAGCTCCAACTCCTTCCAGATGGGACATTCTGGATAACCCTTAACTTCAGACTAATTTAGTTTCCTTGTTTGTCAAGTCAGGAAAGTAACCGGAACTTCTTACCACTCTGTTCTCACTGCTAGTTGCTATATCCCATGGAAACTGTTTCAGAACTACTTATTTGTTTGCAGACAAGAACTGACCGACTGACATTCATAACTATTTTTCATAGATCTATATGCAGACAACTTTTTTAATGACAAGTCCTCACTCTGTAGCCCTGGCTGGCTTGAAATTAATAGAGATTTATCTGCCTGCCTCTGCCTCCTGAGTGCTGAGATTAAAGTTGTACACCACCACAATCTGTCAGGAAGACAAAACTTTTAAAACACAAACTTCTACACTGTACCCAGAGTACTTCCAAATATACGGAGCACTTGTAATACAACACATACGTTATGCAAAATATTGCTGCTTCTTATAGCTCCCTTTGGGGTTAACATTACTATACTACCATGTGACATGAGGTTTTCTGGCCTGGCTAGGTCCCACTACCCTTCTTTGCCCCAAAGAAACATGCAGATGTTATGTTAGTTATAAAGCTGTTGGCCGTTACTTGTGGTTTCTTATTGGCTAGCTCTGTCTAAATTATTAACCCATTTCTAATAATCCATGTATTTCCACATGGCCTTATCTTACTGCTGAAAAGGTCTGGGCCTCTTACACCCTTGGTGTCTGCATGCATCTCCACAGAGAAGGGAAGAGAAGAGGATAGTAATTTCCTGCTTGTCCCTGCTTATATAATGATTCTGTCCCTGGTCTGTCAATTCCTGCCTGGATCACATGGCAACTTCTCTCTACTACATTTCCCAGAATCCTCCTAGACTCCTATTCCTACCTATCTCGCTTCCCTATTGGCCAACATTGCTTTATTCATCAACCAGTAAGACAAACATATACACAGAAGAACATTCCCCATCACTCCCATGCTTCCACTGATCTGCTAAAGTGAGATTTGAACTCGGGGCTTTCTGAGTCCCACCTCTTCCTTCTGCCGATGCCCCTAGCTGTTTATCCAGCCTCAGCCAGATGTGCTTCAGTTTTGTTTCTCTAAAGCCCTCCACATCACTTTTAAACAGGGCAGGGATTTAAAAGACGTTGATTTATTTTTTTCTAATTCAATTACTGTTCATCAGACCATTTCATCTCCTTGAGCCTTGCTCAAATTATTTTTCCATACGATCCTAAAAAATAATAACAAGGGGGGAGAAAAATGAAGTAATACATTTGCTGGCCAGGACATGGCCTAATAAACAGCCTATTAGGAAGGATAAATGACACAGACTCTCCTTTATTAAAGCTGACCCTGCCCCCTTTTTCTTTCATCACCCCACCCTCATGCATTCTGGTGCCTGCTAATGTGCTGATAACTGTGGAGGTAAACTCTAGTGTCAGATACACATTCCAGCAGCAGAGCCTTCGGGGATATTTTCAGAGGAAGTAGTGCCCCCCCAAATGGTTTGGCTTTTTCCCCCTAGCAGGAAGAGCTTTAAAGAAAATAACAAGATGGATAGTCCTTAGGTAGAGCGCATTAATAAAGGACAAAGTCAAAAGTAGTAAATAAAATGACATGGTGACTAAAAGCCAGCTGAGCATAACCTGGATTGAAATATGGTTGCAAACCCTTCTGTGAGGTGTTGTATTCAGAGCAAAAAAACAAAACAAAACAAAAACCACATATTGTTGGGACAGGTAATGAAAGCATAGCAGCTATAGAAATAGCCAGGGAGAAGTAGCAAAGAACAGGAGGAAGTCACCTCGTCTAAAGGGTCAGCTTCTAGAAACCCATGTCCTTGTTTCCTTTATAATTAGTGTTCATTACTTAGACTAATGCAACTGGATCCCCTCTAGGCTCCAGGAGGCCTGTTGTAGGGCCTAACCATTGTGTTTTCAGTTATGGAGTATAAAAAAATTCAGGAGCATAAAACGTATGCTGAACCTAAAATGAAATTTATTTTTCAATTTAAAATAAAGCTTAAGCCGGGCGGTGGTGGTGCACGCCTTTAATCCCAGCACTTGGGAGGCAGAGGCAGGCAGATCTCTGTGAGTTCGAGGCCGGGCTGGACCGACAGCCTCCAAAACAATACAGAGAAACCCTGTCTCGTAAAAACCAAAAGAATAAAAAAAATTTTAAAAAGCTTAATTAAGTGAAGTAATATATATCAATTAAAACCAGTGTATTTTCTATTCCTTATTAATTTTTACTATTCAAACTTATGAAAAGTGGCAACATTCTACCCTTTCTCATAGACATTTTATTCTTTTCAAAGAAGAAATCTGTGTAGGGTCTCCCACAGCAAGAGAGCTTGTTTGCAAAATTCAACCTATTTGCTCTCATCACCTCTTCCTCACCATCCTTTACTTGTTTGGAGCACCTTTGTTAGATTCTAAATGAAGTGGGTTTTACTTTAGCTGTAAAATTCATTTACTCTGAAGCTTAATATGCTAATGAAATATTTTAATTAGCTTTCATCAGCAGTGTCAATAACTGTTATATTCATGGGGTTCCCTCTAGTGGTTAACTTCATGTGAAAATTCTGTCTTCCCAAAGAATATTGGTTTGCGTGTTTTCTCTGACAAATGTTATACAGCTATGTGCTCCCCCTACCCTGCTGTTTAGTCTTATCCTTTGTTGCCTTAGCAGCGATGGCCAACAGAAAGCATCTTATTTTAGCTTGATGCCTATACAGACTGCAGAAAATGTCTCCTTTTGATGTAAGCTGCATGTGAGGAAGTTACTAAGGGAGATTTAATGTTTGATTTGCTTTAATAAGCATCCATTGGTCAGTCATATACCTAAAACATTGTGTTAGATGCTCTGACAGCTGTGGGGATGTTTATGATAAAGGAGTCCAGTCCTGATATGTTACTTCATCTTTCAATATATACTCATGCAAACACCTAATTCCACATTTTTCAGAGTAGGCAAAACTATATTTACAATGATTCCTCTGGTTAAATGAAAGTATTTCTTCATTTCAGGAATAGAAAGTATAAATAAAAGATAAACATTTCTGTGTGTATTATAATTTAGCAAGCTTTAAAAAGGGTTAAGAGAAAAATAGGCCTTTTGTTTAAAAAAAAAAAGCTACAGGGCATACTAGTCAACACCTTTAATCCCAGTACTCAGGAGAGAGGCAAAGATAGACTCATCTCTGTAAATTCAAGATCAACCTGGTCTTTATAGTGAGTTCCAGGCTAACCAGGACATCACACTGAGAGCTAGTTTAAGAAATAAAAATACGCCAGTCGGTGGTGGCGCACGTCTTTAATCCTAGCACTCGGGAGGCAGAGGCAGGCGGCTCTCTGTGAGTTTGAGGCCGGGCTGGACCAACAGCCTCCAAAACAATACAGAGAAACCCTGTCTCGTAAAAACCAATAATAATAATAATAATAATAATAATAATAATAAATAAAAATATAACAAAACAGAGGTCATTAGTTTTCACAGAAAATAAGAAAAGTAAATTTCCCTATAATGTGATGGAAATCAGAGGTCAAAGTGGTTTTTGTTGTTGTTGTTACTTTCGTCTTTTAAAAAAAATGTGTATTCTTTTCAACATGCTATTTAGCTTAGTTAGGTTAATATTGCTGTGGTGAAACACAATGACCAAAACATCACGGAGAAGAAAAGGACTTGGATTACAGTTCCATATCATTGTTCATCATGATAGGAAGTCAGGTCAAAAACTCAAACAGGCCAGGAACTGGAAAGCAGAAGCCAATGCAGAGGCCGACCATGGAGGGGTTCTGCTTACTGACTTGTTCCTCATGCCTTGCTCAGCCTGCTTTCTTATAGATCCCAGGACCACCAGCCCATAGATGGCACCACCCACAATAGACTGGGTTCTCCCACATCAATTATTAATTAAGAAAATGTCCTACAAGCTTGCCTAAAGCCCAATCTTATGGAGGTGTTTTCTCAAGTGAGGTTCCCTCCTCTCAGATGATACAAAGCTATGCCAAGTTGACATAAGGCTATCCAGCACACTATTGTTGAGGAACTCAGCTTAAAGTGTCCCACTCTTCTTAATAAAAGCTATAAATTTAAGCTAGCTTAAGAAATCACACAAATATTGCACTCTGGTATAAGTACAAAAGTTGTTGCTCAGTTTATCGTTCCTTGTGTACAGAGGATATCCTCAGTCTCTTGCATTACCATTGTTTCCCACATTTATCTAGATAGTATACATTCTGCCTTCAATTATGTATGCCTTTGGCAAACTCGAATGTCCACTTAAAACTCTGGCTAAGCAAGAGCCTTAACAAAAACACAGGAAAGGTCCTTGCTTCCAACTCAGAAATAATAAACAACTCTGTGACAACCCAATAATTTGTGGTTGTGGTGGAATTAAATGGCTACTAATTTAATATGGAGGTAGATAGAAGCTCTGAGGCTTCTCGGGATGTTATGGAAATGCAACACTGAGGTTCCCAGTTCCAACTCTGGTCGGTAGGACTTTCAAACAATAAGCCTCTTAGAAGTAGTAAAAGAGGAGGGGCCATCTTCTTAGGGAACTATGTTTCTTGGCCACTATCATTAGCTCAGAAAGGAGGGCTGGAATGGTACCTGCTCTTTAGAGGGGCTCACACAATTGGATGCCCATATGAGTTGTTTATTTAAATGCATTATATTTCTGAAATAAAGCTGAAAAGCAAATAGGCATGATCAGACAGAAGAACACAGGAAGCAATCGTTTGAATGTTCTCCCAACTATGGCACATGTTGTATAAGAAACGTATGATCTTTTCTTTCTCCAGAAGGTCCCCCACACAAGTAGACAGCGTTCCTTTTCTTATTAAGAGAAAACCAGTAGTCACAGGGACATGGTGGGAAGAAGGGAGGAAAACATTTTCCTTTAAATGAAAATCTTTGAAGTACAATTTTTGGGCTCATCCCATAAGAAATAAAGCATTGTATATCATCCATATAAAAGTCGATGCTCTTGATAAACCAAATACCCTCTGACAGCAGAACTTTTCCTCTTCCAGGGATCATCATGTATAGCCATCCTTATCCAGGGGTACAAGACCAGGAACAAGCTACGTAAGCATATCTCCTGCCTTGGCGTGGCTCCTTTCTCATTGGCATGGCTGAGCTTCTGTATAATGCACAATAATTGGAAATCACAGTGGTATCCAAATGAATGTCAATCTAGGAGGGCTGGTAATATAAGTCACTGGCTGGGATAAAAAGAAGGCTCTGGGAGGATGTGGAGGAGAGCTGCCAAGTAGAGCTTTTGACTGCAGATTCACTGAATCTGCTGCTGCTACAAGTCAACTGCACAAGCACTTCATCATTTCAACTCCCCTGCATAGCATTTAAGTACTGTTTCTTTGCTCAAGATCTATATATCCCTTACATACACTCTGCAGCCCTTGGAGACCGAGGCTTTTCTATGACACATTCCCAGCCAATTCAGATGCGCTAGCGCGACATTTCTCCCAGGGTCACAGCAGAGGCATGTCGAAGATAGTATCTGGCTGCCTTTCAGGAGACCTTCTTTGTGTCACAGCCAGCTCATGTACTGTTTGGTTGATAGTCTTAGTCATGAATCTTCCTGAAAGGGGAAGAGCTCCAAAAACTTATGTGTACTTTCCTCTCCCTATTGCTCATGATAGAATCAGCAGTTTAATCGATATTTTAGTGGCGCTGTCCATCCTGATGGGCTACTCTGTCACCACTGCCAGCTTTGTCACCTACATTGTCAGGGAGCATCAGACCAAAGCCAAGCAACTGCAACACATTTCCGGCATTGGTGTGACATGTTACTGGGTGACAAATTTCATCTATGACATGGTGAGTAATTTTTGTCACTGCAAAAGAGACAGGATCAATTGAATAGAAGTCTATCAGCTTTATATTCAAGTGCTATTTGCTTTAATTATTCAAATTATTACTGCAAGGACAGCAAATTAAGAAAAATCAATTGACTCTGGCTTATATTCCTCTGATGGTTGGAGGGGGAAAAAACCTACCTCTGCTTATCTCTAAAATATCAGATTCCCAGAGTGCATGTTAACATGCATATTCCTGGGCCCTTCTCCAGGTCTATTAAATCTGTGTCTTGGGAATGGAGTGTGGAGAGTATGCATTTCAAACAAGGTCCCCCAGGTGGTTTTTAAGCACACTGAAGTCTGAGAACCACTACTGTGGCAAAATAGAAGCTTAACAGCATTACCCCGTTGTGCCAAATAATCAAGCTTATAAAAATTTAATCAACTAATAGTGAAAAATTCCAAGTCATAGCTCCTGCTGAATGACACACTAGAGAAGATTACCAGAGACAAGTAAGGATGTATCTCACTGATAGCACTCTCCTTTATGTGAAATGTTCCCCAAGTTTAAATGATCAGTCTTGTCTCCAAATGTACCAATGTTGGCCAAGAGCCCAGATGAGTATGCATTTGCCCATGATTGCGGCTATTGTCTGAGTTGTCAAGATCATTGGCTTGAAGAGTTGGAGAGTAATTAACCGCAGATCCATTTTGTTAATGCATCCAGTGAGCTCTGAAATGTGCTTGTTTCTGAAGCCAAGTCTAAAATAATGCTAATGACTGCTCTGGACTTCATGGAGCTTAAATGTTAAGGAAGCTTCAATGTGTGCTCTGTGAAGGTCTACTTAGTACTGAGATCCTGTTGTCTAAATACTGATGATCACTGCAATTCACAAAATTCCCTTGACCACCACCCCTAAGTTGAGGCACCCCCAGCTACGATGTGTGCATCTTGCTGCAAACTCTCCAGCCTTTAATATCTTTACTTGTCAACAGAATACTGAGGTTTTTGTTCATGTACCTGTGATTTCAAGAACGTGTGAAAACTGTTGCCCTGCTGTTTTGCACGGAATGCCTAACACTGATAACCAAACCTCAGAAAGCAGCCATGTGAGAGAGCAGCAGCATCCAAAATGAAATCAATACTTGGAGGACTGACTCTAATACCAAGAAACCTGGCTTTCTTATCTTTCTTCCAGAACCTCTGTCACTGAATGATCCCAAGTCTTAAGCCTTGAGGCAGGAACATTAGGGACTTCTTGTATATCTATATAGATGGAAACTGCCTTGACCTCATATCAGAGAAGACAAATTCTAAAGTGAAATAAATGTAAAGTAAGCTGAATGCTGCATGCAACAGGATGATAAATAGAAATTCATTCCTTCAGACTTTTTCTAGGTCAACTTATTGCAGCTTTAAACTAGATGGCTTATTGATTTAAAAAGAATGTTCTCCATATATTCAACATTGTTTTCTCTATATTCATAGGTCTTTTACTTGGTCCCTGTAGCATTTTCAATTGGTGTCATCGCAATTTTCAAGCTACCTGCCTTCTACAGTGAAAATAATCTAGGAGCTGTGTCTCTTCTACTTTTGCTATTTGGGTAAGCTGCTGATTAAGCAATGGAAAAAGAGTTAACAGAAGTAAGCACTCCTAGACACATAGGATCTTAGTCTCATTAGCAAATTTACTATTGTCTTGGGGTCATTTAACATTAGTGAAGACTAGCAATATATTACACTTGCTAGTCCATATACTTTTGAAAATTAATGTTGTTATCACTAACAGGAATTTACTGGGTATCACGTATTGTACCAACTTACACACATAATCTAAATTATATAAAATGGATATTTTAGAATAACCAGAAACATGTGAATATGGATGGATATATTTACTGACAAATTAGATGACTATATATGGCTTTATTAGGTATATGTAAGTTTATTTCTGTATATTTTTGTTTGTCTTTTAGAGGTGCTTAGGGGCTTACATACTGTTGTTTCTATGGTAGAGTAATACAGGTTGGTTGCATAATGTAATTGATGTTTAGTAGAAAAGGTGGCTCTACTATAAAAGCATGGGTAGTATCTTTTAGTTAAAAACTTGGGTAACTATGGGGCCTTTCTGTGTCTAGAAATATTTAAAACTGCAGGTGCTCATTTTTGTAAAACTGAGGCCACCTGTCTTCCCTCCAGATCTTGATTGCTTAGCTACCTATCATGATGTCGTTATCTTTCCTTGATTTTAAATGATATGATTTACTCAGGCTGAACTCCTATTTCTGAGCAGCAGAAATCTTACCTGGTCAGGGTAACACTGTGCCCCAAAGAGGATTAGTTTATAGTTGTGATGATGGAAAACTATTTGTTTTTTTTAAAGAGAGGTTCCTTGCTGTCATTTTAAAAAACATCTTTGAAGGGTTTTGTGTGTGTGTGTCAAAATGAGGAATGAAATAGAGACCTAGCTTCAGGGCTTCACTACTCATCACTCATGTTTGCTTTTCCTCTGGAACCCCATCTAGTTTTATTTTATTGTTTTGTAGAGTAGAATAACTGAGGCATAATTTTAACTTTTAGTATTATTATCCTACAGCTATGCAACATTTTCTTGGATGTATTTGCTGGCTGGTCTCTTCCATGAAACAGGAATGGCCTTCATCACTTATGTCTGTGTCAACCTATTTTTTGGCATCAATTCCATTGTTTCTTTGTCGGTGGTGTACTTTCTTTCCAAAGAAAAGCCCAACGATCCGGTAAGGCCCTTTATCTGTCAGTTAAACTTCAGCAAACTAATAGAACCCTTAACATGTTCCATGTGAAAAGATTTTCTTTACTCTGTATTTAAATAGAAAAGACCATCATTTGATTTTATTAAGTTTAGAAAAGGAGAAAGTATATCTTGAAAAATTAAGCTCTCTGGGCTAATGCTTATTATTGTATTCACTGAGTGTTAATAATATTGACTTTTGCTAGGTCTTGAGTAAACTGACAGATATGAAATCAGATAGGTTGTATGACACCAGTTGGTCAATTGAACATTTTTCTCACTAACAAATCCTTAAGGTTCAGTGGTGACAAGAATGGCTTAGTTATATGGCGGTGGGTTACGATTCATTTGAACACTCATACAGAAAAAAAAACAACCTAATTCATTCCTTTTCAATCATGTATTGGAATCTACTTCATTGTAAGCATCACTCTCCATTCAGAGCTAACAATTATGATTAGTGAAAGAGAAGGATTAACAGTGTCAGGCAATTGAATGGAAAAGAATAGAGAGGAAATGGAATGAGGTGAGGAATAGACAAGGACACTCCAGGAGGAGGAAGGAAAATCAGGAGGAGGAAGTAGTTGGCCTCGAGCGTGAATAACGTGAAAACGAGCCATTTGTGCCCCCTTTGCTATCTGTTGCCTCTCCTTCCACCTCATTTCAGCATGTCAGCCTCTCCCCCGGATGAGATTCCCTATGGTCAGAAGCTTTCCTGAGCCTTCTCTCACTCAGGAATCCACTGATGCTGTTTTGGATACCACCATTCTTGCCAGACTTATCTCCCCTCTAATTTAAGGCAGGTCTAGAAATGACCTTGCCTCCAGGACTGGGCCTGAACCTTGCGACACTTCAAGAGAAAACATATTTTACTTGTATTTTGATGACAAATTCTGCTATTTGTATAGCAAATACAACATGCAACTCCAGCACACATGTGAAATAGCTGCCAATCTGCACAGCCTCCCCCTGTGTCTTTATTTGCTTTTAAATGTTTGTCAAATTGTTGGGATCCTAAAACTGAAGTTTGTCATTGTTCTTATTTCAGACTCTAGAACTTATTTCTGAAACCCTCAAGCGAATTTTCCTGATATTCCCTCAATTCTGTTTTGGCTACGGTTTGATAGAACTCTCTCAGCAACAAGCAGTCCTGGATTTCTTGAAGGCATATGGTGTGGAATATCCAAGTGAAACCTTCGAAATGGATAAACTAGGTGCAATGTTTGTAGCCTTGGTTTCCCAGGGCACCATGTTTTTCTTGTTGCGGCTCCTAATCAATGAGTGGCTGATAAAGAAACTAAGGTAAGGCCCATGATATTCACGTCAGCATATTCAGGGATGAGCAATCATCTTGGTGTTTCCTAGTAACAAGAGAAAGTCTACCCTAAGACCTTTTAAACACATGGCAGCATAACTTATCATTCATTTAACTCTAGTAAAATCTGTAATAGTAAACAGCCTTTCCATATGTTTGGAAGCACTTATGTGGAATAAGCAGAAAAATTAATTAAGCATAGTTTTTAACCTTAAAGAGACTAAAAGTCAGTCTTTTATGGAGATGGAGAGAAGATAGGCATATAGACAAAAAGGTCGAGTTGAGGAATATAGTAAAGACCTGAAGGTCAGAAGTGAAAACATAGTGTGAGTGTGTGGTGTGGACAGTGAGTCTCAGGAAAGATGACTGGGATGAAGTGTGAGAACATCAAACAGGAAAAGAGGGACACAGCTGCATGGATTTACCCTGATCCAGCACTGCCTTCCTAGGAGGTGTTCCTACAGGTTATACCACAAACTCAGACTTGCATATGCAAAGTTATTCACCATACTGACCATTTCTAATAGCAAAAGAGCAGAAACAACCAGCATTCTATTACATTGAGCCACAGTGAATGTGGTTCAGTGGAGAAGAATGTTTGCTATGTAAGCATGAGGACCAGAATTCAGATGCCCAGAACCTGCATGAAAAGTCAACCCTATCCCAGCAAATGACTGTAACCCCAGCATTGATGGGTGCAGGATGAGACAGACAGATCCCTGGGGCTTGTTAGCCACCCAGTTTAACCAAAACCGCAAGCCCTGGGTTCAGCGACAGACTCTGCCTCAAAGGATGAGTAAAGAATGATCTTATGGCAGGACACCTAATATCCTTTTCTGCGTAAGTGTGCTTGGTCACGTATGCTTGCACATATGTAATCAAACACACACACACATAAAACATGCACATACACAGAGTCAATGATCCAATTATATATGTAATATTTGCTCCAATATTTATTAAACCAAAGTGAAAGGTTAAGAAATGAGTATTATATATTACCATGTGAGCTAAAAAGAAATTTACTTTCTTAAAACAGATTACCTTTATTGGAAGTGTTGTTTGAATACTTATTGCTTTTTCGTATTCCATTTTAGAGTACCATTTGGACTTTAATACATACCTGTATTATCAATTAAAATAAAATTTTAATTAAGTAATAGTAGAAGGAAAGAAGAAAAAGGAAAATATTGTAGACTACTTAAGGAAAATTATATAATTTGATTAGAAGATAGAATGAATGTGATGAAATGTAGGTCTTCCAGGCTTATTGTATGGTTGAAAAGTTATGGGATCCCTTTAATGCTTAGCAGAGAGATCTGGTTTGGACTTTATTTGACAAACCAATGGCAGTCTACCAAAGGCTACTGACCAGAGAGCACCATGCTCCCATGATGCATTAGCAGGTGTAATCTTGTAGAGGCAGTGCAGATTGGAATGCAAGAGTCAGAGACACAGGAGTAGTTTGAGGTAACTGATAAATACATGTAAGACTCAAGCTTACAGTAGGGATAGAAGTAAGAAGAAAATCAGTTCATGGCTGAGGATTCTGGGGCATTTCAATGTTTGGAGACTGACTGCATGAGTGGGCTTTAGACTAGAGAAGATACAAAGAAAACACCAGTTTGTGGAATCCTGGTACTGTTTAAAAGAATACACTTCCAAGGTAGACGTGAAATGATTGGTTTACTGGACTTTAAAGTGTTTGTTTTTCTTTTGATTTGGTGTTTGCTGGGCAAGACACTGAGGTAGGGCTGGTAATCCTAAATTATTTCTTGGATCTGAGATGAGACATTAGCTGTAAACAGAATACAGAATAAATAACACTTGGATTATGGATGAGCTTAAGAGAGACCTGCAGATTGCCAGCAGTACTGTGCTGGGTTCTAGCTCCCTTCTCTTGAAAAAATAAAGAGAGAAAAGAGAATATTGTTGAGTGTAGATCTCATTTTAGACTCACCACAGTAAACGGGAGGAGGAAGAAGAGATGGAGAGAGTAGGGGAGCAAGAAGAGTGTGGGAGAGGAGCAAGAAAAAGGCGAAGAAGGGGGTGGAGGAGAGGGAGGAGGAGACAGTTGTTACAGTGGTAAAGTGATGGATGACTTGGGGCTCACAGGTATTGAGTTCTACTAATGATTCTGGTTAGGAGCTGATTTTCCGGCATGCATCTCATTGTTACTGAAATTGGTATTCTGAATTTTAACAGAGGATCTGCAAACATTTCATACAGGGAAAGTAAACAATATTTACAAGCGTTGCAGAGAATATGGGAATAACACTACTATTGCCACTTTAGACATTTAAACAGGATAATGTAGCAAATCTAAGAGCAGCCTAACACTAGGCAGCATGCCCCAAGAGAAGTGAGAGCATTAAAGCATCCAGACTGAGTGGCATCACTTCAGAATCTGTCTTATAAAATTATTGGGTCTGGTTTTTAGGCTCTTCTTCAGAAAATTTGTCTCCTCGCCTATCATGGAGACAGTAGATGAAGATGAAGATGTGCGTGCTGAGAGATTAAGAGTCGAGAGTGGTGCAGCTGAGTTTGATCTGGTCCAACTCCATCATCTCACTAAGACCTATCAACTTATCCACAAAAAGATAATAGCCGTTAACAACATTAGCCTTGGGATACCTGCTGGAGAGGTAGGGACCATGGTTTTAGTCTTCTTCTAGAAACAGAACACTCAAGTCCTGAGTATTTTCATGGACTAGGTGTGTGTGTGTGTGTGTGTGTGTGTGTGTGTGTGTGTGTGTGTGTGTGTGTGTGTGGTGTTTGCTGTGTGAATCTTTGCTGTTGCCAGGGAAGATTCACTCCCAGCACATGGCAAGTCCTAAGCGCCCCTTTTCACTGTTGCTATCTCTGGGGTGGACTATTGGCAGGACTCTATATCATCCTTGTTTAGGATGCTTTCTCACATCTCTCCTTCCTAGGCACGTTCAAAGTCTGCTAGAAGGACATCTGTTTTCAGAGGGGACATCTTAGCATGCATTCACTGCTATTCTTAGGTCTTTCACAGGACTGAGGTAGTTTTGAAAGAAGAAAGAATATGGCTGTCTTCCTTCAGTATTCTGAGCAGAGCTGGAGAGTGTATGCGTCAAACTCTTTTGATGACATAAATTATTGCATCGGTAGCTTTTTCAGTAAAGTTGTGATTTTTGTGTAAATTATGTGAAATCTATAAATGTAATTACCTCTTTGAGCCAGCACATCGTACTTGAGGGGTAGTTTATCATGTCATACAAAGGGGCACTACAGCATATGTAAGCAGAGCCTCTCTATATACAGATGTTCAGACACTTAGAGGTAAAGAGCTCCCAAAACCCATTTGTTTTAAAAGAGAAAGTCTTACCACATGCCAGCAAAGCAGTATACTATCCAGAAATAATTCTAGTGATATATTCTTCCAGGGAAGTTGTCTCAACCAGGGAGGAAGAAGGAGTTACAACAGCAACATGTTCCTATGGCTTACATCTTTTTTCTTTTCTCCCCACCCCAGTGCTTTGGCCTCCTCGGTGTGAATGGAGCAGGGAAAACCACTATATTTAAGATGCTGACTGGAGACATAATTCCTTCCGGTGGAAATATTCTGATCAGGAACAAGAGCGGGTACAAATGGATACGTCTATTTATTGAGCACAACATAATTTTCACAAATTTTTATGTAGCTTCATGGTTATGTTATTAAATCTTCATGGCCTAAGGAGGGCATCATTGAAGAGACTGATGTTTACTCTTACTCTGGCAGTAAGAGTATTTTCCCTCTTTTATCAAAGACCTCTCTATATAAACCAAGACAAAACATCTAACCCAAAACTTAGAGACCTATTGTTAGAAACTCATGTGTTCTGATCTTCTTCATCTAGATCCTTGGGTCATGTGGATTCTCATAGCTCATTGGTTGGGTACTGCCCTCAAGAGGATGCCTTAGATGACCTGGTAACTGTGGAAGAACATTTGTATTTCTATGCCAGAGTACATGGGATTCCAGAGAAAGACATCAAAGAAGTGAGTATCCATGGGGAGAACAACTGAATTTGAAGACCACTGCTATATCTGCTCCTCCCATCATGGTACTCCTGGCAAAGCCAACGTGCCACTTAGGAAACTGTAGCATGCCCCTCTACACAGTGACCCCAACTTGGCTTGATTGGGTATTTTGTAGCCACACCCGCCTAAAAGCTCAGCTTTAGAAGCTTTTTCCAGAGTTTGTTCAGTTCCCTTAGTAAATAGATATTCACACTGTGTTCAGCTCCAAGCTGAACTTTCATTGGTGATATTAGTGATTTTTAAAAACTGTTCAAATAAATATTGGTACACATGAATGTCCAACTGAAATAGAAGAGCTTTCATGTCTACTTCTTTTTTTCTTTACTTTTTATTTATTACTGCAGGGAATTGCACCTGGGGCTTCATGTATGCTAAGCATATATCCTACCACTAAATTACAATACCAACCTTGATTTTGACTTTTATTCTGTAACTCTATATACCACTGCAAAAATTTATTTTTGTAATGGAATGACCAAACTCTTGGGGTGACATTCCTTTGTTCTTCAAATTCTAGGGACTTGATGGGAACATCCAATTAGGATTTCATCATTTGCTAGGGTTAACTATAAAAATAAGTGCAAGCATCCATGGTTCCTAATGCATGGCAGTTTTGATGGCAGGTCAGTTCTAAATAATCTTAAAGTCTTTCTGACAGCTCACAGCTTGGTAAGACGAAAGATGAAGCAGGATGGCAATCGATGGGAAACCTGCCTTTGAACTCCTGTGCCTTAGGTCTCTTCAGCTCTTTAGCATTGTAGGAGAATCCTGTGGTAACAACATAAAGTGGTCTGCAATTGCAAACACATACTTTAAACATTTGAGGAGGTTCCCATTTGAAAATGTACCTCCAGGAAATTATTTTTCTCTGTTTGACAAAGTGTTGATTTATAATCGATCTGTGTTGAATTTAAATATTTTCTTTTCTCCTAGGCCTTTTCTCCATGAGAAACATGTCTACTTGCAGACATGTTTTTGTTCCATTTTGGGGCTTTAAAGACTTGAATAAGGGGAGGTTGCCTAACCCTCTTCTTCTTATCCACAGACTGTTCATAAACTCCTTAGGAGGCTTCATTTGATGCCCTACAAGGACAGATCTACCTCCATGTGCAGTTATGGCACAAAAAGAAAGCTGTCTACTGCCCTGGCCTTAATAGGGAAACCATCCATCCTCCTGCTGGTAAGAGAGGCATTATGAATAAAACTATGAAGAATTAGAAACGGGACATCAGACTTGTATTGTCATCTCACCAGCAGCACCGTCAACATCTAATGCAGTCTCACTGTGTTCCTGTTACTGTCAAAGCACGCATACTACCACGTTAGGAGAATTTGTAGTAGCAAATAATTTATGATCATGACAGTGTCCTCAGGAAACATCTTGTGTCTGAAGCAATGGCTCAGGAGGCTCCAGAGAAAACACTCAGCATGAGAATGGGAAACAGCTGCAACAAACTCGGGGGTTTGAAATAAGTTATAGAACAGGTTCAAATTTAATTCCCACTTATTGATGAAATCATATTTCTGTTAGGTCCTGATCAAGTGAACTAGCTGTTTCCATTTCTTTACTTAGGAAGAAAGGTGCATTTTAGAACAAAGTGTTGTGCTAAAATTATATTCTTTAGTAGCTTAAAAATATGAGTTCTTTAGTTTGTGAAGTCATGGAAAATACAGTGTTGTCTTATATGAATTTGGGATGGGATCAAAAATGCATTCCACATTCATATTTGGTTAAAAGATGCACAATTTAATTGATCACCTGAAAATACAAATTGTACATATTAGTAATATAGTAGTCTGCTTCTGAATTCCACCAAAGCAAAGGGGACTTTATTTCAGAGAAATAAACATGTCCTTATTTTGGAAAATTGCCTTCATTCAAGGACCTCCAAATTTTAAAAAGAACTTTAACTGCATGCAGTAAAGTCCAGTTATAAATCACCACATTATTCTAGGGATTAAGTCACACAGTGAATCCAATCATTTAAACTGCCTAGACAGACCATATTTCCAGAATACCGGAAGCTTATAATGCATTACATCGCTGCCGGTCAATGTTTATAATGGAACCCTATTGTGTAAGCATCTCTTAAATTGAACAAAACAATCCTGGGGCATCCTTGTGAGATAATAGATGTAAAGCCATTTGCATGTAAAAGTACCGTGTAAATGTTATGTTGTAATGAGCTGAAGAATCACAGGCCACAAGATGAAGATACTGCCCTATGAATATGCTGCATATTCAGTCCATTTTCTTCAAAAATAGAAGCAGTGACATTACCTCCTTTATCATTTCCCCAAAGTAATGCTCATCGCTCTCATCGCTCTATTTAAATTTAGCATACCACTATTCATGATGAGCAGAATTCTGATGACCCAATTCTTTCCATCGTACATATGTTTTGAAAATTTCTGTTTAATCTGGACCTATAATTTGTTCTTATCTATTACCTGTTGGGATCCATTATTGTCTGTTTACATTATCTGTTCAGTCTGAATCTATCAAAGCCCCATTTGTTTTTGAAAAATATTGTGAATTTTTCCACTTTGACAACTTCAACAGATTCTATTTTTTATTTTCCCAAAGAGTCTTAAGTTTCAATTAATAACAAAATGCTACAAATACATGAGGAACACATTCACTGCACCGTCAAGTTGTGGTTTCTTCTGCTCTACATGGTACCGTATCGCTGTCAGTCGCAATTCCACTTTCAGGGGAAAGATGGCAATCTTGTTGATGGAGCTTCAAATGCATATGTGAGAATGTAGAACTAAATGTAAAAACTCTGCTCTGCTGGTAATTGAAGTAGATTTTTTCCCAAGGAAGCATAAGAAACGGATATAAAGTAACAAGATGTCAGCTTCACTGAAAGACTTCTTAAACAGATTGACGATTTTAAATACTTAATTCTGAGCTTTTGACAGCAGCAGAAAAAACCCTATTATGTATAAAACATATACATGTATAAAGCAAGTTAGTCACAGGACCTCGAAACATGATTTCTGTTCCCAGGGAGTTGAGACATAGTGATTCCACTAAAGAGCCTCATCAAAAATGAATTAATTTGATACATTTTCCTGGTAATTCTCTATTAAGGATGAGCCGAGCTCGGGGATGGACCCTAAGTCAAAACGACACCTCTGGAGGATCATTTCAGAGGAGGTGCAGAACAAATGCTCTGTCATCCTCACATCTCACAGGTAAACTAAGTCAGGTCCCTGGGGATGCTGATGTAGCACATACATGACCTGAGTACTCATCAGTGTCTGGAGTATTTTGAAGTTTTGTTACATATGTGTGACGGGGTGTGTGGGTGGATGTGTGTGTGGATGTGGTGTGTGTGGTATGGATGGTGTGTGTGTGTGTGTGTGTGTGTGGTGTATGTATTGTAGGTGTGGTGTGTGAAGGCATGGGTGTAAATGTTTCACTAGACCCAAGATAAATGGTAAATGGGTGTTTATTGGGGAACACTAACACAGAAAAGTACAAAGAACCATGGGAACATTTCTCTGCCCTTCCTATTGAATAGGCTGACCCACCAGAAAGGAGCGCGAAAACAGAAACCATGTCTCAAGCTTCCTTCATTCTGCTTCTGTCCACCCAAAGCCACACTCAAAGGGATGTGGTCACCATTACAGGTTCATAGACAAGATACCTATAAGTGTGTGTGTGTGTGTGTGTGTGTGTGTGTGTGTGTGTGGTGTATGTGTGTGTGGTGTATGTTATGTAGTGTGTGTGTGGTATGTGTATGGTATGTATGCGTGGTGTGTGTGTATATAGTGTATGTGGTGTGTGTGTATGTAGTGTGTGAGTGGTTTGTGTGTATGTAGTGTATGTGTGGTGTGTGTGTGTGTGTATGTGTGGTGCATGTGGTGTGTATATTTGTGTGTGGTGTGTGTGTGCGTGTGTGTGCGTGTGTGCGTGCGTGATTTCTGTTTGCTTGTAGTGGTCAGAGGACAGTTTGTGAAAGTCGGTTTTCTTCTTCTGCCATGTGGGTCCCAGAGACCAGACTCAGGTAGTCAGGCCTGGAAGCCAAGTGCCTTTACCAACTGAGCCCCCCAACTCTCTCAGGAGCCCATTTGGAGTATTGCATGTTTGTAATAGGTCAAGACTGGGCTTTGCAGTGAGAATACTGTGGTTGGACAGGGCACATGGTCTCAGCAGATATGTTTACTATGAAGCTCTCATGACATAAGACTTGTGTATTCTCAGATATTGCTCCTTATTGCCTTTCAAAAAGTTTCAGAATCCTTAGTCTTTCCCCCACATAATACTCCCTCTCATTAGAAGGCTAAATGATTCTTGGTTTCACACCCACCTTCTGGACTTTCTGTCTCTATGTATTTCTTTATATGTGCTTTATTCTTGAAGTAGTCACCACAGAGTCTTCCTAGAACCCACTCACATGTCTCTTTTCCACAGCATAGCCCTCTGAGTCTCTATGCCTCTCTTATGACATTGGCCTTTAGTTATGATTTGTATTAAGTTCACCTTTCATTATGATGATCATTTAGCAGAAAATAATTAGATGCGTTCATTATGAGGGTTATTTGTATGCCAGCTTCGAGTCCATCATCCCGAGGCTAATCATTTTATTCCCATGAACTTCTGTATGGCATGAACAGGACAATATCTGGGACTCCCTCTAGGTGTCATCACCCATGAAATAAGAGAGCTTATAATCAGGTACAAGCTAACTAGTTATAAACCCCAAAACAAAATCAAATGGAATATGAGACAGCATGAAAGATGCTCTATGTCATTTTGGAAACACATCATAAGATATGTAGGTCTTGCATTAGAGCTTGAATGAACCGGAAAAGACTATTAGGTTTGACAGGGGAAGTTATCCAGACAAGAGAGATGGTCTCAAGTGTAAGAGGACAGTAACAATCCCCATCTGAATATGTTTAATTTATATTTTAAGGCTCTTTTTTTCTTCTTTATCGAGAGAGAGTTCTTGTCATTTTGGTTGTGAGCCTATTCTTTTTTTTTTTTTTTTTTTTTTTTTTTTTCGAGACAGGGTTTCTCTGTGGCTTTGGAGGCTGTCCTGGAACTCGCTCTGTAGACCAGGCTGGCCTCGAACTCACAGAGATCCGCCTGCCTCTGCCTCCCGAGTGCTGGGATTAAAGGCATGCGCCACCAACGCCCGGCTGTGAGCCTATTCTTTAACAGCTAAGCCTTCTCAGGAGAACCCTCAAGAGAGATTGCAATGGTGCCATAATGAACTAATTAAACATGTGCTTATGAACTTCAACCCAATATTCTATGCCATGGATGTTGATAGTAATCTGCTACCTCTTTTAGCATGGAAGAATGTGAAGCCCTTTGTACCCGGCTGGCCATTATGGTGAATGGAAGGTTTCAATGCATTGGATCTTTGCAACATATAAAGAGCAGGTAATCAACAATATGCTGTTTGCACAGAGTGTAGGGGAATTATTCCAACAGTTACAGCTGCTATTGTACCCCAGCAGCCACTGTGTAATGGATAGAAAACCTTAGATGAAGACACCCTTTATTGGAAGTAATCATTGACTCATCTTAAATTTAAATTATTTTATTAAAGGCTTATTGTATTTTTTACTTAAAATCCCCAAGTCTTAGAAAGTTCGAAGCTCCTAATAGTCATAATAATAGATCATTTACAACCAAAATACTCCCAGGAAGTAGTTTCAAGAATACACCCAATAACAAATTCGACTTGATAAGTATATGAAGGCATAGATTTTTTAATCTACCATGTTCGTTTGCCATTTGCACAAGCTTTCTGTAAGCTATTTAACATTTTAGCACATTGAAAACCTTTTAATCAAGAATGCATTGGGGAAAGATGCATAAATATCATATTAGCATCACATTAAAACTAAATTATTAAATTATAATCCCAAGTGTGTGTGCATTTATACATATCTGTGTGAGTCTCCAAACTACACGATGATACTTTATATATTTCCATACAGCAGCTTAATTGTCTTATCAAAATAGTATTATCTGAGATAAAGACATAATGATGATAGAGACCTTGCTTGAGTGTCATAACCTGTTCATGGACTCTTCCCTTAGCCTAGGCAACACCAGCATATTGACTTCATATTTAGTGCTGGAATCCCAGTGGATTTAATCTTCATGGTTGACATCAATTCTCCAATGGCCTGACTCTTAAGACTTTGCTCTACTTACTAATTTAGAAAGATATCTTGTTTTTGTTTTTGTTTTTTGAGACAGGGTTTATCTGTGTAGCCCTGGTTGTCCTGGAACTTACTTTTTGATCCGGCTGGCCTTGAACTCACAAAGATCTGCCTGCCTCTGCCCCGTAAGTGCTGGCGTTAAAGGCATGTGCCACCACAGTCTGACATAACAGAAAGCATTCAACTCCGAAAATTGACATCTATTATTGCCAATTGGTGATTGTCAAAGAAAGCCAAGATTGTGTGTTTTCACTGCAGTGTGGCTCTTGCTCCAAGTTTCTGAAACAGTATGGAGGTAGAAATTAAAAACAATCAAACAAAAAACAAAGCATGGCATTGAACAGTTTCCAGTTTGCAACATTCTCTGAACTTTTATAGCAAAATGACAGTCTTTATATAAGAAAAGAGACCATAATGGTCAGCTTGGGATATATTTCATTATCTAGAATTCCAGGGGAGCTATTGTGGCAAAATGTAACTCATACTGTATTTTTGTACTTTTAGGTTTGGACGTGGATTTACTGTCAAGGTTCACTTGAAAAATAATAAAGTGAGCATGGAAAATCTCACAAGGTTTATGCAGTTGCACTTTCCAAAAACATACTTAAAAGTAAGTGATGTCTCCACCTTTTGACCTTGACTAGCTTTTCCAGTAGTAACAAAGTGGGTGTTTGCTATTTCCTAGTAGATCACAGCATTGTTATTCATCCTAGTCCACTAGTTCAAGATGTGAACTTCATGCAAACAAATAAAATCCCCAGATTGTATATCTTGGTAGGTATTTAAGTATCTAGATATTTCACATCTGCATAGTAATTACTTCCTTGCAAAATCTTTATGATCACACTGGATTTACTTTCAAGTTGTACACATTGCCAGTTTAATAATTACATACAATACATTAGGAAGCCTAGGAATGACAGGTGTTATATGACCAACAGCATTTCTTAGAAAAAAAAAGTAGTGCACTCAGAGTCTTTCAGGCAGGAGATTTTTATATGCTTTGTTTCTCGCCTTTGAAAAATAAACCCACAAAGGTCTGAGCAATCCTTGGCTCCCAAAGTGATTGAAATATCTTAGAGCTGGTTCTTCTTGTTTATCCGGTAGAACCTGCCAGATGGACACACAGGGAGACACACATTGACTCACATAGTACCTACTTAATGTATGTGGCAGAAAAATTATCAGAATCACACCCTTGATAGACAGATCATTTGTACAAATTGAGGATGACAAACATTTGTTGTTAAAAGGAAATCAAAGTTGAATTATGAAAAGAAATTGGAAAGCTGTGAGTTGAGTCTGCCTGTGTGGGGGAGATATGTAAGGAGACATTTAAAGTCTTTGAACTTCATTTCTCTTATTTGTAAGCAGGAATAAATGTCTACTTTACAAAATGGGTGTGGAAAATGTCTGGTATCTTCACAAACTATAGGGCATAATATTAATGGGAAAAGACAAGAGACAGCAAAAGAATGTGTTTTTAAAATAATTATTTTATCTTCATAAAATATTTTTGCCTCAGCCTCCCCAAGCCCTGAATAATTTCTATAGGACCATTAGCTTTTAAGTTTCTTGTCAAAGCCCATTTTTTATCATCAGAATTTAATTAAAGGACACTTTTCTTCTACAAACAGTGTTGGTCTCACACAATGAGTCAGTTGCTTGATTGAAATGTTTATTTACTGAGTTGAGATTCCATTTTTCCTGGTGTGTGCATCATGGGACTAAAGATACTCAATTCAAATGAGCTGATGATAAAAGGCAATTTCTCCCCAAGAGAATGTCCTTTGTACTTCTACAGTAGTGTCTATATCTCTTCAGCTGGAAAATATCCTGCCTGATCACTTGAGAATTAAACATCAAGATGGCCAGATTACAGGGACAGGGACAAGGAGAGTACAAGCTTATGGGAGAGTCCCAGCTCCAGATAAGGAGGGGAGAAAGAGAAACTCTGAGACACCTGGAAATGGTGGTGCATGCCTTTAATCCCAGCACTCAGTAGGCAGAGGCTGGTGGCTTTTTGTGAGTTTGAGGCCTCATGGTCTACAGAGTGAGTTCCACAACAGCCAGGGCTGCTACACAGAGAAACCCCATCTCAAAAAACCAGAGAGAGAGAGAGAGAGGCGAGAGAGAGAGAGAGAGAGAGAGAGAGAGAGAGAGAGAGAGAGAGAGAGAGAGAGAGAGAATCATGAACTTGATAGGGCTACAGACACACAGGAGTAGATTCTGGAGTGAGACAACATTTGGTCAAACTAGTATTCATTTCTCTGGCTGCTTTGTGATAAAACAAATCAGCATATTTGGGCTTCCAAGGAGGATGTGTAGTGAGAAGTATCAAGTCAGTAGTGTGAATGGTACAAATAGAGGGGAAAGGTCAAACTGGACAGATGCCTTAAAGGTAAACAAACAAGCAATTACCCCATCCCAAAAAACCTAGATGGTAAATGATGAAACATTCAGAACAACAGGTGTTAGATCTTCCAGGGGAGTCACAACAGATTATAAAGTAGATGATCGTGTGGTGAAAGTATAAAACCAGAGAGCCTACTAAGGCGAGTCGAAAAAAGTAGGCATTGTCAGTGGAAAAAAAAGGTTTCAAGACCACGTTAACATTGCCGAAATCTAGCTTTTTTTTTAACAGCCAAGTCCTGGAATTTTAGACCTATTCAACGTCACAGCACATCTACTAAAACTGATCCCCACCCCTCCCCAGATGAGATTGTAACTTTCTGAATCTTTCAGCAAGAGCCTGGGATGCTTTGAAATTTTCATTAACTTTTTAATTTGCTTTCTCTATGATGTTCATAAAATTTCTCATCTCATCTCTAGGTTAGTTTCAAAATATGCCCATTATTTAAACCATGGCATGATTTTTGTTTCTCCCAGTAGAACGACTTTCAGCATTTTCCTCTGCTGTCCGTAAAGTGAAATTAGATTAAGTTGATGTTAACTTGCCATTTTAAAACAAGTCTTTCCCTTTGCTTCCTGCAGGATCAGCATCTTAGCATGTTAGAGTACCATGTGCCAGTCACAGCAGGAGGAGTAGCAAACATTTTTGACCTTCTGGAAACCAACAAGACTGCTCTAAATATCACAAATTTCCTCGTGAGCCAGACTACTCTGGAAGAGGTAAAATGCATGCCATGATCCATGGCACAGTGTCACACATTAGTTATTATGCATCCTGCTTATTTCTTTTTAATGACATTTAATTTACTTTTAATTAAATCAGTATCTAATCTCGCACCTGAAAACCTTAGCAAAGAGCCTAATTTATTTCTAACTGCATTTGAGATATTAAAAAATAGATATGAAAGGCATTAGCAACTATTTTTAGTGGAGAAATGAAGTTATTTTTCCCTTGTAAATGACATCTACTTCCATAAATGTTTATATTCATGGAAAGCAGGAAACCACTCTTGTCACCTACAAAATAATTAGCTATTAAGGCATCCTCTACTTTCTTTTTGGTGGATTTCATGATGAAGGTTTCCATTACTCAGTTTCCTGAAATAGGGTATGTGGGATGAGTGATCCAAAATGTACAGACCCTTACATTTATTAAATTCCCACACTTAATCCAGCAAACCAAGAATTCCTTTCTCTTATACATCTTAATTACCTTTCCACTCAATGGTGGAAAGCTACTTCCTAAGTCATCCATCATCTCTTTACTAAGTTTTATATAGATCGACCAACATGACTTACAAAAATAAACTCTATGCTTGACCTTGAAATGGGTCTTAGAGTAAGTCAATGGATTGTGTTTCATCTTATGGTTTAATATTTTATAGGGACTTAAGGCAACAATGGCTTCTTCAATACTGAAGAATTAATCTTGGATTTATTTGATCAACGTTAAGCATCATGCATAGGAAAACTACATTCTCAGTGACAATAGGATAAATATACGACTAATAAGTTTAATGATTTTAATCATATAAAGGGGTCTGCATGTTAGATAATTGGCAAACTTAATGGGCATTGTTTATACAAATTTTATTTTGTGCACTACCTCTTGAAACTAATGAATTCTCACTTGACATCTCTTGAAGATATCAATGTGGATCATATGGATTACAGATGTGTGGCTATAGACCCATGACTATAGTTTTAAACTTAAACTATAACAAAAAACGGAAACAGGCATTATTTTTAAAGCAGTTGGAGTTGGCTGAATAAATGAACTTCTAGGGAGGGCATGCATAAGTGTGGGAGCATATCCTAAAGAAATCTTGGTTTCTTAACTTGTGAATGTGTGAGAAGAAGAAAAGGAGGTAAGCAAAGAAGGAAAGCAAGAGAGAGAGAGTAGAAGACAGAAGGAGAGAGAGATGAAGTAGAGGGAGAGTGAGAAGGAGAGAGAGACATAGAGAGAGAGAGAGAGAGAGAGAGAGAGAGAGAGAGAGAGAGAAGCCTTGTTTCTTCTTTTGTTTACTAATGTCTTTAATTCCCTTGAAAAACTCAGGTATTTATCAACTTCGCCAAAGACCAAAAATCCTATGAAAATGTCGAAACCAGTAGCCGTGGTTCCACCATAAGTGTTGACTCACAGGATGACCGGATAGAGTCTTAGCACCTGTAGCAGATTCAACTTCAGCAAATGACTGATGGATGCTTTCAAAGAAGACACCATTTCCTAAAACATCTCTTCCTTAGGAAGTGTTACACTGCATGCAAGTGTACAGCACAAGACTGACAAATTATAATGGACATCAGTATTGCTCCTGAAACGATTCCCCTGTACTCAACACAGTGAGAATGCAATGTATATGCTGGTGATCCATAGGCAAAAGGTCAACCCCACGATGGGTGTCTTAATTTATTACTTTCAATAAAAGGACAGCTTAAAAGGCATGGGTATTAGTTGTTGAAAAGTAAGACCAGAGAAGAAAAGTAAAGTGGATTGGGGGAGACAAGGTTAGGTGATCAAACAAAATAACTTATTTCTAGAAAAATAACATGAACCCATGAATCTAGTGTTTGTGTAAAGTGCTAAGGACTGGATTGACAATGACAGAAAGCGGTGGGCACAGTCCCTACAAGAGGTGTGCCTGTTAGTTTCAGTGCCTGTGAATACATGGGGCCATAGTGAGCCCCCCCCCCAGTGTGCCTTATGATAAGAGGACAATGAGACAGCAGTTTACCCTGGTGGTAAACAGAACATAAGCCCATTCCGGTCATGCCTGGCGCGTGGAGAAGATGCTTCCTGCTTACTGAGAGGAAGCAAGTGTGTCAGTCGGGCAGATCCTGAAAACCAGTAACTCATGTGCTGCTGGCAGGCAACATTTTTAAAGCTCTTCCAGAAACCCTCACAATTCTAGTTTCTCCACAAGAAACTTTGTTGTGAAAGAAAAATTAGTGTGAAAATATTTTTCAGCTTACTCTCTGACTGACCTGGAATAATTATACTTATGGTTACAGGATAAATTACTTGATAATGCCAAGTTACGTGCCCTTTGACAAAGTTGCTTTATGTGTCCTCTGACTCTGTGTGTGTGTGTGTGTGTGTGTGTGTGTGTGCGCATGTACAAGTTTGCCAGCTTTGACACAACTGTTTCTGTCTCAATTACCAATAAACTCTAAGTTTAAAAGAAGCTATCAATGACATCTTTTTCTTAGATAGGAAAGAGCCAGGGACCTCAAATTAGGAGTCACATGACCCAAGAAATTCTGAGTGATCTGGCTCCTGCTTACTTTGCCGTTCTGAACAGCATCCATATCCCCTTCTTCTTTAGGATCAGGTCCTGCTGGACTCTTGAAGTTCCCATGATGCTCCACACTTAATGACCCATGGTGTGAATGCTCGATCCCCAGTCATTGTGTCCATCTAACAGTGTTGAGAAATGTTATACTTTCCCAGAGAAACTTTACTGCCTTGCTTTCTCAGCTTAAATCTGATCTCCATTCTAACACTAAATTGCCACTCATTTGTGTGAAATCTTGCATCATAATTTGTCATGTATCTAGACTTTAGATTCATATTTTAACAGATGGCAACACAACTTGGGGGAGTGTACAAATGTCCTTAAAAGTCAGGAATGCTTTTGATCCCAGGGCTCAGAAAGCGAAGATAGGGTGATCATGAGTTCAAGGACAACTGGGGCTGCCTTGTAAGTTAAAAGCCAGCATGAACTACGTAGTGAGTCCTTATCTCATAAACAAGTGCCAAGGAATTAACTCAGTAGTTGAACAAGTACTCAGTATGTACAAGTCTCTGGATACACTCCATATTGAAATCTATATCTATATCACAAATACATATATTTGCACATACATACATACATACATATATACATACATCCTTTTAGAGTAGAAAATGTGACTCTGGGGGCAAGTGAGTCTTCAGAATCCCTTGAGTTATAAAAAGATGACTATACTCCATGAAAGAATAAAAGAAACTTGCCTACTGGAAATTGCCTATTTGTGTGTGTGTGTGTGTGTGTGTTTTTTGTTGTTGTTGTTTTGTTTTGTTTTGTTTTGGTTTGGTTTTGGTTTTTCGAGACAGGGTTTCTCTGTGGCTTTGGAGGCTGTCCTGGAACTCACTTGGTAGTCCAGGCTGGTCTCGAACTCACAGAGATCCACCTGCCTCTGCCTCCCGAGTGCTGGGATTAAAGGCGTGCGCCACCAACGCCCGGCTTGTTTTTTGTTTTGTTTTTTTTTGTTTGTTTTTTGGTTTTGGTTTTGGTTTTAGTTTTTTTTTGTTTTTTGTTTTTGTTTTTTGTTTTTTGTTTTGCTTACTTGATTGCTACTGGGAGGGACTCAAAGTTTGAAATGGTCTTTTTAAACCAATAAATTTCTAATTGTTTTTTTCCACATCCATTCACTGGGCAGCCAGCCTCATTGTGGACTGGTCCCATTAACATTCATCTTCATCAAAGCTAGCCCCACTCACAAATGCTTTATATGAATGAGTCTGGAAGCTAAGGAATGGATATGTCAACACCTTCTTTGATGAGGTGTGCAATAGTGACTGCTCCATCACAGAGAATCAAGAGTCTAATCATAAATACAAGACAGGGGAGCATGTGCTGGGTGTAGTTTCTAACCACCTCAGGATATGGGTTAGTGGTTGCTGCCAATTTAATCTACCCCTTGGTGGGCAGGAATATCTTACCTGGCCTCAACTTCTCCAACTGCACATTGGCCTAAGTGTTCAGTACTCATTTCTCTCAGTAGACTTGAAACCCAATGAAGACAGAATCTTTTTGATCTTCCCACCACCTGCACATAGAAGAAACATTTGTGGTGTTCAGTATGTATGTGTTGGTGACATGAATAAATAAATGAGTAAGAAACAAAAGAGAAGCTGGCGTGGTTGGCATGGAAACCACACATCCTGATTCTGTTTAAATTTCTGAAACACAATTTCCCAGGAGGTACCTTATTCAGACAAAGGGAGAGAGAACAATGTTTGGTGCCATATTACAGTGAATCTGCTGGGATGGGAGGGTTTGGATAACATCTTTGGAATAAGAATTCTAGTGCCTTGTTTTCATAGATTTCTGCACATTTATCTCTTCTTTGTCTCCGTATTTGTTGGGATATACCATATAAGGACTTCATGGTCCCCTTTTCACGTAAAAGTAAGGAATGCACATAGAAATTTATTTGAGCCTATGTTCCCGTGGGCTTCTCTGAAATGGAGGAAGTGTTTTCAGAATTCCCAGTCCTCTGAGGAGGACTCTCTGCTCTTGATAACACATATAGAATCTCCCTTCTTTACATGAGTTATTTGAATTACCTCTGAGGATTGTGGCAATTTCCACTTCATCTACGAAAGCAAATTTTCATGATCATAAAACATTGAATACAAAAACAAGAAAAAAATGGGAAGATGATATATACACATGTCTTTTCCCAAAATGTCATCGTCTGCCTTTCTTATCCACTCCCCAGCAGATGGATGAGTATGACCTAGATGAGAATGAAGGTTGCCACCCTTTTATCCCCACCTGAACTCAGGGGCCTGCTTGATTTATTAACCAAAACTTTTCAACATAACACAGCAAGATGAAAGGAAACAAATAGTTTTTTCTTTGGCATCATTTGTCACAGTTGATCTAGAGACTCTGCTTATAAATCCACACCAATATCCCATTGTTTATAAAGTAAAGATGCAGACTCTTTAGCTGACCCTGAACATGGTTTATAAGCTGGTCCTAAAACTTGCTGCCCTCTTTCCCATGAAGTCTCTGCTCTGACAACATGAACTTCATTGTTGTTTTCAGTTTCTGTCATATCACATAGGTGTTCTACAGGACTTTCCTCATACTACTCCTTCATCTTAGAAGACCTCTCCTCTTCATCAGCTTTCTAGAATCCCCTCTCCCTCTTCACAAACCTCCTCAGAAGTCAATCCTTCCCAGCAGGACAGGTTGAGTAGATTGCTCTGTCCTTTGCTGCAAAACATTTTTTATGTACCTCTGCTGAAGCATTTCCACGCTGTATTATAAATCATTTCTGTATGTCTTTTTTTCCCCACCACACACCATTTCTCCCGAGTACTGACTCATTAGGCTACTCACTATCACTGTGTTCCCCATATCCAGAATATTATTATCATGTTATTGTTGCCCGATAAATCTTTAAAGGAGGATTGAGGTATAGTTCAGTAGCAGAGTACTTGCCTAGCATTTACATAGCTCTGGATTCCCCCAATATTGCTAAATGAATAAATAGTTAGTCTCTAAGGGACCAGAGGTATATTTACAGTTTAGAAGTTGATGTATATAAACTATACATTGTAATTTTTGCTTTCATGGTTTTATATTTTTAGTTTTAGGATGCTACTAATTGCTGGGAGACAGGAAGAGACAGTGCAGATAGCTAACCATTTTGAATTAAAATGTTGATTATCTACAAAAAGCCATTCCATTAAAGTGCCAAGCACTGAACAAGCCACCACTTTACTAACAGTTGCCCATGATGAAATTCATTAAAAACAAAATACCATTTGAAACAAAACACTTTCAAAAAGACAATTTAAACATTTCCTCATTTGGATAAGTTAAAAAAATAAAATCTAAAGTAAAACAGAGTTATAATTAAAACAACCATATGAACCACTTGACTAGTGATTTGTTACATGTGAAATACTGGGTTATATGTGTCATATCTATTAAAATGTTACCAATATTTATTGCTGAATACATTAATTTGGATGTGTATAATTTCTCCACAATTTAGTAATGAGCTGTAATCGTGTCTATGGAATTGGACAATCTCTGGTGCTGTTCATGCTTGTGTTCTGACTTCCATAGTTCTTTGTGGTATGTCTTTCAGGAATGAACAAGTCCTGTGGAAGGGTAGTAAAAACTTTACTTAGTTCTCTTCTATGATCACTCTGACCCAGAGCCCTGATTCTCCAGGGCATTGGTCTTATGATGGAAGCACCTACAAGGTATTCAACCCACACTGGGGATTCCAACCACAGTTGATTCTATTCTAAATGCAATTGTTTCAGTTCCTCTTTGGATTTTTCCATTGTTACTGTGTAACATAGCAATTCATGTTTGTGTGTTGATGAATTGACTAATTCCAACAGTTTTCTCACAGACTATTTAGGATTTCTACATTTATTAGAATATCTCTCAGCAAAGATCCTTTTAAAATTTTTCATGGTATTTAGTTTTCTTTCTTGTCTATTTCTCCAGTGCCAGCTAGAATTTTCAGTAATATGTTGAATGTATATTCACGTCATCTTTGGTTGACTTTCACCCACACATAAATTTATTTGTTTATTTATTTAATTATTTATTGAGACAGGGTTTCTCTGTATAACTTTGGAGCCTATCCTGGCACTCGCTCTGTAGACCAGGCTGGCCTTGAACTCACAGAGATCCACCTGTCTCTGC